AGGTGGGTCTCGAGCCTAGCTTAATAGCCTTCTCACTTCTCTTCTTCTGCCTCATCTTCCTTTCGCTATATACCCCTGTTTAGCCAATATGCTGTCTCCGCAATTATCCACAGTTCCTCCTCAGCTGCAAAGGACGTCGACTCGGCGAAGTCCCTCGATAGGACCGAGTCAGATGTTGCGCCTCGAACCTCGCAGGTCGAGGTCGAGGTAGCGGGTGTCTGTTATTCGCACCTGCCATTCGAAATCCCGGGTGCTGTGGTGTTGTCTGCCCCTTCCATTTCTACCCTTCGACAAATTGCGAACGATGTCTATCATCAAATCAACTCCGATACGTCTTACTCGAACCAGTTTATCATCGTGTCAAACATGTCCCGACAAGTGTAGGAGCTAATAGCTGTAGATCGAAACCCCCTTGAAGTGCCCTATAGGTTAACACTCGATACACAGCACCAGCAAGGGGTTATCCGAATAATGCCTTCAGGAGCTTATACGCGAGTAACGCGGTCATTTTCAAACGAACTCGTCGAAAAGTTACTTGATATAGGAATTCGTCTAAGAGATTATACTATGAACACGGCCACCCGGTACCACGGAAAATCATGCGATAAAGAAGCCGACGAGTCTCTCACTCCGTCGCGGGATACTTTCTCCGATAAGGAGTGGCCTTCGCTCGTTATTGAGACGGGTCTTTCTGAGTCAGAGCCGACGTATATTGGTGGTTCTTAAATTCCGACTATAAAGTCAATATGGTTATACTCTTTCACATCTAAAGATCCCCTAAGCGTAGAGTCACCATAAAACTCTACAGTCTTAGACTAACCACCCCTACAATCACCCGTGGACTAGAGGCGGAGGCCTAGCGCACTCTGCTATCTAATCCTACGCTATCTCAAACAGAATCCCCAATAGTGCTGCCTCATTCAGCGGTCCACGAGATCGTTATTACCTTAAGAGATGTGAATGCTCCGCTGGAACTAGATTTCGAATCCGTCATGCGCCGCCAGCCGACCCCTACCACGAGGGGAAAAAACATTATATTCACGGCTGAGGACCTTGCTGAGTGCTGTCGCTATGTCTTTCTGGAACCCTGAACATTATTACTACCTGTCTTATCGCTACATGTCCTCAAGAAATGCTAAGAATGCTCTACTAAGGACCTTGCTGTGTGCTGCTGCCCTGTCTTTCGGGAAGCTTGAGCATTACCACTACATGTATCATTAGGAAGTTGAATTCAAAGCTTTCTTTTTGACGGATATGCACTTTGTAGTTTATTTTATTAGTTCAGGACTCCGTGGCCAAGCACCGGCAAATCGACGGCCAAGAACGGCCTCACTTGCGGCCGTTTCTTACAGCCTAACCGGCCCTTACATTTTTTACAGTTACTTGCCGTCTGCTACTTTAATTGAGTATTCTATACGCCTGAATATTTGAATACACCTATATCGTATTCATCCTCGATAAAGTCGAATATTGGAATTCTCAATGATTCGATCTTGAATGCTTGAATTCTTAGTACCCAGCACATTAAGTTTCCGAAATCTAATGACAACGCCTAAATTGTCTTTTAATCTTCTATAGTTCTATTCTCCACACGAGTGAATGGGAGGCCACCGTCGACGGCTGACAATAAACTCTGATTATAACGAACTAATAACGAACTAATTGAAACACAGCAAAATGTTCGGTATATCTAGGTATTTGTTAAATCCAAGTCACATACGTTATATATATACCGGGTTTACATACAAATTGAAAGCCCAATGTCTCCTAATATGGCTCTGCTTCTACACCTCTGGCTTGCTCGTTTCTAGCAACCTTTTCTTTGTCCCGAAAGCGTAATAATCGACTGTTTAGAGTCAGCACTATTCTCAGGACGGGGCCATAGATACCAAGCTCTGCTGAGATACTTGGATTCGTGTCCCGGGATGAGTTCTTTCATTTGAGAAGTTGCCGTAGAAAGGTTGTCTTGATATGTACGTACATATGTATCTATGTATTTGTTGTGTTATTCAGAATACCTACCTATGGATGGTTTTCCTTTCTTCTTTTTACAAAACAAAGCCCTTCGGACTTGTCGAAACTTAGTCTCAGTGTTGGATTTCAATTTTTGTCAAAGTCGTTAATCATTTCGTCTACCCTCAGGCCAGACCCGGGAAGTGTGGTCGGCCACAGGGTTCTCCGGGGCTCCGGGGCTGTTCCTGGTGCTTATCAAAGATCCATGCCACTATTACCACTGAGTCCAAACGAAGCGAGCTGGTCACCGAACAGGGACTCAAGCAGGTTTATACCATCAATACCACTCATAGCGGAGTTATACTCAGCTTCCCAAACCGAATTTATACTAAAACCTCCGACGAACTTCTGTATACACCAAGTGCCTCGCAGGATGGGAGAACCGGCTTCCTAAACAAGAGTCGTTAGTATAGAAGCAGCTGACTGGGCTGTATGGGAAGCGTTATGCGATGAATTCGACATTACGTTTGGCGGATCGCAGTACGCTGTAGTCGAAATTGTCTTAATACAAAGGACGAAACTGAAACCCAGACGTGGATTCATCGTCTATAATAGGAGGACAGACACTCGGCGGCGAAAGGATACTGTCTCCTCCCAGAGAAAGGGGCCAAAAGGGTTAGGCAACGGACGAGCAGGACATGCTCAGATTCCGAAAACGCTTTTACGTCCTAAAGCGTGAAGGATCTACAAAAGCATACTGGTTGCCAGGCTAGTTCCTGTTGGTTAGGCAAGTTAGACAGTAGTAGGGAAAACGTATGGTATTCTTCCTATAGAGAATAATTCTTGCTAAGTCCAAGTTTAAGCGTTCTTATACCTCTTTGTCCCTGAATCGCGCATGTCACGATGATGCATCTATCTGGTCTCCGAGTCCTCTTTCAGCACATGTAGTGCTCAAGATGCTCAATAAGGAAACTCGGAACAAACAAGTTAAAGATACATCAGGATCCTTGGTCCCATCTTTTCAACGCTTTTCCTTTACAATTATCTTCCCTCTTATGCAAGTTGTCCTCAACCTGCGAATTGTGATCATGAAGCGAAAGAAGAAGAAATTCCTGCAGGGAGTCAGCAACGAATTGGGTACCTAGGTACGAACTGTACCAGTTTCTCCAAGGTCAAATTGGTCTATTAATCGCAAGGAAGGAGGGATGGAGGCGGCTTCTTAGAAGGTGCGTTTAGTCCTCTGTGCCTCCTAAAATACAGGGCTGATCTGATACACGGGTCGCCTGCTGGCAACGGTTTTTTTATCCTCCTAACTGAGACTATATCTCTGCGACCTCCCTCTGGTTTTCTCTTTTTCTTGCATCACTTCTGCATCTGCACATTTGAATTTGCTTTTTGTTTCCACTTTTCTATCTCGCACTGATGAAGATAGGTGGCCTGCGTATGGTGAAGGTGTAAGACAGCGCACAGCGGCCATCGTGTCACTAGTGGTATCTTGGGCACTATGTGTCATAGGGACCAGCTTAGAAGGGAAAAAGTTGTATTGGAAGAAAGGAGCAAGCTCACGGACTAGTTAGTATATAGACCGTATTGGTAAACCTCAACTTGCAGCGACTATGTGTCAGTTCTCTGCCGAGAGAAGAGAAGATTTAAGTATGTAAAATAAAACAGAAAAGAATGAAATTTACTCAAATTAATCATCATGACTCTGCTGTAACTCGCTTCAGACGAATTTCTACGCCCTGGGAACCGGGCGGCAGATCGGCCCCGTCATCATTCTGGTCAAAATACAAGCGCCAAATCTCGCGACCACCGCTGATCTGGAGGTCTGTCTCCGCTTGATACCGCATGTCGTCTACAGGTAAGCGCACTGCCAACCATCCCTCCCACCCGTCAAGGGTTATGCACTGTTCGTCTTTCGTCCAGTCAAAGGGCCCACACGTGTGGCCCTCACTATCGGGACGCCCACCCCATCGCATCTGATGCGTGTTAACGTCCAGGAACACCCAGCGCAAAGTGGGGGTTTGTTCGCCAGTGATCGTCACGAACCCGGAAGTATTGTCAGGGGGAAAATTCGGGTGTTTGTAGAAGCCGCCATTGAAGAGAGACATGGCGGAGCTGGGTTGTTTTGTAATATAGAGCTGCAACAAAAAGATAATAGGTTAGGAACCTCTTATTTCTTTTTTATTCTTTTTCTTTCAGCTACGTGACGGTACTTACATTCCCGTCTCGCCCCACATATACACGGGCGTTGTGAACCTGTTCGCGCTGGGTCTGAGTCCCCTTGTTGACTTCACACATAGCCACTAGGTGGCATCTCTGCTTGCGTGCGGTATTCTTCCTGTTGTTCTCTTGATCACGAGTGCCTTTAGAGGCCTCGTTTAGTCCTATAATTGTCGGCACCATAGCCGTCATCATGACTATCCCTAGCACCATCGTGGAAGAGGTAGCGCAAGGAGTCAGTCCGTGAAAACCTCAAGACTTGTCGTGCGTGCTGCGTATGATGTGCGGAAAGGAACACAGGCGTATAATAGCTAAACACAGAGCTTTTTAAGGTCTCCCAGTATGGAATATGAAGATGACACTAGGGATAGACCAATGCACTTGTCTCGATAAACTACGTCATCTTTCATGCAACTAAAATATATAAATCGGATATCCCGAGCCCGAACGCAAGGATGGGACCAAGGTAGTGTGCAGATCTTCGAGGGAACTCATTCAGCTCCGTTATCACAGCTCAGCTAAGCCCTGAAGTGGAACCTGAATAGATCCTTATGTCGAATAAACAAGGCCCAAGCGGCCTATATGTCATTTTACCTCTCGTATATGAATCTAGAAATACTTATGCGCTGCTCTGTCTGTTGTTGTCTACTCAAACCCATATAACCTCATCTCAACCGTAACCTTCGCTGAACAACACGATGTCTCTCAGGTATACCTAAACCATCCCCTTCAACGCCGCGTCCCCGTCCTAAATGACCATTCCTTTACTTGAATCGCTTTCATAATATCCAACTCCTTCCCATTGCCTCCTATTATTATTGACTATGACAAAGAGCAACAAGCAAAAAGTCAAATCGAACAAACCACCACCCCAAGGCCTACGCCTAAGCCACGAAGTGCTACCGGACAATCCCCTCAATATTCCTCTTCCAAACGATACAACTGAGGACTTAAGTGAGACTGACCTTCCTCCGCTACCGAATAGTCCCACCGCCGAAACCGTCCCCCCGCTGGGTGGCCGTAAGGGCAACTCGCCTGAGGACACCGTCGGTGCCGTCGGCGACACTGCCCAGAGCGCCCTTCCGAGCACCAGTGGTTTGGCAGTTCCCGGTGTCACCGATATTGGAAAGAAGACTGGAGAGGATGACAAGGGTAGCCTCCAGATCAAAATTCACCTCAACCTACACGCAAAGGTCAAGCTTGAGTTGGACGCCCAGATCTACGGGGATATTGTCATTGGACTGCTGTAACTGTATTAAATTCTCGGGTTGCATTTCACGGTTATGGTATGTATGATTCCAACCCGTCACGTTGATTCTAGTGCTTAGCACCTGCATCGCGCTAGTGTCTGTATGATCATGATTGCATATACGTCTTATGTCTCTGAGTTCTGACGAATTATTTTAGGTATTTGGCTTGGGTTAGTTCCGCAATGACGCGATGGCCGGGAGACAATGGCTGTATTACGCTTAGGATGTCATGTATTTATTGGGATGAGTGGCTGTCTGAGGCCTGCGCGTCCCCCGTTTGTTAGGACTTACTGCTTGATATATACCTCTCCTTCCATGGATGGCCATCTATCAGAGACCTTTTGTCCCATGAGATTCGCCATCAGTATCTACTGGCCTATCCGGATTTGCACAGCGTGATGCTTTTCTTTTCCAACCCTTTGACATTTGTAGCTTGGTGATAGTATACAGCATCCCGGTCACTTCCTCCACGCTGAATCTGGCTAAAGGATATGTATACTTCTGGGCGAGATCATGTAAATGTAAGGTTCATGATATGCTCCTTTTGTATACAACATGCTAACCTCCGCGTCTGCACGGAGTATTTCAGTTCTATTTTGTTTCAGCCACGTTGTTTTGTATTAAAAATCTAGCAGAAGGTGACTTTATCTTTTTAGTGGATCATATACAATTCTCCCATTGGTGAGACAGTGCGGGATTTGAGTTTCTTCATCCTGATTTGGTAGAGCGGGACGCGGGCCGCCAGCTCGGTGCCCGGGGTTCTCCGGAAGGGATTTGGTTGGTTGCTGAGTCGATACACCATTTCTCTCCATGAACCAGACCACAGGATTAGAATTAGCATTCCAAAGGGACACCGGGATCTCATCTCACCCGTACCAAAGGAAGTGATTGTGAGGTAACCCTTCTGGCAGATAGAGAGTACGACTTATACATATGACCATGCGAAGCTGAGCCCAAGTGGACCTCTTCACGGGACTCGTCAGGACGGCATGGGTTCCCATAACGATCGATCAACTGTTCGTCCGTCCGAATAGCAGGACCACCTGGGCACTTTGTGAACCGTGCATTAGCCTCCATTGGCTGCCTAGGTACCGACATCACGCATTAGAGACCCGTCTAGGCCCCACACCATATTGACAGCAGTTTCCAGCCAGCCACATCAGCGCACGGAGCAGGTATGATTATTGTACTTTTGGAAAAAGTATAGTGAAACCAACCAATCCTGTACTCAGGGCCAACTATTGTCTATGCTAGCGGTGGCTCCGAGATTTTGGAGATTTTCGCTCTCATAACACAGATGGGTAGATTTGCTACCAGCTAAGGTGAATACAGACCTATACGCAAGCGGGTCTTTCATGGCCAGATGACAGAGCACATTCCAGCCATCTCCACCATCCCGCATGTTGTATTATCATGATCTACGCCATACGTTCGCATCGACTAAGCTGGGACGCGCGATGACACTCTCAACCCACAAATACCATCCACTCCTGTTATAGTTCCCTGTGATTGGATCATAATGTGTCACCACCAGCGTGGTCCGGGCCCATTTCATGCGAGGTCGAACTCTCGACCTTTCCAAAAAGGAGCAACATGCCGGCGGTTAAATTCCTGAGAAGCCATTGTACCTCGCTGAATAGGTCCACTACCTAGACTATCACACATTGGGAGATCCAAATTTTCAGCTGACCTAGCTATGACAGGACGGATATTACGGCCATGCAAATCGTTCCAAGGTCCTTCTGAGTATTTACTCATGAGGAAAGGTGTGGAATTGAGACGGGTGCTAGTGCCCACTCACCTTTAGTACTGCTACAGAGTACAAAAGCGTGGCTTTCTCCACGGAGCTGACAATTTTTTTTCTTCAATCCTTATATTCATGACTTGATGTGGTAGCAGCATACTCCTTTCCGTTTCTTTCTCAAATCAGGTTGCCGGTTTGTGCCGATTATTGCATGGATTGGTTTAAGAACTACTGCTCCAAAGAAGCCATATCGGCAACCGAGTTAACAACAACCACAATGGCCCCTGGTATCATAAGCCCCGTCCCAGGCAATGTCACATCCACTTTCTATAGCAGCCTGCCTGGTAACTCTAGACAGGTTTCTGCTATGTCTAGTTTGTTCGACCACGACAACCACTCCAACGGTGGTATGTCCCGCTCCTTCATGTCCCGGAAGTTCCACTCCGCCGGCAGCTCAAAGCTTTCTAGTGTGGTCCAAGGTCTTCAGCGCCAGAGCGGCGCAGAGTTGGGCGTAAACGCGTCTTCCGCGCTATTCAATACCGACCACGCTACTTTATTAGAATGGATTGCCACCGAGCGCATGAGTCACCTGCCTCCCGAAGGAAGCAGCTATGATAAGGTGCTCGCTTGGGCCCAGCTCTTCGTTGAGCGCCTACACTCCTTTGACATGGCTATTCGCGACTTCGAGGGAGGTAGCTGGCTTGCTGCTAAGCTCTCCTATGGATACTGTGCGATGCTCCTGGAGGTATGTACAGAGCTATGAAGTCTTAATACTTCTCGAATACTGATTCCATCGTAGCTTGGCAAAGAGAATGCGCCGGCTCTTATGGCTTCCTTCGGGTTTTTCCACAGCACCTCTTCAACCCTTGTGAACCTGCTTGAGCGCACTGAGCTCTTCACCGTCTCCCAGACGATCAAGGACCAGCTGGTTGAGGCCCTGGCTGACCTTGTTTCATTGGTCGCCAGTGTTTCCACTCACTTCCACCAGTCTATCTATGCACTTTCAGAGGGCTCAATATCCATTAACATCTATGAGACCTTCACTGTTCAGATTGAGTCTTTCCGTGAGCGCTGCGCGAAGATATCAGACTCCATGTGGAGACACCAGCTCGTGCAGGAGAGCAAGGACCCTGAGAACGGTAAGAACATTTTGGATCCTTTGAGCATTGGAATGATACGAATTGCTTTCATTTCTAGTGGCCATTGTCAAATCCGTGCAAAGCTGGCTGTCCCCCGACGACCGCGTCCTCACCCACCTTGCCGAGAACACCTCCCACCTTGCCCATGAGCGCGAGGAGATGACCTGTCTCTGGATGAACCCATACCTGATCCACTTCCTCAAGAGCGACAACCACATTCTCGCTTTCACTGGCGCCCTTGGATCCGGAAAGACTGTCCTTGCCTCCGTTCTTGTCGACCGTCTACAGGACCACATCGGCGGTGTTACATACAAGTCATTGTTTATTCCTATCAGCTCTAGAATCCCAGCTGAGACCACCCCTGTCGCCATTGCCAAGACAATTCTCTTCCAGCTCTTCGAGAAGCGTATTGGTAACGTCCAGCTACTCCAGATTCTGCACGAGGCCTACGACGCCAGCAAGAAGACCACCAACGAGGCGGAATACGAGAACATTCTCTGGAATGCCCTGAAGAATGCCTTGAGCGCAGCTCATGCCCGCGCTAAAGATCTTGTTATTGTCGTTGATGGCGTTGATGAGGCTTCGTGCGGCGAGACACTTCTGCTCCAGAAGCTGATTGACGCCACCTCCAATGGAACGAATGTCAAGCTGATCATCTTTGGTGCCGAGAAGCCCCAGAATTCTGCCAGTCTGATGCATGTTCCAATTGGGGCTGACCGCATTGCTGATGACATTTCGCTTGTCGTTAGAAGCGACTTCACCAGCGGCAAGTCGGCTGGTACCGAGGTCTTCTTATCTATGGATGAGATGGAGCAGGAGACCCTTGTTGATCAAATTAGCGAGGCCTGTCGCGGTTCCTTTCTCTGGGCTAAGCTGTGCACGAACTACGCTTGCCTTGAGCATACCACCGATGCCCTCCGCAAGGTCGTCAACACTATCGTCAAGGGAAAACCCACCATTGCCGACTTTGTTCTCCAGAGCCTCCAGGCCCCCGATGTCACCGAAGAAGCTAAGCTCATGCTGCTTTGGCTTGCTACCGCTGATCGTCCTCTGCTGATAAGCGAGCTGATCATGTTGGCTTCGATCGAGCCGGAGAAGCAGATTGTCACTGATCGGAAAATCAACATTCGCCAAGTGTTGAAGCCCTTGAACTCCATCGTCTCCATGCAAAATGGTCAGGTGCACCTTCGCCACGGTCTGATCCGAACTGCCGTCTTACATGTGTTCTCCAAGGGAAAGCTGATCCCCGCGGTCAAAGACCGTCACACTGACCTCCTCACCCGTCTCTTGGTCTACATAAAGTACACTGTTCCCGAGCAACATGAGCCTTCCCTTACTCCCCTTGATAGTCGTGATGTCAGTCCCCGTGCGAAAACCCACCCTCTTCTTGACTTTGCCGTCCGCTACTGGCCTCGTCACTTGAAGCAGACCACGACCTTCACCACCGGTGGCAATGCTTCCACCGGCAAGGAGTTCGGGAAGGTATTCCCAGCCAGCGTTACCTTCTTGTTACTGCAAACCACCCTCTGGAACAGCCTATCCACGCCCACGCTACTATCATACCACACCACTGTCACCAACCTGTGCCGCGAGATCCTGGGGACCAACCATCCTGGGACTCTCCAGTCCTTAATCTCGTTGGCTCTGCTGCACCGTGAGCTCAACCAACCCCGAGAGGCCATTCCTCTTATCTACGAGATCACCACCACCAGTCGGACTTTACTCAGTACCACCCACACCATCACAATGCAGATGGCTCTGCTGTTCCTTGATCTGACTGTAGACATGGTCACTACTACCAAGTCGGATATCATGACTAGGCGTGAGGAGCTTCTCATCATCATCGTTGAATGCTATCAGACTCACTACGGCGAGAAGTCTGAGAAGACCATCAATATTATAAAGTCTCTGATTGAGCACTACCGCGTGACCAAGGAAGAGCAAAAGATCCAGTCTTGGACCTTCAAGATCCAGAGTCTTACCACGACCAAGTACGACGGCGATGATACCCGCGACCTAAGTGTTCGCCTGAAGGGCCACAAACACCATATAGGTGACACTGGTATTTGCTTCCGCATGGACGCCGAGCACGATGAGGTTCACGAAAAGTCGGAGTCATTCGAGAGCCAGATCACTAAGGCCGAGAAGTACACGGCTGAAGGCAGCCTCGACCTGGCCGAACGTCAGTACATTGAGCTCTGGCAGCAGGCTAAGACCCAGGAACACAAGCTGCAATCTGTTCTTGCTTACTCGAAGTTTTTGACAGCCCAGAAGAAAGAGCACGAGGCTTCTTCCATCCTGTCCAGCGTTTCGGAAGAGCATAAGAACAGCACTCGCACGCTTTCTGAGAGCTCGATTTTGTACTTTGAGCAGATTGCTAAGGTGATGACAACTGTCGGTCTCACCGTCGCTGCCTTAAGCATCTTCAAGCACTGTGCTTCGTTCTACCAGCGTACCAACCGTACCTCGTCCTACTTGGAGATTCAGAAGCACATCGCAAGTACCTCGCAACATGTCAAGCAGCAGGCTAGCTCTTCGTCGTCGCACTTCTCCGAGACCACCCTGGAGGAGATTGTCTATGAGGCTTCCAGTTCCTCTAAGCTCGACCAGAGCTCGTTTACTGCTACCAGTACTTTGTTGGCCTTGTACACAAAGGAGCACCGCTGGAAGGATGCCACCCGTCTCCTCAAGAAAGTTCTCCAGGGTATTTGGCCTTCCCTGTTCGCTCCCTCCATCCAGGATGTTGTTCTCCCAGAGCAGCACACTGACAAGGCCGTCGACCTTGCCGAGCGTCTGAGCCAGTGCTACCACTACCGCCGTCGCTTCCCCCGCGAGGAAGGTATTCGCATCCGCGTGCACCGTGCGATCCGCACCGCTCGGCCGGTGGGCGACAAGCTGAGGGAGACCATCAAGGATCAGCTGATCACCTTCTTCGAGCGGTCCTCTCAGACTGACAAGGTCATCACCACCTACCAAGAGCTTTTGGACGACTACACTGAGTACTATGGGCCTGAACACACTACTGTAATCAAGACCCTGTTCACCTTGGCTGAACTTACTCGTCCTCGCCCCGTCTTTGTGGAGTACTATCAACGCATAGTTCGCGCGTTAAACAAGGACTCGCCGGTCATCAAGCCCGAGGCTTTGGAGCCAATCATCATCGTTGCAACTGAGCTCTGGGCCCAAACTCGGTACGCTGATGCCGTCCCCTACTTCACCTTGCTCTTTGCCACTTTCTTGAACCAGCCCAAGCAGAGCCCTAGGTTCCAGGACGTGACCTTCGTGCAGTGTGTCTTTGACCGCTATACTCACTGCCTGCGCAACAACCGTACTGAATTCGCCTTCGTCCACAAGGTCACCACTCAGTTCTACAACAAGGTCAGAACAGTGTTCGGAGCCACCGCCGCTATCACCATCCAGGCTACCTTGACCCTTGCCAAGGTGTGCCAGGAAACCAAAACCTACGAGAGTGACGCCATCGCTCTCTACGAGGAGCTGCTCAAGGTCAAACCTGCCGGGGTTAACCTTGAGGAGATTGAGGCCATTCTTGACGGTATCTTTGAGGAGCAGACTGCCAGCGCTACCTCCAAGTCTCAGTCTGTTTCCTCAGAGCAGATGAAGCGTGTTACTAAGATCTTGCAGAAGCGAATTGAATCCGCTCGCGAGACCTACGGCTGGGCTCACGAGGAGACCCTCTCCAAACTTCAGGAGGTAATTTCATTCCACTCCAACCAAAACAACATCCAGCGTGTGTCCCGGGAGCTCCACGAGTCGACGAAGCAGATCCTGTCTTCTGAGACCTCTTCGGAGCGCCTTGTCGCCGCAGCCACCACCATCGCTGCGGGCTACATTTCGACCGGCCAGGCTCAAAGGGCTGTTGAGCTGTCCCAGGAGCTCTACAGCCAGATCGTCATGAAGGACACTTCCAAGTCCAAGGAGACGCAGCTCGACTTCTCATCCAAAGGCCGCCAGAGCCTTGTCTTCTTGGCCCAGCTTGAGCACAGCCTGCGCCAGGGCGCCTCTAGCGTCACTGAAATTCTCGCCTCTTTGACCACCGAGTATGTCTACTTCGAGGAGTTCAGAAACCACACCAGATCAAAGGGCAGCTCTTTCTACACAATCTCGGTTTCTGCTACTCGCCTCTACAACTTCCTGCTCGCCAACAAGCGCCAGGTTGCTGCCAACAGTGTCTTCGATGACTTCGTCGCTTACTTTGTTTCCAGTGAAGGAACGCGCATCAAATTAACCGAGACTGCTCAGGTGACTGTCTTCCTCCAGACTATCATCGGCCACCTCACTCAGCACCAGTCCTCGAATTTTGTCCGCTCGGTTGGTATTGCCTCTAACGCCAAGGTCCTCGAGCTGCTGGAGGCTAAGAACTACGATGGTGCTACTAACCTTGCTATCGCTTCCTTCCGCTATATCTCAGCTCACGATATCTACCGCACGCCTGAGATTGTCAAGTTCGTCTTCAGCCTAGGTCTGTTGATCTCTGGCCACAACCTCACTCCCCGACCGGAAGCGGCTATCCAGAAGAAGCTGCGAGGTGCGTCCATGATCATCATTCAGGAGGTCATCCACGTCATCGTCGACCTGAAGATCAACATGGCCCAGATCAGCTTGGATTACCTAAACGTCCTCATAGGCCTCCTCGGTGAGCAGCAGGACTACAGGAACCTCGTCTGGCTTCTCAGCGATCTGTGGAACAGCCGCAACAAGCAAGTCCACTGGACCCCCTCCATCACCCTCGGACTAGCCCGCCGGTATATCCTGGCCCGTTTCCTGGTTGGCGATTCCCTCAAGGCTTCTCGCCTGGCTGAGGACATCGTGTATAACTGCCGCCGTGTAAACGGCGCTCGCCACACGAGTACCCTCGAAATGTCCACTCTACTCTCACAGCTATATACTGCTATCGCGCAGCGCTACCAGTCCGACAAGAACGGCCAGCACATGGCCAACAAGTACTACAAGAAGAGCGCAGGTGTGCACGAGAGCCTCCTCCGCGTCCTCGTCGACCCGTCACTTGCCGAGCTCGAAGGTGCTCTCGACGGCAGCTTCAGCGTGGACGGCTCCGCATACGACCTGAACATGCATGAGCACGGCTCCGACAGCGGATACTCGCTGGCCAGCGGCGAGCACGTTCGTGCCCACCTCAATCTTCTCAAGCTCTCCGTTCAGCGACTAGGTGACTGGCCCAAGGAATACAGCGAGTACCAGGCCCTCAGCGCCGGTCTCTTCGCTGAGTTCGGGGATGAGCTGAAGGGTGTTGATGGCGTTGAGAAGTGGAACCTGAAGGGCTTCGGTTCCGGCAAGGCTGCTAGTGCTGAGGATACATTGGATTTGAAGGTCTTCACCTGGTCTATTGAGCTCGGCCAGCAGAATGGCGATGTCGAGGAGGAGCTGTAATAGGAATTGTTGGAATTGGTGCCTCAGGCAGTAACACTAAGTAATAATTACATGGATCCATGGATGGATAGGCTCCTTTCCAATACAACTCTCTCCCTGCAACTTATCAAGATGTCGCATAATAGATTCATTCAATCGTTCACTCAGATTCCCAAGGATATCTTCCGCGTGAATTCGGGCACTGCCATCCGTCTTCGAGCTTGGCCAGGTCCCAGGCGACCACACGGCGTGTTCGACCTCCTCACCACTGCAGGGAAAGTACAACCAAAGGCTCTCGACCCAGCTACTTACGAGTGTAAATTCATGATATGTAATAAAAAAATTCAGCTCACATCTCTAATGTATCCCAGTCCCTAATGGTGCTTCCATGCGCCCCAACTCAAGGACACAGCAGAATCTCGTTCGCACTGTCAAACCCCGGGGTGGTTACACTATTTACGTATACGCTATTATGGCTGGCTGCTTCCTCTAATCCCATAGAAGCCTCTTTCCTCTATTGACTGAAGCCATGTAGGAACCGTTCTCCCAGACGATCTTATCCTCGTCCACGAATTTCGCGACCATCACTCGCTACAAGCACGGAAGGTGATGACAGTGGAAGGTAAAAGTGATAAGGGTTTTCAATACGAGTAATAGTAATGGCTCATAATGACATATAGAACTGAATGCGAAAATTGAAGCTCTTCTGACCACGAAGGGGCAGCGATTCACCAGGGATGAATGGCTGCAGCAATACCCTCGGGCGACCGAGTGATACTCGTCGACGAATGTCTTCCTATGAAAGCTTGTGCACCTTCATTCTAGAAGGAGCCACCTACAAACTACTTAGGCAGTCTGTCCACCCTTGGACCTCCCCTCTCTTAGCTGTATATAATGAGCAATAAACTACATAGTTATGTATGTACCCAGGTATAAACTAATAGAGACTACAGTTACCTTAGGAGCACCCAAAGCTCTCTTCGGTTAAAGCTGACCCTAAGCCTAGAAATATAAACTATGTCATGGCCCGCGGAAGGATGTGTTGGAAGAATCAGTGGATGATATATCCATGGATGTATATATGTATCGTCTTGGAGTGATGTGATTGATTCGTCATCGAGGCACCCGAATTTTCCAGCAAGCCTTTATCGATTTCAGATACGCCCCGACCCAAGGCTTTACGATAGAGCTTTTAAGCAAGATGACTCGGAATACGAGGATGGTCGAAGTCAGTACGGACGGCTTGGTGCTCCCAAATATAACTGCTGATATGCAAATGGAACTTCATATTATTGGCCTGCTAACCTATTCAGTTTCCTATGTGCAATATTCATGCCGAATACGTACTATATGCAGGAGGTCACACGGAGGTCGAATGATTATTACTTGGAAGAGTAGAAAGTGGTAAGCCCGCTGCCGCACTATTCATACGCAACGACGAGTAAATGCTCTTGTCAAAAGGCGCAAAACTAATTTCTCAATATCCTAAGGCACCGTTATTCCAAAATCGTTGATTATTTTTCATGAGCATACTTCTCGCTTCTCGCTACAACCTGCGCATCCCATATGACTGGATAGTATATTCAAGGATTTGGAAGTCTTTAAAAGACCTCGGGAGGAAGAATTATTGACATGTACAAGACCCTGACTCAGTTTTACCTCGGTTTTGGGCGCGTTTTAAATCCAGATGCTTGACTCGATATGAACTCCTACCATGAAGCATTTTCTGATCACGAGGAAGAGTGGATGAATTACTGATATGTACGCCAGATCGTATGTATTTCGTGATTAAATGCCTGCTATACTAGAATATCAGATTGGCGATGCCTACATATGTATACATACAACCATGGATGTGCGCATGTAGTTGGAACTTCATACAAAAGACGATAAGAGGAATGATAAGCACAGACAGATTGAGATAGGTCATCTGAATATATACATCTGAGACATTGCAGGAATTTACCCCTCGGGCTCCTAAAGGAGTTTAAGTCGATAATCCCATGATAAAACCTCCCCGGGGTCCGTATGCAGAAATATTATTAATGGGGGTATATGGTACCTCGCTCCACCACCAAAATTTGGTGGCGACCGATGTCACCCTCTACCCGGAGTCCGTCCACCGCGTCCACCGCCGGTTTTGGAGCATTTGCCATCTTCTCTCTCTCTGATTCTTCCCTCCCCCCCCCCAATCCCTCATTTCAGCATTTTGAATATTTTCGGTGATTCTTGCTTTCAGAATCTGAGTAGCCCCTACCGCCTACTCTTTTGCCTCAACGGCCCTCGGTCCCGGAACTTTCATTCCAGCGTCACAGTTGGTCTCGAGTTTTGCGATGCTAGAGTTGTCCGGCAATCCAGTAAAATATCGTTGCTAAAGGGGTGGTCCACAATAATCAAATCCCGGTCGCATTACCCGTCTATTACTGTCGCCAGCTGCAAAGCTGAGTGATCGAGTCGCGCGAGGTCCGAAAGCTTCAGTTTTTGCGAGCTCCGCGGAACATGCTGCCGCAATGTGAAGGGCCCGTCTGGGCCATTGACGACCTGTCTCGTTGCTTCCAGCGCAAGTGAGTCTACACCCAATGGCAATTGCGACCGTTAGAATTTCATGCTGATCACGAGGTACTTTTTAAATAGCATTCTTCAGGTCATACTTCCCCTCACAGTCTGCGGCGCTTCGCTGCTGCTGATCCTAATTCGCCTCGCTCATCGATATGTCCTCACCCGAAAAGGTGTCGCTTACAAGGTCCTCCCAAACAATGACTCCGAAGATGAGGTCCCCAGCGCAACTCAGGAAAACGACGATACGATCCTGTTCCAAGCTGTACAACACGAGCAATCACAGGTCGAGGTCAATCGCCCGCGTGGAGAGATCACGGTTGTATTACTGGAAATCACAGCTTTAATTGGACAAGTTGCACTCTATATCGTGATTTTGTCAAGTCACGCCTGGGGTCGACATGGAAGCCTTCCCGCTGTGGCTGGACTTGTATCGTGGGGCTATATCCTTTTCTTGGTGCTGGTCCGGTTCCTCCTATCGACCATGGATCTTTTCTCCGCGCCGAGGCTATGGACCCATACGGCAATCCTGTACAGCTTCCAGTGGTTGTTCAATGTCATGGTCTTCCGATCCGCCATTATTCACCCCTTGTCCCAGAGGGCCCTGATTCTCAGCAGCGTTCAGTTCACTCTGAGTACAGTGCTGCTGCTCATTGCACTCACCACTCGCCGAGGCAACAAGCCTGTTCTGGTTGAGCGCGAAGATGGACTAGAGCCTCCCACGCATCCCATGGCTAGTTTGTTGTCTCTTGCGACATTTGCCTGGCTCGATCCTTTGGTCCTGAAGGGCTATCGCCAACCCCTGGAGCTTGAGGATGTTTGGAACCTGACTCCGTCTCAGAAGGCTGCGAACGTGCTTACAGAATTCCGCAAGAGACAAATGAAAGGCTCTTTGGCATGGAAGCTGATACGGTTCTTCATGGGGACACTTCTAAAGCAGGGTGCCTGGACGATTTTCGCCAATCTATTCGTTTTCATGCCTAGTCTACTTCTCAAGGCAATCCTAGAGTACGTCGAAGATCCCCGGTCGACCACGCCCAATGCGGCTTGGTTGTTCGCCATTCTCCTTTTCTGTTGCGCCGCGGTCCAGGGTGTGGCAGATGGACAAGCCTTATTCATTGGCCGTAAGATGGGGGTGAAAATCCGTGCGATCATTATTGGTGAAATCTATGCCAAAGCTCTTCGCCGCAAGGCAGGCGCTTCACTGGAGGCTACGAAGAAAGCCGCCGAAGATCCAATGTTGCCGAAGGATAAGAAGAAAAAGCTCTTTTCCTTTACTCGCAAGAAGAAGGTCCCCAATGGGAATGATACCGAGGCTGGTAACAAACCAGACACACAACTGGAGGAACCCATGCAAGCCAACGTTGGCACAATTATCAACTTGATGGCGATCGACTCGTTCAAGGTAAGCGAGGTTGGCGCCTATCTCCACTTCTTGTGGGCTAGTGTGCCAGTACAGATCATAGTGGCGATTACTCTGCTCTATCACATCATGGGTTTCAGCTCATTTGCTGGTATTGCCCTGATGGCCCTCATGCTGCCTATCAACCTGTTCATCGCCCGCCAGTTCAACAAGGTCCAAAACCAGATCCTGAAGGGCACCGATGCCCGTATCCACGCTACTAACGAAGTCCTCCAAAACATCCGCATCATCAAGTACTTCGCCTGGGAGCAGCGATTCCAAGACATTGTTGGCGAGAAGCGCAAGACCGAACTAAAAGCCCTGCGCAGGCGATACATTCTCTGGTCCACCGCTGCAACCGTCTGGTACGGCACGCCTATTCTTATCACGTTCATGTCCTTCTTCTTGTACACTGTGGTCGAGAAAAAACAATTGACCCCTTCGATTGCTTTCCCTGCCTTGTCCATGTTCTCTCTGCTGCGTGTGCCCTTGGACCAGCTCGCCGATATGGTGGCCCACGTCCAGGAATGTAAGGTTTCTCTAGACCGTGTGGACAAGTACCTGAACGAGGAGGAAACGGGCAAGTATGATCAACTCCGTGACAGTGCTACCGCAGGAACACCTGCAAAGATTGGTCTTGAAAAGGCAACGTTATCTTGGAACAGCTCCAGTGCTGATCCCAAAGATACCGGATCCGACAATGCCGATTTAGAGGCTTTCCGTTTGATCAACATCGACGTCGAATTCCTTGTCGGCAAGCTTAACATCATTGTCGGCCCCACTGGATCTGGAAAGACGTCCCTGCTCATGGCTTTGCTTGGAGAAATGAAACTTCTCGAGGGTCGCGTTCATCTCCCCGGTGGAATGTCCAACAGGGCAGAGCTCCCTGTGGACCCTGAAACTGGCCTGGTTGACAGCATTGCTTACTGTGCCCAAGAAGCGTGGTTGGTCAACGACACCGTAAAGGAAAATATCATCTTCGCCTCTCCCTATGATGAGCGTCGCTATCGTGCCGTGCTAAAGGCATGCGCTCTGGAACGTGACCTTGCTATCCTTGATGCTGGTGATCAGACTCTCGTTGGCGAGAAGGGCATCAGTTTGTCTGGTGGCCAGAAGCAGCGAATCTCTCTTGCCCGCGCTGTCTACAGCAGTGGCCGCCACTTGCTGTTAGATGACTGTCTCTCTGCTGTCGACTCTCATACCGCCAAGCACATCTTCCGCCAAGCTCTTACCGGCCCTCTGATGCTGAACCGCACATGTATTTTGGTAACACACAACGTTGCTTTGACCGTTCCCCAATCGGATCACGTTGTAGTACTCGAGAACGGCAGAATCTCCGCCCAGGGTCGTCCCAAGGATGTCGCCGCTACTGGTGCATTGGGCGATGAGTTCCTCAAGTCTCGACCTGATTCCCGGCCCGGGTCCCGTGGAGTCTCCCGTGCACCGTCGGACCATGAATCAGGGGATGAAGATGTGAACGGCTCTCCGAATGGAAAGGCAGAAGATAAGGCCAAGCTCTCAGAATCCAAGGCTACTGGTAGTATCAAGTGGTCGACCGTCAGCATGTACCTCCGCGCCATGGGCCCGTGGTACTATTGGATCGCTGCTGTTCTTGTGTTTTGCTTGCAGCAATTGGGTTCTGTTTCTACCAATCTCTGGATTAGACAGTGGGCAAACTCTTACCGTAGCTCCAAGGTTGGGACCGAAGACGCCGGGCAGTACGCCGCGGCGGCCCACCTCAAGCCCCCAACTTTCAACGTCGGAAGTGTTGGGCGCGTGAGCAGCTGGAGTCTGCCCCAACTTGGCGCAAGCTCTACCAGCGAGGCTGGTGGTCAGGTGAACGTGGCTTATTACTTGGGCGTCTACGCACTTCTGGGATTCCTCTATATCGCAATCTCTTTGTCTCGGGAAGCTGTTCTGTTCTGGGGTTCGCTCCATGCATCATGGAAGATTCATGATCGCCTTCTGAGCGCGGTCATGCACGCCAAGTTCCGATTCTTTGACTCCACGCCTCTTGGACAACTGATGAACCGGTTCTCCAAGGATGTTGAGTCTGTCGATCAGGAAGTCGCTCCTGTTGCTATCGGAATGCTCCACAGTCTGGCATCTGTGGTTATGATTGTCATTCTGATCTCGTGGATCACGCCAGGATTCTTAATTGCTGGTGTATTCATCACCCTGGTGTACACTGCCCTCGGTGCCGTCTATTTGAACTCTTCTCGAGACCTCAAGCGTTTGGAATCTGTGCAGCGCAGTCCGCTGTACCAGCAATTCGGTGAGACCCTGAATGGTATCGTTACCATCCGTGCCTATGGTGATGGTCCTCGCTTCATGGTGGACAATCACCGCCGCATCAATGCCTACAACCGGCCACACATCTACCTGTGGGCTAGCAACCGCTGGCTCGCTCTCCGTGTTGACTGGACCGGTGCTCTTGTCTCGTTCTTCTCGGCTACCTTTGTGTTGTTGAACGTCGGAACGATCGATGCAGGTGCCGCTGGTCTTTCACTGACCTACGCCGTCACATTCACAGAGAACGTCCTCTGGCTTGTGCGTCTGTACTCCGAGGTCCAGCAAAACATGAACTCTGTTGAGCGTGTAAGAGAATATCTTGACGTCGACCAGGAAGCAGCTTCTGTTATCGAAGAATCACGACCTGCGTCTGATTGGCCCAGCCAAGGTGCAGTCGAGTTCAAGAACTACAGTACGCGGTACCGACCTGATCTGGACCCGGTTCTCAAGGAGGTTTCGTTCTCTGTAGAGGCTGGCGAAAAGGTCGGCATTGTGGGTCGCACAGGTGCTGGCAAAAGTTCTCTCGCGCTGGCTCTCTTCCGCGGTCTAGAGGCGGAGAAGGGTCAGATCATCATTGACGGAGTTGACATCGGGTCAATCGGACTACGGGACCTGCGCGAGGCAATCACCATTGTCCCCCAGGATCCGACTCTGTTCACAGGAACTCTCCGCAGCAACCTCGATCCATTCGGTCTCTTCAGCGACGAGCAAATCTTCACAGCCCTCCGTCGCGTGCACCTAATCGGATCCAGCAGCTCAGGCACCGCAACCCCCACAACATCAAGCACCGTCACCGCGACGGAAAGCAACGCCAACGTGGACGGTAACGCCAATGGTGTCAGCAGCAGCGCAGTGACAGTAGTCGACAATAAAAATGTCTTTCACAACCTCGACAGCCAAGTGTCGGAGTCTGGCTCCAACCTCTCCCAAGGCCAGCGCCAGCTCCTCTGCCTCGCCCGCGCCCTGCTCAAGAACCCACGCGTCTTGATGATGGACGAAGCAACCGCATCCATCGACTATGCCACCGACGCCAAGATCCAAGAGACCCTCCGCGAACTGAGCAATAGCACAATTATCACAATCGCACACCGTCTGCAGACAATCATCGACTACGACAAGGTCCTCGTTCTCGACCACGGCCGCGTCATCGAGTACGACCACCCCTGGTCTCTCATCAACAAAGAAGATGGCCTCTTCCGCAGCATGTGCGATAACAGCGGGAACATGGATGTTCTTCTAGATGGGGCTCAGCGCGCTTGGACCCAGAAGCGTCTTGTTGATGATTCCTAAACGGCGCTCGCTGTTCTTTTCTTTATTTTTCCTATCTATAGAATCTCTCGCGTACATATCCATTGTTACCTACTTTGTCTATTACCTTATTGGTTTCTCCCCCCGCTCAGTCCTCGGGGCGGGGATGCAAAAAAAAAGAGACAGCGAGAGACACACCAATGTAATCATCATTTCCCGACCTGGAGGCTTTATCATTATCTCTATTCCAATGTTATCATGGTTCTGCTCATGACTTACTCTTGCGCCGGTGTCGCGTCTGTTGCTTTTTTTATCTTCTTTTCCAGATGCCTGCTACTTCGTATCGCACCTCCTACCCCGTCATTTCTTAAGATCTTTTTTCTTTGTAATCTTACGTCTATTCCATCATTGATGGCACATTCAGAATCTACGCTTCTGATATAGAATGAGAATGCTTCCAAGGTTACGATATCGCTTGAGGTTGTGTAGAGCTTTTGAAATATACCCTTAGCTCGACGAGCAATGTGCTATGTACTTAGTATATAGGCTCACAGCGCTTCCTCTTAGTATAGCAATCATTCAAGTATTTGTATTGAGACCAAATAAGCCTATGGCCTTTTGAAACTGGTGAACAATCTCATCCGATCACACGTATGTGAAGATAATCCCAAGGAACAGAATGGAATATCTTCAATGTGAATATGCGTGCCCATCTTCAATGCCGAAGCTCCTTCGCCAGCAACTTTCGAGTGTGAAGCACCTTGCATTTCATTCCGCCACAAATGTCACCTTCCATATCTCCTCCACTCAATTGGCATCGCCCTTGCCTGTCGCGAGTCAGGGCGGTGTGATTCTCGGATCGACATTCGGACAATCCGTCACGGAGGATTGACCGAGTCATTGGGACATACACCCGAGACATGATTCCAGAGCCAGTATTCCTCCATCGTTCTCGATGTCCATCAAATCGAAGAAATCAGATCGGGATGGGGCCGATTCAATGAAACGGGGCCGAAGTCCCACAGTAATCAAACAAGCCTCCCGATCCGACCGAGTGGAGAAAGGGCAGAGCTTCCAATAGAATATCCGATAGGAAATGCAGAGCCCTCATAACGTCCATGGCTTCTCTTCGTAGAGAAGCGCATAAAAAAAGAAAATTGAGATGATTTTCTCAACACGAAAATTAATCCAACAGCCAGATATCCATTCTCACTTCTTGGCGCGGATCCCCCGCAGCACGGTAAAGAAACACACGATCGCAGCCGAGACAACGAAGAACCCAAACGGCGGCCAGTAAATCGGGACGTCCGATTCTAACGCAAGCGCGACAGACTCTTTCAGCTGGGACTGGGACTGGGACTTCCTCAGCTTTGTGTCTTGGTGTGTGTAGCTCTCCGGTTGTGGGTTTGCCGAAGCATCCGTGCCGATCGTTGCATGCGGATCCGGAAGTGAATTTCGAAGTTCCGTCTCCATTTTATGCTCCTTTGATTCCGGCTCCGGTTTTGAAGGGGACCGGTTGGATGAGGGTACGAAGCCTGCTTCGCGCATGGCTGTCTCTTTCATGGCTGCGACCTCATCTTGATCTGGGATGGTTTCCGGGAAGTAGTATCGCTTAGTGTGCGTGTTGGCTAACGCAAGGGATTTGGATGAGGAGGGGTTTTCGTAGGGAGTAGGAAGGGCGAGGATTTGGACTGAGTGCATTAACATGAAGAGAAGGGCCAATTTACGGGCCATTTTCTGATATGCCGTGATATGGCGATATGGTGATAACGGACCTGTGGACGGTGGAGGATTTGACAAGATCGACACGCTTTTTCCAGGGCAAGATGATATGATATATATAAAATAAGAGCAAGAGAGAAGGAAAAGGGAAGAAGAGAAAGAGACACCAAGATCAAAGTAAGAAGAAGTGCACGTGGAGTTTCGGAAACGGAGGCCCTCGCGTGCATAAAGACCTTGAGGCACTTTATGATAACTTTCTTAGTACTCCGTAGTACTCTATCATTTCTGATCTATTATTTAGCAGCATAAAGGCCCTTATCTTTTCTCTTTTCAATGGTCTATCCGCCGAGCCTTATAGAGCCGGGACTGGCCAATAGATAATAGCCTGATACACCCGTGGCCCCTGTTCCCTCTATAATTCTGCAATTTTTGCCGACATAAGTCGGGAACTTCCTAATCGCATTATCCCTCCAATCATACGCATGGGGTTATATCCTTGCGAAGCTAAGCGCCACTGCAAAAGCAGCTCTCCACTCGCGCCAAGACAACGAAACACGCCAAGCCACCTGGGCAAGATCCCCGTGTGTGCACGACGGCCACTGGCCTGCAGACAGGCTGCGACACACAGCAGCTGATTGCTTACAATTAAGTCTGGCAGCGTGATGCCGTGCGCAATCGGTTTGAGTGTCACCGCCGACGCGATTGATCTCCCCCAGGTGCACACCTCTCCAGGATGAAGGGTGGTTGTTACCAAGCTTATCCTAAGATATTAAGTCTTTGGATGGTCTTTTGACTTGCGTAACCCGGAGAGAAGACAGAATTTGCGATGTTAAAGACGAATATATTATAGCAGCCGTTATCCCTGTGGTGAGGCTGCTCATTGAAGTCGCTAATCTGTGGTTGTGCAGCCGGTCAGCCTAGTGTTAAGATGCCGATGAAGGGTGAGGATTAGTTCGTGTGTTCTTGTTCCTTATTATTGAATATGTACCACTTATCAGCACTGCAACATATACTACACAACAATAGAGACATACATATAAACACTTCCAAGCCAAGCTACAGGAGCCACTTGACATACGAGAACTTGCGCAATTGAGCACATATACCAAATGACCGTTCCAATCTAGGAGCATATGATTGTACAGATGGATGTACTAGTAGCGAGAGGGCACTGAGCTGGTCGACAACCCAATGATGCTTGGCGCTGGGACAATCCTATAGCCTGCTGGAAACAGAACATCTGAACTTCCTTATCAATTGGCCTGCCAATTCTGCATCTTGTCTGCTATGGAGTATAATTGGATGGTTGGATAGGCTTGATTTGGAGTATATATAGTTGGGGTATGTATGATGTTGTTCCCAGTGTTGGGGTAGATGTCAATGCAAATGGAGACGTGCAGATAGATCTTCAAATAAGTCTAACAATCAGATGGCTCTATATTGGCGCCGTTAGCTCCGAGATATTGACTTGGGGTAAAGGTCATCTTGGAGATGGATAAGGATGGTTGCAGGTGACCACAGAAGACATATGATTGACCTAGGCAGGTTCCATCCACAGAAGAAAGTAAGTACCAAAGATAATGAGACAGAATGGATTCCGTCTTTCCGTCCTATTAAGAGGTAATATGATATGCTGCTAACACCTCAGATCAGATCTGTTCACTTCTCTAGCATCGCACCAGCCTTTGCGGGCATCAAGGCCCCGGGCGGAGGAGCGTTCTTCGTCTTGAACTCGTCGCAAATCTGTTCCATCGTCACAAATTCAACACCCTCATGCTTTTTGAAGTGTTCAATAAGCCTATTTAACGTCAGTGATACTCCGCGTAAAGTCATCACTAGAGCATACCTTTCATGCATCAGCAGCACATGGGGTCTTCCCGAAACATCCGGGTGGATAGTAATCGGGAAGATAAACTCATCATACTCGCGGTAGAAGTAGTCAAAATGGTCGCGCCAGATATCCTCCACATCCCGCGGGTTAACAAAGCCATGGCTGTTGGGCGCGTTCTTAATGAACATCATCGGTGGTAGATCATCAATATACCAGTTAGAGGGGATTTCAACAAGCCCTGTTTGGGATCCATGCTCAAGAGGCTTCATCCAAGTCTCGGCCTTTTGCTTGTAATCTATCTTAGTCCAGCTGTCGCCTGTTCGGAGGTAGTAAGCTTGGCAGTCCTCGTGGCTCATGCTGTGGTCGTACTCGATGCCATAGTCGAGGAGGAGCTGGGCTCCTTCTTTACTAGTTTCCCACCTATTTGAATTTCATTAGCACTATTGATAAATCCCAAATTAAGACAGCTGTACCAGGGTGCGACGCTTCCACGAGGAGGCTTTCCAGTGAATTCAGTCAACATCCGATATGTTTTCTCGAGCACATCGCGCTGCTGCTCTATGGACATGTCTGTCGGGTTCTCGTGGGAATATCCATGTAGCCCGATCTCGTGGCCGGCATCACGGACTGCGGCCATGTCCTCCGGGAAGGTCTCGAGAGAGTGGCCGGGGATGAACCATGTTGACTTGATATCATATTTCTTAAACAACTTCAACAATCGTTGGGTCCCAACTGTCCCTGCCCAGTATCCTACATGATCGTTAGAGAGCAAAATTACAGACAAGGAACGCTAAAACTTACCCCTGCTGATATCGTTTGTGGAATCCTCTCCGCCATACGAGCCTAGCCAACCGGCCACAGCGTCAACATCCACACCATAGGCAATCAGAACTCGCTTTGGTGCCATTGTTGAACAATCAATAGGTGATCAGACTTGGGAAATTGCCAGGAGATGTTGGCTTTTAAACCGCTCCAAGTGAAATGCGGGGAAGATAAGCCCCTCACCCGTCGGAGTCGCACATATTCCCAGATACAATTCCACCTCATTGACTGATATACTGATTTACTCCTTTACTAATTTACCATATCTTGTCAACTTACAACGTTCCCGTTATCTCTGCCGTGAACTCCATCTACAATGCCGAGATGTCTCCAACGGAATTGGGGTCCGGTGTGTTGGGGTAGGCAGTCCTTGTCTCCAGTGAGACAGGCAGTGAGACCCAGTTAAATGAACTCCAAGATATATAGCATCGGAGAATGCCGATGGAGTAAGGAAAAAGTACAACAGCAGAGATTCTTAATACACTGTGACTTCCCCCAAGGAAGATCCTATCCAGGGCATATCCAACGGTGTCAAAGAGTGACTATGTCAGTTTTTTTCACAAGTATTTCAGAGTAAGTGTTTCAATATTCGGTGATTGCAACGCATAATGACAGTTGTTATAGGACCAACCCCGTCAAGCCGGGTGATGCAGAAGCCCTCCTGAAACCGCTCGGTCTGACCATCGACCCAACCGAGGCACAAGATTTCCACACCCTTCTCGCAGCAGTCCACGACTGTGCCGAAAGCGTGGCCGCATTGCCAGACTATCAACCAGTCCCCGATCAGACCAAGTATCCACGGGAGAATGTGCGCCGACCAAGTGAAAACGAACAGGCTTTTGGTAAAGCCTGGGCACACCGATTTCTCATCCGGGGTAATCCCCGAGGCGGGGTGCTGGCAGGTAAATCCGTGAGTTTGAAGGATGTCATTGCGGTCGCGGGCGTGCCGCAGCTTCTCGGAAGCGATATCATTCCTTCCTGGACACCGACTACGGACGCGACGGTTGTAACGCGATTGCTTGAGGCGGGCGCTGATATCCACGGGACTTCGACGTGTGAAAATATGTGTCACTCTACTTCTTCGTATACCAGTGCTCAGGGTACGATAGAGAACCCAAATGCGAAGGGGTATTCGGCGGGCGGCAGTACCTCTGGCGGTGCAGCGCTGGTCGCCGCTGGTATAGTGGATATTACGATTGGGGGTGACCAGGGCGGTAGTATACGCGTTCCGGCTTCATTTTGTGGATGTATGATCTCTTTCTATCTTGGGGGGGTTACGTATGTGCTGTGAGCTAACTTGCTTCTAGGCGTCGGGCTTAAACCCACCCATGGGCGCGTTCCCTTCACTGGGATTTCTAGCGGCGACGCCATGAATGACCATGCTGGCCCGCTAGCCCGAACAACACTTGAGGCTGCAACTTGTCTAGATGTTATTAGTGGATATGATGGTATCGATGACCGGGCTCTCGGTAGCTCAAAGCCAGGCTCTACCACATTCGCAGCAGCTCTTAAGCAGAACCCGAACGTACTCGACGGCTTCAAGGTCGGCATTGTTGTTGAAGGATTTGGTCACAGTGCAGTAGACCTATGTGTCAAAGGCGCAGTTCTGGCTGCCGTCGATAAATTCAAAGAGCTGGGCGCGTCAGTCGAGGAAATATCTCTTCCCGAGCATCTGCGAGGGTCCGCGATCTGGACTATTCAGCAGCGAATTGCCGGTGCACAGACTCTTCTTGGCCAGAATAGCGGTCGAAGAGGGCTTTACATGACTGAGATGGAACGTGCACGACTTCCATGGAGTGACGATGGCTTCCAGAGAGCGTTCCCGTCCACAAAGAACGTTATAATCAACGGTCTCTATCTAATGCAACAATTCCCTGGTCTCTACGGCAAGACTGCCAATATCGGACGGCTCATCAGTGATAAGTACGAAGCCCTCTTCGAGAAGTACGATATTCTGGTAATGCCTACAACCCCAGTCGTTGCCCCTCGACATGGAAAGCGAGAACTCCCGCTCGATTCGCTTAGGCCTAGTATGGGTCTTACAGTCAATACTGCCGTATTCAATGTGACGGGTCACCCGGCATTATCCATACCCGTCGGGTTTGCTCCAGCAAAGGAGGATAACCAGGTCATGCTGCCAGTTGGGATGCAGATTGTTGGTGGATTGTGGCAAGAAGAGAAGATCCTAAGGGCTGGACATGCCTGGGAGACTAATTTTGACTGGAGAAATATGCATTACTCTGCAGATAAGAACTAGACTACGGCCGGAATGGGGCAAATTTGACAATGCTTGGTTATTTTTACCGCCATAGTAAGGTATCCAATACCCCTTTATTAACGGCCTATCAACCTTACCTACGTATGTAGGTAGCCATATAGTACTTCTATTATCAGCTCTATATTCAACTTCTATATAGCCAAAACGCGTCAACGACGCATATCAACGCATGAAAAGACGCATGAGTATGAATTAGAACAACAGATATAATTGATTTTCTGTCTTTAGGCGTGCCTTTGGTAACTATCAAGTCGGAATGGAAACCTTACCTGTAATGAGAAATGTTATTGAGTAGCTAATACTGCTATTAGCATTAGAGCGGGAAAATGACAGGAAATGAAAGACAGCCTTGGAGAGTAAGTAAGTAGGATGACGAGTAATGAGCGGCACTATCAGATTTTCAGTCTGAGTCCTCTAAGCTAAAGAAAACTAACCCTGGAACCACTAGGAGCTTCCATTTGATCGACAGAGGCGTGTCCTAGAGAGAGGATGAGCAGATTTCGGGTGCATAAGTGGCCGGTATTGATATTGCGGGTGCTGGGCTTTCCAGTTCTGCCTGCACCACTACCCCAATACCAGGAAACACATTTATGCCATCTAGGAAAGATAAAACTGGCCTAGATCACCAGAATGACCATATATCTGAATATGAAGCGAGTTCCATACGCGGACCTCCCGTCCCGAACATCTCCAAATGTCCCCACGTTTATCGCTTATCGCGGGCCGAAAGTCCCGAGTTGGAGGAGTTGGGGTCGGATCTCCCACCTCAACATCCACTGGCCTCTCCAAACCGGTTCTCCATATCCCCCATGTTTCAATGTCCCCATCACCCCAGACGAACCGGGGTGGTGCCCGTGGAGCAAGGGCACGTATCTGCATACACTGCGGTCGGAGCTTCCGACGGACGGAACATTTGGAGCGACATATTCGCACCCGTAAGCCAATTTCCGGGGAGATCCCCGCTAATGCTAACTCGGTAAACTAGACACCAAGGAGAAGCCGTTTATTTGCTTCTGTGGGGCAGCCTTTACTAGAAGGGATCTGTTGAAGCGTCATACGCGCATCTCACATCAAGATGGGCTGACCTCGCCGACGCCGCCCGAGCCAACGACCAAGGCGGATTTCCAGTCAACGCACCATCCTGCACCCATCGCGCAATATGACGCACCAACTAGGCCCGTACCCGTCGAATCCCTTGCAGGATCATCGGCTGCGCACCAATGGGCTGGCGCACAGAACACGCCTTATTTAGGCCCAAACCATAACACCGGCATGCTTCCTACTGCTATTGCAGGAGCCCCACCCCCGGCCATTGATCCCCATACGGGTGTGGTACATGATCCGGATATGCTTCAGGCTGCCCAGCTGCTCCTTCCGGGCGATTACCGACCTACAGGTACGTTTGTATTTTATAGTTGCTCAAGTATATAGTTCCTAATGCCCCGTGCAATTTGCAATATCCTGTTCCTTTGCGGGATAGTATTTGCTTTGACTCTTTTTTGGAGATTCATTCATCTGACATAGAGATAGGTCAACCGATGCCCTACTTGCCCGAAGATCTGAATCATTTCCAGGAATTCACACATTTCTTGGATTCGATTGGCTTGCCGGGGGAATGGGTTCCTAGCGAAGGCGAAACATCTCAGACGCAAGAGGTTAGCCCGGAAGATGTGAGAGAGACAGGTCGAGAGAACCAAGAGCACCATGAGCGGTCACGACGAAGTGGAGAAGGTTCTCGGGGAGACTCACCATTCAGATCCTGGCTTCCATCTGTGCCGAGGGGCGACCAAAGCCTCGGAGCCCTGTCTGATTCTGGTATATAACACTTTATATTGCTATAATTCTGTAGGTCACTGACGATATTCCAGAACCACCCCAAAACGCGAACAGGCTGTCACGATTCAACGTCACCGAAGACCAGCGCTTTCGGCTTGCGGCATCTCTCGAAGAGTTTCGCAATGTCATTCCGGATTTCGTACTGCCGTCGCGTCACACACTGACTCGGTACCTTACTTCCTATTTTGAAGGATTCCAGCCACATCTCCCGTTTATGCACATCCCGACTTTTCATATCAACGAACGTGCCCCTGAGGTGGTTCTTGCTATCATGACGATCGGAGCCCAGTATAGATTTGAGCACCGAAACGCAGAAAGAATATTCCACGTTTCCAAGGCAGTTTTATTTGAACGGATGTCCAGAGAGCCCCGTTTCCCAGCTAGGCCAACCTACAATTCGGGCTCTCAAGTACCGCTGGGGATATCTCCTTATTCCAACTTTGGCGATCAGTCCCTCACACAGCCACAGGTAACAGCGGAAAGAACTGCTGTTTGGAAGCAGATCGAAATCACTCGCTGTCTCCTTATTCTGATGGGCTACGCCACGTGGGAAAACGCCAGACTGGTACAAGAAGCATTCCATCTCCAGGGCTTGTTGGTTCGACATCTCCGCGAGGCTGGCTTGACAGAAGATACGACACGATCTGACCCACGCGCACCCCTTGACTGGTACGAATGGGCGGACCAAGAATCCAGGCGACGCACAAAGTTGATTGCGTTCTGCTTTATCCATGTTCACAGTATCGCATACAATGCTTATCCATCTTTGCGCAGCAATGAGATACACCTGCGTCTTCCATGTTCTACCATCGAATGGAACGCTAGCACCGCCGCTGAATGGGAAGTATCCCAGCGAGAACGAGGTCCCCAGCAGTTGTTCTTCCAAGACGCATTGACCCTCCTCTTGCAAAAGTCCCGATCAGCCAAACCACTAGACCCCATCCCGGCTCCATTGGGTAACTATATCCTCTTGCACGGACTCCTGCAACGAATCCATCTCGTGAGCGAGCTGTCATTACCGAATGGAAACCACTCCACAACCCTCCCAACGGAGGAACTGAATAAACTAGAGTAAGTGCCACACCCACAGATCTTCCCCGGCTCCAATTCCAACTCATCCAAATCATAGACGAGCTCTCCGTTCCTGGACCTCCGTGTGGCAACAAGCTCCGGAATCCAGTCTAGATCCACACAATGCAAACGGCCCAATCCCATTTACGTCCAGTGCATTCCTGGGGCTCGCTTACGTCCGCCTATCTCTAAATCTCGGGCCTCATCGCCGCCTCGAGACCCGCGACCCGACAATAATAGCCACTGCACTCCGCCGCTCTCCACGCCCAGAACGCAGCTACCGTCTCATCCCGGCACTTATATACGCCGCTCATGCCCTCAGCATCCCCGTGCGTTTGGGAATAGACCACATTGCCCGCAGTCAAGCCTTCTTCTGGAGCGTGCGGCACTCCCTAGCTAGTATTGAATGTGCAGTGTTGCTAAGCAAATGGCTGTTTACTCTTGCCGAGGCAGGGCTGGATCAGTCCTTGAGCGGTATGTCCATGTCATGCCTGCTGGTGTGGTTTCTCGGCTAACATTTCTGGTGCAGAGAATGAAACCCGCATTCTACGGTGGACTCGGTGTATTGTCGAAGAGGCGTATTCATCTATTGATACGGATGATGGTGAGGCGCCGCCAGATCTTGAACCGGCTTCTTTGGGAGTGGCTGTTCTCAAGCTGTGGGCTAGGTTGTTTGGAACAAATACTCAGTGGCCGTTTATTAATGTTCTTGGACGGAGCTTGCAAGAGTATATTACTATGATTTGATGTTGATATTATGTCCGGCGTTTGTACATATTGGAATCTTTTGCAAGATAATGTGTTCATGATCTTGGTGGATTACTTTGACTTCTGTACCTATCTTGCCTTCGAATATTTTTTCTAATCATTTGGAGATTGCATTTCCGAATCTTCCATTGAATGATCTCGAATGAAGAGATCTAAATAATGAGCATCTATGACTAAGTTCGGAGTGAAATATTACTGACTGCATTAAATTGCAGCTAGAATGATTCAAAAGCATACATCCATACTGTTGAATATGGAGCATGGCCGTCTTTTTGCGCTTTTCTATTTCCCTTTCTGGCAATTCAGCATCCCGAATCCTCTTTTCTTTCCCCTGTTCCCATTATCCCCGTAATTTCCCAGTTCCCTACTGAGCTTACCCCCGCCAGTGAGCCCAGCACAAGCGAAGGCCGTAGAAAAGTGGCATTTGCCGCCGATCTACGACAGCTCGATCAGCTTCCCCTCCGCGGGAGGGATCTCGACTTCCTCGACCCTAGAATTGAGCGAGATATCTAGGCTCCAACCGCCGGGCAAATTATCGTCGTCCTTAACTAGCTCAGGAAGCAGATATTCCTTTGGTCTCTCACCTGCAACACAATGGGAACCATCAGTGTCGAAGGTCATGAGCTCCTCGTCAAGTGGATTGCGAAGCGTGTCTACTACTTCACTCATAGCTTCGGCCAGACGATCACCAGCCCCATCATATGTAACCATCCAACCCTTGGCTGAGGCAACAGGCTGGTCCTCGCCTGCACCCGAAGCCTCGGCCTGACCATCATCGTCGTCGAAATTGATTAGGGTCCCCTCGACCGGACCAGCCACGTTCTGTTTAACTGGGGTGGTATCTTTCTGAGGACCGTTTGCTCTAACTATCAATCCAGCTCGACGGTAATCATCCAACACGGCGCCACCCTCCGCAAACGCCTGCCACCGACGCACTCCCTCGGCACAACGCATTGCATCTTCTGCGGTGGAGGTAGATTTGAGATTTAGGGCCCGGGCTCGTGTGATGGGACCGATCTTTTGCTCATCATCGTCGCCATCGAAATCATCCCAGTCGGATCCGGCGTCAAAGACCTGGGTTTTGCTGTCCTTGCCCATACCACAGAAGCAATCGTGAGCGTGTGGTGGAGAGCACACACAAATGCAAGGTGTGTTACAGCAGTCGCGAATTTCACGGCAGCGCTGTTTGCAAGATACCCAGTCATGCTCAGAACTAAAGACGGAAGTTGTCAGTATTTGCATGCATAGAAACTGTGTTTATTGTTGAAACTTACCCGTGGCATTTGCGGGGGCATGGATGTCCACATGGCAAATCCTTGCCACAAGGCTTGTTGCAACCATCGCTGATGGTGTTCCAGTCCTTGAGAACTAGAAGAAGCAATTAGATTTTATCCTCTTTCATTAGTATTTCTAGACATGGTAGGGACTCACTTTCGATGAGGGTTTCTTGGTTGTGTCTTGCGCAATACAGAGGCAGAGCTGGGCCAATACGGGTGTCTTCTGGATTCTCGGACATCACACTGGTAACTGAATACCAGAAGTTACTGTGTTTGCTAACACATTGTGCGTTGCCAAATATATAAAGACCGTATTTAGCGCGGGACAAGGCAACGCAGATTCTGTTGTCCTGTGCGAGAAAGCCGATACCTCGATGATCATTGGATCGAACGAGCGAGAGGATGATAATATCATTCTCCTCTCCTTGGTATGAGTCGACAGTCAGTATATTGACGTATGATTTGGAGACATTGTGGTTCTGTGACTTCTTTCGCATGATCAACTTCCGTTGCCCATTGTAGAAAGTCAGTACAGTGATACTGGATGACGGAACTTTGTTCATGACAAGGTAGGCAAGGAAATTAACCACCATTGAAGCCTCGAAGTCATTCACCTTGGATAACAGACTGTCGTTGCTTTCATGGGAGGTGTGGTCGAAGAAGAATGATCGTTTATCTCCCATACCAGGAACCAAAGGGTGATCTTCAACAGACTGATGGTCACGAAGAAGATCCCCATAGATTGGGGCCACAAGCTTTCTGATTTCTGGCACCATTCGCCTTTGTTCTTGCAGCATCGCGTATGGCATTTCATTTATCATGAGGCGCTCAAACATAGAGACGTCGAGGTAGAAAGGGTGACCACACAGTTCATAGTCGGCACATTGACCCTTGAGCTGTTGGTGATCACCAACAAGAATCAGATGCTGAAGTGATGGGAAGCAAGCGACTGCGACTGGGGCCTCAAGCACCTCTGCTGCCTCCTCGATCAAAATGACTCGGGGATTCAAACTGGAGACTAGTCCTCTGTATTTGCTCAGACCGGTGGTGGTCATGCCGATGATCTTCGCTTCTTGAAGAATGCAGTAGTCCCGTTCAAATCTACCAATTTGAAAATTGGTCGAGCAATATTTGTAAGTTTGAGCGAGGCGCTGCACCTGTTCTCCCAGGACAGCTATCAGCTGCTCACGTAGGTAGTCATAGACAGCACCGCGATACCTCTTGTGAATCTTGTAAATGTCCTTCTCTTTCAATAGATGTTCAAGCGTTGTCCGAGAGACTTTGGCACTGTTGGAGCTGCAAAGACCAGGCGACAGTGGGAAAAAACGGGTTTTGAAAGCCGACCAGTCATCTTCATATCTTCCATGTTCGACTTCGATCTCCTTGAGTTGCTCGTACTCCAGGTCAATATCATCATTATCGAACCCAAAGTCACCAGCATATTCGGGGTCGAACTCGCGCACGCAGTCTGAAAGCCAAGCCGCCAAAGGGTCGGCATTTGCCGGGATATTGGATTGCTGCCATTTTTGTGCGGTTTCTTGCAAGGAGTCAACCTGCTCTTGGCTCAGAAGACCGTGCTCCAGAAATAAAGATGCAGCAAGAGGCTTGCTGTTGTTTGATGGTGCAAGTGGTTCTAGGAGCTTATCAAGCTCAGCCGCGATTTTGTTCTGCTTCTTTCTCATTGGAGTCATCAAACCTCCCTCAATTGTCAATAGGCCCTGGTTTTGTCTGATCTCATAAGGGGTGCGCTTGCGAATTTCAGGATCGGAAGTTCTCCCGCCCAGCCGGACATAGTTCTTCTCGAACACCGAGATATGCTTGATCAGTTGATCGAGGGCATGGTTCGTTTGAGCAGCTATGATGATTGGTGGATCATTTGGCCCTTTGTTCGAGAGCATCATCTTTAGAGCAGCGATGGAGGTAAAGGTCTTGCCTGTTCCTGGAGGGCCCTGAATGATGGCCAGCTTTTTAGTCAACATTCGGTTCAGGGCTGACCATTGGGATGCATCTAGCTTTCCCATTGGCTGGGATGGCCATTGCTGGAGGATGTCGTACTTTGTGGTGATATCGAGTGCAGACACTTCAGATAATGGCGCGAAGTCCATGCATGGCGCGGTGTTAATGTATCCCGGTGCATCAATGTCTCCTGCCAAGCTGCAGATTTGTTCATTCAACGGAAAACTAGACAGGGTTAGATAACTATTTCAATAAGGGAAGCACCAATTTGTCACCTAACCTTTCCTTTGACAACTTTTGCAGTGCTGTCAGGGTATGTCGGCTTGCCTCAAAATATCCTGCTCGAGCCTCGACCATGATCCATTCTTGCCTAGTGAAATATAATAATCAGCCTTATCGTATCTTGTAGGGTTACCGAGCATATTATTTACTCACTGTGGATCGACCTCGATATCGTCGGGCGAGGCCAAAAATAGATCGACCTCTGGGGGGTCTTTCTCAACCGCTTCCAGCAGGCGACAAGCCACGACGGCGACGACGCATCTGCTCAAGAATGCATTGTGCTTGGGGGTTAGGGCAACGATTGTCCCGGGATTAAGACGGTTAGAGTATGTCCAGGCAATGTTTTTGCCCGCGCGGCGAGTAGAGAATTGGATGTGCAATGCCAAACCCGCGCGGGCTAGGGTAACACCGACGAGGAAGACCTGTGGGGTAAAAGAGTATGAGAATTAGATCTGTAATTTCCAAAACCAAGAAAATGGAATGGGAAAGGAGTACTCACCTTCTCATAAATAGAGACATCTGGAGTATCCTTCATAAAAGGATCAGCGCGAACCCTAGCTACAGCGTTTCGAAGCGGTGCAATCGAGTCTTCCCGGATCAATGCATAATGGGCCTCTAGGTATTCCTCCTTGGAAGCCCAAGGCTCCGAGATGCAATTGGGGGTAAGAGCAACAAAGTCTCCCGGTATATCTGTCCCGAGGACTTCTTCGGTCGAAGGAAGCTCTGGCTTGGTTTGCCAAACTCTCCAAGGACCATAGACAGGTAGGTCCGGGTCGAAGTACTGGCGGATTTCAGGATTAACGGGCCTGACCTTCTCCTTGGGCCGATGTCCATATTGAAAGCGAGAATGGGACATGGTCGTCTAAAGAATGTGGGGGGTGACAAGGTGCAGAAGAAAGAGAAGTGGCATAAACTGTCGAAGTCAAATCTAATGCAGAGTATGCGTCAGGCGTACGAGAATGAATTAGGACAAAATATGATAAGCTATGTATGAAATTAAGTGAGGTCCGAGTGAGAAGTGACTGAAGTTGTCTGTAAGGAAGGATGTCGAAGGATAGAAGTCAAAGCGGTCCAGAGACTGTTTGCTATATCGGATTGAGTAGATATATTTCACTAAGAGTATTAAATTCTAAGAAATGGATTCAGGATGCGTACATAATATATACTTAATGAACATCCAACATCCCATACAAGATCACATTGGCCATAGACATGCCATGCTATGAACCTTCTATATTACGAATTCGTATGATATTACTATTATCATAATCGGTTTTCCATGTATTGGATATGCATATCATAATGTCTTCCGAGCAAGCAAACCTTGGAATCTCAATGATTTCCCCTTTGAAGAATATCTTCAAGCTCATCCTCGCCAAATCTATTTACATAGTATAATAACATAGTACTATATTTAGGGAACCATCTCCATCCTGTATAGCATAAGGATATTATCTATTAGGGCATTAATACATGTAGATATAACGATTGACGTGGTAGATTGTATGAGTATACTCAGAAGGAGCCCTTGACGCTCATTGGTCCGCCAAGCACCGGCTCCATTCCAAAGTCCATTTTAAGCCGCGTAACTCGCGACTCTTCTTCTCCTTTGTCTTGTACTCCGCTGGAGCATAATTCCGATCTCATCGTCATTTCCTTATTTCCGTTTGCGCCGGGGCTCTTTGTTTGAAAGCCCACCCCCCTGCGTCAATTGCTCCGCGCAAACGATAGCTACCCCACAAGTCGGACTGCCACGAGAGCGGTAATCATGGGTTCACTAGAAGAAGAAGAGGACCGTGACATGGGAGGTATGCCAATTCTTTGTTCCAATTATTTGGCGATCGATCTTAACCTTGCTAACCACGCCCGCGATTCCCTAGGCTCCCAGGACGGAAGCTCCGATAACGAGAACGACAACGATATGGACGATACCATGCGCGATGTCGATGATGGCGAGGGCGACAACGATAATGATCAAGACGGGGATGGGGATCAAGATGCTGATAGCCCGTCGAATGCGAGCCAGGCGTCCGAGGGCCCTGGCATGCAACAAAACACCAATGGCGCCGGCGACAACTCCGGATTTGAACCATTCTCCATTTACCACCCAAGCTTGCGCCCCGAATGCCTCACAGCCCGGACGTACGATGTGGTCCCAACCACCGCCGCGCCGCATGCCACCTCGATCAATGCCATCACAGCGACAGCGGATATGCGTTGGGTTTTCACCGGTGGATCGGATGGATTCGTGCGGAAGTTCAACTGGGCGGAGTCAATAAACAGCAAGCTGATGTTGACCGTGGCGCAAAGGCATCCCTTCGTGGATAGTGTGGTCAAAGCTGGAGTCCTGATGACGTACTGGGAGAACATGGATGGCAGCCACTTGTCACCGGTGTACTCTTTGGCCAGCCATAGCGAAGGATTGTGGCTACTTTCCGGGTTAGAATCCGGGGTGATTCGTCTCCAAACTCTGCGCCACGATGAGGGAAAGGAAATCGCCCTTTTGCGACAACATACCTCGGCAGTGTCCTCCCTGAACCTCACATCAGATGAAGAATCATTGCTCTCCGGGAGCTGGGATAAACGGGTCTTTGACTGGGATCTGCATACCGGTCAAGCTAGACGGGCTTTCGGTGGCAGCAGTAGACAAATATCTGCTTTGCAGATTCGACCAGAGTCTAGCCTTCCCGTCCCTAAGGACACAATCGAACCGCAGCAGACCAATGGCACATATGCATCAAACTATGCTGCCCCTGGTACAGACAGCTTCAACTTCATGGATACGTCCCGCAGCAACGGGGAGTCAGGCCCAGTCGAGAACCCGCAGGCGGGCTCCCCGGCAGACTCACTCTTTGGCGGAGCGGACTCATTGTTCGGTGACGCTGATGGCGGAGCTGCAGATGGTGGTGAGCCATCCGGTGGAGTATTTGGGGTAGACGAGGACGACGAATTTAGCCGCGCTGTAGCCAATGGTGCTATGCCGGATGCCGACGCACCAGGGGAAGTTGATGATGAAATACCTGCCCAACCAGATGTGGGACATACACAAAGCACGCACAATCCATTGTCGAATCAAACAACCGCTGATACAGATGCGCCGGTCCAGAAGATGGAAATAAACGATGCGGACATTCCGAATGGCCCAGTGCAGCCAGTTGTCAATGGAATCCCCAAAGCAGAGGATCTCGAGACACCCTCATCGGCCCCAGACTTCTCACAAAATACGCAACAGGAACAAGGTGTGACGAGTGATAACACGTTCCTAGCTGCCTCGATCGATGGAACAATCCGTGTTTGGGACCGACGACAGCCTGATCCTGTCGCTCGCATTAACCCGTATAATTCTCCTCCATGGTGTATGAATGCTTGTTGGTCCCCTGATGGAAATTATATCTACGCCGGACGCCGCAATGGCACTGTTGAGGAATACAGTCTCCACAAGGGTTTGAGAAATGCTGAACGAACATTCAAATTCCCACAGGGAAGTGGGCCGGTGACAGCACTCAAGGCCATGCCGAACGGGCGTCATCTTGTCTGGTGAGTAAAGGACCACCGCCCAGTGCGGAACCTTTTTTTCTAACCGTTTTTATTTACAGTGCATCTCATGATATCCTCCGCCTCTATGATCTACAAAACGTGCAAGGCGACCAGTCTTCTCGTCATTCGCCAGTTCCGTTCCTCATCATTCCTGGCCATCGGACCGGAACTATCTCTCAGCTGTATGTTGACAATGCATGCCGTTACATGATCTCCACCAGTGGTAACCGGGGCTGGGAGGGAAACACCACTGAAGTCCTCCTGGGTTACGAGATCGGTGTGCCGCAGTAGAGATAGCTATGAATGATGGACATGTAAAAGCACAATGGAGCATACTCACACATAATGAACGAATATCATGACTTGAAATCTGAACGAGTGAGAAATTCATAGAATGGAACTGATACAGGCAGTAAACATTTCTCGCCTAAAGCGCAAACTCTGAAATTGAAACAATTGCCATATAAAAATATCTTATATGGATGCATATCGCAAATACCAACGCCAGTTCCCCTCCATATTTACAACCTGTACAAGACCATGTCACATATAAACCGAACGATCATTGCTCATCATGGACGATTTCGTCCAAGTCCAACCCCTCACAAACTTCAGCTTGCTGAGATCGCCAAGTTCCGAAGTAGGGATTGTTTGCCCACTTAACATGTCCGTCACTATCGCTATCGAAATAGACATAGCCAGGCTGATCGACATCTGCCGACTTCGCTGCTTTGGCAGCTCCCCGAAGGCCAACCACAAGACCACCAAAACCAGGTAATGCAACATTGGGAACATGAGTCCTTGCCTCAACATTGCCATTCTCCAAATTATTGACGGTAATGAGATAAACAGGCGGAAGATCCGCCTCACGATTTGCACGAAGCGGCATAGGAATCCATGCCTCATTATTGTAGGATTCTGGGCGGTTCTTGTCATGGCGGAGGGGCAGCGGCCGATCCAAGAGCATGCCATCCAGTTTTCCTGTGTCTAAAAGTAGACCCGGTGTTTGAACATAGAGGACGCTGTCATACTGCATGAACTGGATCTGGCCGAGGTGGAGCAGCTTGCTGTTCGTTGTTGAGTAGCCTGCAGCTGTAGCTGCCGACATGTCGATGGGAAGCAGCCAGATATTGTATTTGGCGCTGGCGGCGCGTAATATTGATAAAGCTTTAGTGGCGGATGAGCCCAGTTTCTTGGCTGACATTCGGTCCCATTGCTCTGGGTACATGAACAGGCGGTCTTGGACGGCTGTTCCATTTGTGGAGAGTTGTTTGAAGAAGAGGATTGCGGAGCATATGTCTGATGGATCTGGTTCAGATAGCATTTGGAGATAGGCATAGTTTCCAAATGAGTGGTAATTGGGTTGACTCCCAATAATTGGTATATCTTCATCAGCCCCATAGCTGGTGTCTGATAGACCTCGTTTCAGTGGCTTCTGGAATGCGGGGCCCGACCTGTGTTTGGCAATTTGGGCGGTTTCCGGGGGCTTCAAAGCATGTTGGATGTTCTTGACAGATTGTTGCTGTAGTACATATCCGGAGAGAAATAACAATGCGGTAAATATGCAGATCACTCCCATCGACACGATCGCCGAAACTGTGGAGGACGTGAGAAGAACCATGGCCACAAGGGAGGCTGCATGGGATGGATAGCGAGAATGGGATGAGACAAAAGTTAAAATTTAGACATGCATGACCCCCCGGGATGATGCTCGAGATATACAATCTTGGACTATTGTTCTCCAACGATGTCTTATTGTTAGGCTTGTTAGGCTTGTTTCATGGCATCAAGTTGTTTACGTTGTCCGCGCGATTATCGATAAGCCCAGTCTTGGCGGTGTCACTTCACAGTGTTTGGCTGATCAGGATAGTTATTTTTAGGTTATTGACAATCGCCCATCTTGATGAATAATAGATATCCATAGTTCCTGTTACTTATTAAAATGTAAAAGCAAATGAGAAAGTAATGTATAGTGAGAAAGCACGCTTTATACCCAGGGCTCTTTGTACAAACGTCGAGCCACGGGGATAAAGGCGGTCACAAGGGCGGTATCCCGCAAATCCGCATTATCGCGATGGCTTCAAAAAAACTGCCGTAGCCCTTTTCACTTGGATGCCTTGGCACCTCTACGTCCGCCCTCACTTCCAAAATGGCAGCCCATCGTGCCGATGCCAGCTCGTTCCTCGATAACCGCGGCTACAAGGGCCCCCTGGTCCGTGGCGTCAACCCCGCCACGCTCTTCGAGAAAGCCGTGCGCGACCGCATCACCGACTCATACTACTGGAAGGAACAGTGCTTCGGTTTGAACGCAGCGACTTTGTGCGATCGCGCAGTCGAACTGACCTCCATCGGTGGAACATATGGTGTCTCTGAAAAACCAACCCCCTTCCTTTGCCTCGCATTCAAGCTCCTCCAGCTCGGGCCCGACCGAGACGTCATCCTCGAACTCCTCAATTACACCGACCCCGGCAGTGGCGACGAGGCGGAAGATCCAGATAGTGCTCTTGTCAAGGACCGAGGCGACTTCAAATATCTGCGCGCTCTTGCGGCATTCTATGTGCGACTGACCTTCGACCCGGTCGATGTCTACAAAACCCTGGAACCACTACTTCTCGATTACCGGAAACTGAAGCGACGGGTGCGCGACACTTTCACGCTTACATATATGGATCAGTTCGTCGACGATCTTCTCACGAAAGACCGTGTCTGTGGTACTAGTCTCTGGAAGCTGCCGCCGCGATCACAACTGGAAGACTTAGATTTGCTGGACGAGCGAATCAGTCCCTGTGAGCCAGAAGACTGATGGGTCCAGCATGATTGTTAGATATAAAAACATAACTCTGGAGAGGGGTCGAGGTTTCCAGAAAGACAAGACTAACTCGCCAGTTATAGTGAGTTTTGTCTAAGTGGCTGGTGCTGTGCACTGTCCGCGGGCGCTTTCCCCATAGTCAAACAAGTCAGCTGCCGCCAAGCCTCGGGACATTTTTACCCTTTTGGGTAACCGAAGGGATTCCCATTCGGTATACTTGTTCCCTGTTCTTATCTGTTCCTGTCTGTTTGCAGAATCAATTCATTCAAGACATGGCTTCTCCCGTTCTATCCATATTGAACAGCTAGACCGTCACCTCCGAACAATGGCAAATTATACGTTTCTAGTAATACTGATTGATAGACGTCGTAAACTCGACAACCCTGTGTAAATAATATACGTGCACCTTGTGTACCTCCGGTACCCTATGTACATCGGTGCAGAGGTAGAGCACATGATAAGGACATATAAAAGGAGTAACATGATAAGCATAGACCGGCTTTCGTTAATCCGACTGTGACGTCGACACAGCAGAAACAAGCATAGATCACCGGTATTCGCTCTCCCAACACGGCAAATCCAATCGAATCAGACGACCAAAGCAGCTATTCGATGCGTGCCTCTTGTCACTCTCAATGGATGCGAAGTTCATCCCCGCTTCGGACATCCCTCATCCAAGTGCAACACGATCCGAACATGTTTTGCGCACTGTTAGCCCGGAGAGTACTTATTAGCTTTGCTCCTCGTCGGTCAATGGCTAGGTGCTTACCTTTTGTAAAGCCACCCTATTCAACTGCGCTGGTTTACCCCCTGAATATCGAATCGCCATCCATCTACAGCTTGCCCTAACCCGTATGGATTGAGCCGCTATGGACTTTCTGTCAATCCCGGAGAATCTCTGGCGAGTTGGGTTCATCTTGCTAGCTGCGACTGGAGTCTACGCCTTCATTAATCGGACATTCGGCAGGTGGATCTTGGCTCGAGTAACGCGTGGTCGAAGACATTCAACTGCCCGAACTCCACCGCTATCTTTCTCTCCGCACAAGAAAGCTGCAACAAGCCCAACTGCTCCATCTAGTTATGGCAATGTCCTCCCGCCCCAACGCAGACATGCCCTTGCAGATCTTAGTTGTGATGCTTCACCCGGACGCGACGTGCACGAAGATGAAGTGCGTCGGCATATTTTACCCATGAGCGCCAACTATATGACCAGCCCGTGCGACAAGTATACACCGATGGGATTCTCAGTCGCAGAGATCAAAGGACTTGCAGACTTTCCGGACTATGCCACTCTAAGTGGGGTTCCACTTCCCAGCCCGTATCCCGAATTCAATATCGAGAAAGCACTACCTCGGCCATATCGTCCATTCCGGTGGGCGTATCACCAAACGATGTGTAAGTCCCATAGAAAGCGTAACAACCATGATGTGGAACTAATCTGCTTCGTTCAAAATAGCCTTGACCAAACTCGAAACAGACTGGTGGATCGAGCTCGAAAGCACATACAAGAGCCGCATCGCCCAGCGCAAAGAACTCTACGCCAAGAATCGTAAAGAAGTCCTCGATGCCATCCCAGGCTCCGAGCTTGCTTGCAAAGAGTTAATGGAGATGGTCTTGCAATTTATCTGCGCCAGGTATCCGCAGTACTTTACATTAAAAAGCAAGCGCGTACTACAGAACAATATCCTCGGCACCGAGCAGGACGTCACAGCCAAGCACCCTCTCGAAGTCCTTCTAGACAACGTACCAGAAGATTTCGCAATTATGCTTCGTGATGAGACGACAGGATTCTATTTCCTGCGTGCGGCGGTGATCTGCTCCGCGCTTGGGTGGAATGTGGCGTCGAAGATCGGGAAACAGCTGCATGAGATCCACGAGCCGATTCCGGATTATAAGGAGAAGATGCAGTTCTCGATGGATCGGTATGATTGGTGTTTTTCCTAGGGGGATTCGGATGTCGAAGTGCTTACACATTTAGTTTAGATTCTTCACTAAGATGCCAACTGAAAAACCAATTCAGCGAGGCTCGTGGGGCCTGGAAATTGGACAACCATTGTACATGCCACCCGGGGACCCTCACGAACTGCACCGGCTAAGTCAGCGGGCTGATTTGACAATTGACGAGTGTCACCTGCGGGTGGACTGGCAGACACTCAGACGTCTGCCCTTGTCTGGCGCAGTGGTTTTCAATTTCAAGGGGCTTTTTACTCCAATCACGGAATTCCGCAATGAACCTGGTGTACCGGGTTTGGTGATGAAGATCATTACCGAGGGAAAGAAGAACCTCATGGATTACAAGAGTGTTTGGCATGTGCAGCATGTTGTACTTCCTCAATTGAAGGAATGGGCAGAGGAGCAGAAGGAGAATGGGTTAGTTCCAGAAGATTGGGAAGCATCTACTTTGGACGACAGTCCATGGTTCAAGGGTTGGCAAGAGAAGTGGCATCGGCAGCAGGGATTCTAGGTGGTTTGTATGTAATTGTTCGCGGGCATTGTTTCTCTGGTTGAATAGTTTCATCCAAGATGGTATCTGTCATTCATGCTCGCCTATCTCTTGATGTTGAAGTCATAGGCAAGGTTTCTCCTGACATTACCAAGAAATAAAAGATTATCACGGTATCAGTGAAGTGGTGACGGATAGGTTCGCCTATTGAGGCAGCGTCAGAATCCTGGTGTTTTGGCAAATCTCTCAGCTCGTCGAATCTTTTAGTGGTGGCGTGGGGATAGCTGTCTTGAATATAGAACAAGGGTTATCTGTAAAAGAGAACGGAAAGATCTTTTCGTTCGATTCTATGATTATATAGACGGTCAATATGAATTTGACGATATATATCGTCGATATTTTGGCCGACGTTAAATCAACAATCTTGACTATCTCGGTCAAGGCGAGGCTATTGACTTTCTGACAACTGGCCAGACGCTTTGGGGGGCTGTCTCGGGCTGTCTCTTCGAAGATGACACATCCGCATATCGAAAGTTCGGTTGACGCAGCAAAACTGTAATTCCAAATAAAGCCCATTCAAAGGATATCAGACTCTCAACTTGTAATTACATATACTTGTATAATGTTCACATTTCCTAATGATCGCCCCCTTATTATTGTACAGAATGTGTCACCATCAGGGATTGTCGTGGCCAACGGAGCCATTCTTCCCACTGGGACCCAAGATACTGACTGATCGAATCAACCAAATACTTACCACCGTCACAGAATACCCACGAGTGTTTGTGGGTGTCAACAAGGGCACCGAAATGCGCCAAAATAACCAAAGCCTCACCCTTCCTCTGCGCAACCAGATCAATGTATTCGCGAGGGACAATTACGGGCCATGCAACGACAACATGTACGCTGTTGGGCCCTGGAATCGGATTGTCCATCACGGTTATGGCAGATTGCAAGGCCTGGATAGCCTGTTGGTATGTCCTTATAGTAGTGTCATCGTGACCAAGACCTTTAATACGGTCCAAAAGGACCAGGCAAACCGGACCTAGGCTTGCATCCAGTGAAGGCATTATTTGTCCAAGCTCCAAGAGCGGTCTCAATGCTGTTTGTTGCAAAAGTTCCCATCTTCCCCCGCCTGCGACAGTGCGTACCCCGCGGTGCAGCACGACGTACCGAACGAATTGGTCAAGAAAGCTCTCAAAGTTGTTTTCTCGATAGACTAGCGTCTCGCACAGCATGTGTAGGCCCAGAATACCAGCGAATACAAAGATTGAGACGTAATTTTCGTCATTGATTTGTGCTGATAAGTTGTTGAATGAGCTCAATGCATAATTCTGCAGTTGAGTGGAATGGTGTCGATAGTATTCCCGCTGTCCTGGTCTGACAATGCTAAGATGCAAAGCACTCAGAGAGAGAACCTCGTTCATAAGATACGGCGCATTAAGCCCGTATCGCAAGATATCCTGGAATGGGACATCAGAGAAATTGTGCGGACGATTGAATCCGTTCAATGAATCTGAGGAGAAGTTGTGAACAAGCTCCACGTGGAGCATATTAACGGGAGCATCTTCGGGACTATTGCCGGGTTCTTGGGCGGGTGAAGAGATCACGGCCGGTGACGCAACGGTAGGTGGCCCAGTAGCAGTTTCACGTCTAACGTTGCGAGAGGAACTTTCGCTAAAAAGAGTCTGCAGAAACTGGCACTCTCGCTGCGAACTAATACAGTTGGAGCATATGGGCCTTTTCTCATCACACTGAGCGGGGTCAGCGGCTGCACATAGGCGGTCGTTGAGTGACAAACCTTCATGTGACGGCGCTTGCATTCAATGCAGCCATTTCGAGACTTTTTATGCGTTCTTCGAGCCATTTTGGTCAAGCTGTGACATAGAAAAATATACGGCTAGGGCCGGAACTCTTGGTTCCGATAAGCGAGTAGTATATTTTTTAGACTCTGGGCTTATGACTGGGGTAAATGGTGCAGCCTAGACAGTCCGCAGCAAGCCCAATCTCTAGGCCCACATATACTATACCGTGAATGCACTTGGAATTTCTTGAATACCTCCCGTGAGGTTGGAAAAAATGTGAGAATACGCGTATGCACGGACCACGTCCCCACTTTGGTTAAGGTTAAAAGCCTTGACGCTCGGCGGCTCCGCTGTTTTTGGCGTCTCGTACCATACAGCATATCGATATGCATCGGACTTGCCTATTGAAAGAAATCTGGATCTATTTATATAATATTAGCCTTCTTTTACGTGAGGATATGTACAATTAGCTCATACAGCGTACCAGCCTTTGTGATATCTGTTATAGTATTTAAATCCACCATGGCGTCCCATCACTTTCATTTTACACTCTCTTATGACCCACAACCAATAAACATCCTAATTCCATCATTTCTCCTTTTGTGGCCAGGTCACTTCTCAACTGATATGGCCTACGTCTCCACAAGCTCCAAAGAAAAAGGCTAATGTCGTCCTCACGAACATTCAAAACGGACGCATCAATGCCTGCTTTTTCATTGAGTGCAAGAGGCCTGAGGAGAAGAATGGAAGTGAGGGAGAGGCACCTGAAGCCCGCAGATTTGAGCAGACTTCCGCCAAGCTAGCAGAATATATGCGGGAATGGCAGGGCCGGGACCGTAAGCGCATGGCTTACGGCATTGTGAGCATCGGAGAGCATGTGCGTTTCTACAAGATGGAGGCGTCTTCTACTGAGTTGAAGGAGTACGAGACATCGTGTGGTCAACCCTGCTTGGTCAAGACAAATGTTACCTATGCCCATAACACCCTAACGGATATTCGCGCGGACCTAACTCATGGATAGAGCACCGTGTACCTAGCAAATCATTTGGGGTCACCAGCTGGGACAGCCCCAAAAAGCTTCACTTGCATAATCCACCTCATCATTGAAACGTTAAATAGAAACCGGGACTATTATCTTTGGAAATATGTCCCCTTGCTCCCAGCAGCAATCATCTTCTTGATGCTTTTCGTCCCTTCCACAACATTCCACTTTTGGAAGCTCCACCGAACAAAAGCTTGATTCTGTCTCGATTTTCTCTCGGGGGACCCTGTGACTACACCGGACGCCCTATTAATTTGGACATCGCTGGCTAGGTCTCGCATGAAGTCGAAGAACTCGGTTACATCGGTCGAGCCGCTGCGCACAATGCGAGAGATTCGGTGATACCTCACGCAGTTCAAAATGTCTTCCTCCTCCTCGGACCTACCCTTTTCGCTCGACCTCGACGACGAGCCTCCCTCCCTTTATATGCCGAGTGGGCAGACTCTCCCAGGCCTCCTCCTTGGAAGGAGGCCGAGCCTCCGTCTACATCACCCTAGGTCGAATCATCCGGAGCTGAGTAACACTCATCTGTTCGGATCAACTGGCTCATCAAGACATTCGTGATGGGCGATGTCGTGTCTTTTGTTGTGCAAGGTAGTGCGTCAGGCCTGATGGCCACGGGGAATAACGTGAAGCTGGCCTCGAACGTTGTGGTCGCTGGTCTCGTCATCCAGGTCATCACGCTCGGTCTGTTCATTGTCACGTCGGCTGTCTTCGATGTTCGCATGCACCGATCACCCCCAACAGAGGCTTTTGATGAGCGCATCAACTGGATGAGTCGAGTTGCTCTATGTCGTCGGTGCGCTTACCCTGATTCGGAGCATTTTCAGGGTTGTGGAATATGCCGCTGGATATCCACTTACCCATGAGTGGATGCTGTATGTATTTGACTCTGTTGATGATAATCAGCATGATTATCTGGCGTATTAGGTATCCGGGAACTCTACTGAGACCCATAGTGCCGAACCAGGAGATAGTCACTGAAGAAGTGGCCGGCGTAGAGTCGAAGGGGCGGTAAGTGTATAGACGGGCTTACTTCAATTGGAAACTCACGCTCATTGCTATCTTACTTGCTTTCAAACCTTCTCCGAATCATAAATATCTCAGTTTTGGCATCATGTAGTAGATTCTAGACTGAGTCCTGATCAGTATCTTTCTCTTAACTGGACTTGGCTGTATCTTAACAACGACAGTTTCGGGAATGAAATCAAAAGATTGAAAGCTACATGCTCATATTGTTCATTTTGACATGCACGCAGGCGCGAGATACATGTGTACATAGACATAATGTATGTATACAAACCATAACTTTGGAAAGTGCGAGAGAAAAGGAAGAGAAAGCTAATACTGCAGCCAACAGTAGGTGGCCTAGTGGTAACATGTACATGTGTACTACGAGGGAAGTGCCGAAGATCTTCCACTACCTGGACTGTTCCTATTCAACTCCGGTTGTTCTCGCGTTACCTTTCATTTTTTTCCCTCTCCTTCTTTTCTTACGACTAGAAGATAAATGTCCTTATCCACTTGTATTCCCTCTATTTTTTTATACTGCCTTACATTAGGAAGGATGGATAACCAAAACAGATGCACCATTATTGCTGAATATAGCAAATATGGCCATACCATGCTTGTTTACATGTAGGCTTGGCAATGATCTTCGGCAGATGGATCAAACGGTCATACATTGGCCAATCATGATTCTTACCGCGGACCCACTTATAGTTCGTTTGTATGCATCTACCTAAGTAGTGAACCGCGAGACTTAACAAATGCTAACAAGATATGCAGGAAAGAACAAGGAAACGAACTATTCCGAGTGAGAAATACTGCCAGTCCTCTGACCTTTGTCATCAAAAAGAAAATGTTGACATACCTCTCGAATACATGGATATCGTCCTGGAAACGGGCAGACCTAGAATTCTGGTTCGGCACAACTTTGGAAGGCCCCTGAGTAAGGTTATCATGACGTATGTTGAAGGGAAAGGCTAGCTCTCCATCCACATCAGCACGGAGTACCCGGGTACGCTCGAAATTACTCCAGTATCCATTGATACCATCCAGGATTTCGAGACTGCACAGCGAGTCGTTGCGCTGAGTTCCACCATGGCAGCAAAACCACACTACACACGTCCGATGCGGAGTCATGCTGGTGCTTCTGAAGAGGATGTGCGAAATGAACCGGATTGGGTTATAAGTCATAACCACCGGATCGGGTTTCGCGATCGCGATAATCGGCATCCAGCTTATACACATATTGGCGATGACTGGGTTCCGGATCAGGAGCAGGAATTTCTAGCTCAAGCAAAGAAACATGAGGGTGAGCTCAAGAAAAAGCTGGTGGAACACGATCTGATCAATGTGCGCGATTACATGGACAAGCAAGAGGTGTGCTCTAATTTCTCAAATCCCGTGTCAATCGCCCTTGTACCTGACCTTTCTCTTTCCAGGACTATCATTTGAGGTTACCTCAAAATCACCCACGGGGCTGGCGCTACGTCCTTCATACTACAGAAGACTTTATAAAGTACCAGCAGGATTGGCCTGCCAACGTGAGGAGACGTCAGCTCGAGGAAGAACAGAAGAAGAATGAGAAGCAGAAAGAAAACGACACCCAGGAACCACAGAACGAACATGAATGGAGACGAGGTCGCGGTGAGAATGTGACTCACAAAGAAGCACATGCCACAGGCCAAAAACACCCTGACGATGCCAGCGAGGGGAGGGAGAAAGACCAGGGACAGGGTCCGCAGGAGAAGTATTCACCGCAGGAGCTCTCTTTACTGCGCCTGCTAGAATCGGAGAGCAATTACATTAAGACGCTGAAACAGAACGATGGTAAGGTCGAGTCTCCCGCCGATTTAGCAAAAGATAAGGAGTTGTCCATTAATGAGGATGACCAATTCACCCCCGACAACTGGATCCCCCGATCTTCCCACCTTATCCGCCTAACCGGTAAGCATCCGCTTAACGGTGAGCCAGAGCTGCAAGCCCTGTACGGAGCGGGTCTCATCACTCCAAACTCACTACATTATGTTCGCAACCATGGCGCTGTGCCCCATCTGCTATGGGAAACCCACCAACTCGAGATAGAGGCGGGGAAACTTGTCTTATCGATGGACGACCTCGCAAACAATTACGAAAATATCAACATTGCAGTAGCGTTGGCATGCGACGGCAACCGGAGGAAAGAGCTAAATATGATACGGCGCTCAAAAGGCTTCAATTGGGGGGCTGGGTCCATTAGCTGCGCGTTCTGGAAAGGCCCCCTCCTACGGGATGTGCTTCTGGCCGCTGGCATTCGGGTCCCTGATCCACACCACGGATCCCGCCCACGTTGGGTCCATTTTGAAGGTGCTGATGAGCTAAGGGAGGGAAGATACGCGACATCCATTCCATTGGAATATGTTATGGACTATGAAAACGACGTGATTTTGGCATACGAAATGAACAACGTGCGACTGCCACCGGACCACGGGTATCCAGTGCGCCTAATAGTCCCTGGCTACATCGGTGGCCGTTGTATCAAATGGCTCCAGAGGGTCTGGGTCTCTAACAAGGAGAATGATAGCCATTTTCATATCTGGGACAACAGGGTTCTGCCTAGTTTTATTTTGGATAAGGACTCGGAGTTCTCACACATCATGTTCAATCACCCAAGCACGGCCTGCAATGAGCAGAATCTCAACTCAATTATCACCAGACCTGCACATGGCGAGGCTGTTCCTTTATCTGATGTGAATAAGGATCGGACTTACCGGATAGCAGGCATTGCATACGATGGTGGCGGTCATGAAGTCCAGAGGGTGGAAGTCAGTCTCGACGGTGGGCAAACTTGGTTGTACTGTGTCCGCAAGGTGAGCCTGTCTATTAACCGATTCCAAGTTCATGCGAGTTGTTAAAGTGCTGCAATCAGTTCCCTGAATACCCTATCCGCCATGGAAACAAATTTTGGACCTGGCTCCATTGGTATGTGGATGTGGGAATGCCGCATCTTGTTCGAGCCGAGAGTATCATCGTCCGCTGCTTCAATGTTTTCAAGAACGCGCAGCCAAAGGAGCCCATATGGAACATTATGGGGCAGGTCTCCACCACTACAGTTTGAGTGGCTGTTGGCTAATCTTATATAGAATGATGAACAATTGCTGGTACACCATCCGCCTAGAGATTAGCGACAACGAAAGCGACTCATCAGTGCTGTACTTCCGACATCCCTGCGAGCCTGGCTCAGGGACGGGAGGCTGGATGCAGCCCTCATCAGAGAATCGCATCGAGAATATCAAGCACGAGGCGGCATCACCGCAAAAGCAATTCACGCGCGAGGAAATTGAAAAGCACAACAAGGAAGATGACTGCTGGATTGTCATTAATGGCAAAGTCTACGATGCAACAAGTGTGCTTGACTGGCACCCTGGCGGCACGGCACCTATCATGGCGCATGCGGGTAGAGCACATGCGGATACCACGAATGAATTCGAAAGCATTCATGATGACTATGCGGAGCAAAAGCTAAGCGGTACTATATAACAGTTCTCCGGTTTGTTGAAATATCGACTGATTTGACACAGAATGCGTGCTCGGTGTCGCTACCGAAAAGGCGATCGGGCTTATCAAGAAGCAGGCCGAAGATGCAGCCAAAGAGAGAGCCAAATCCTCAAAGAAGGCTTTTCAGACTGTCTTTGACCGCCATCGGTGGAATGTTGTTCGGTTTAAGGGAAAGGAACAAGTCTCCGAGGATACTCGTCGATACACTTTCTTGCTCCCAGCCGATACGAAGAAGCTCGGTCTTGTCACCTGCCAGCATCTGCAACTGGGCTTCCATTTTAGTGATCGACTTGTCATCAGGCCGTATACGCCCACGAGGCCAATTTTCGAGAGAGAAGAAGATGGCACGTTCGACCTTGTCGTCAAGACATACCCCCCGGATCAATCCCAGCCAGGCGGAACTATCAGCAATATCCTCGACTGTCTGCGTCCGGGTGAGGAAATTGAAGTCAAAGGGCCTTCGGGCGAGATCAAGTACATCGGCCAAGGCAAGTTCATGATTGACGACAAAGAATATCATTTCCGCAATGTCAGTCTTGTCTTGGGAGGATCCGGTATTACCCCCGGATACCAGCTTATCTCACGTATCCTACGTGCCAAGGAACAAGGCCTGGAAGAGGACAAGACCAATCTCAAGGTCGTCGATGCGAACAAGACTGAAGACGATATACTATTGAGGGATGAGTTCGATAGACTTGCAGAGGACCATCCGGATCAGTTCCAGATCACTCATGTTCTTTCACATCCAAGTGATAGATGGACAGAGGAGAAAGGCCATGTGACGAAGGAGATTCTGCAGAAGTATGCATTTGGACCTGAGAAAGAGAATCTGGCGCTTCTTTGTGGGCCCCCGGCTATGATTAAGAAGGCTGTGCTTCCAGCACTTAAGGAGATTGGATACAAGGAGGATGCAAATTTGTTTGGATTTTAATTTCGTTGCCCCTCGCAGTCGAATCCTCAGGTTGCGGCTATGTAACATATCTATTGGAGATTCTGTCTTGGTTGTACTAAGGCTCCGACACTGGCTAGCGCAGTGAAGTGAACTTCAGTCCTACCATGACGGCTAAAGGACGACGTCGACAAGCACACCCCATTTGTCCAGTCTAGGGTTACTTTGTTGTAGATAATCTCTTAAAACACCCAGACACGGCTGGTGCCCATAATCGCCAATTCCGGGCTACTCTCCTGTCTATAGGGACCAATGAGTGTCGTGAGTGTCCCCGGCTTTGAATCCTCCAACTCGGGTCTAGCCGAAAATGTACTGTGCAATTATTAGTTACCTCTGTACGTTTTAGCAATGTTTATGTTCTCTTTTCTATCTTCATTTGATCTATATAAGAAGGTTCGGCCACTTACGTGACCTTGTTGTACCTTTTTACGTGTCTTTCCCTTTGTCGGTTTTACATAGAAAGAAAAGGGGATCTGTCTTTGTTGCCTCAAGCTACCAGTGATTCTGGAGGAAAATACAACATTGAACTCTACGCCCGAAAAAGCACAAAGAGGCTATCTAATCTTGAGATCTAATTAGGCTCCAAATTATACAAAGGACCCTTGTTATTTTGACTGATCTACGGAATTCTAATCTGAGCCACACCTGCTAACAAGGGGACAAAGGTCCGCTAAAAATGTGCGTTTTGCTTGGGTGAAGACAAAGGCAAGGCCTTTCCCTTCAGAGTCTTTGTCCTCAATACAATCTCAATCTTGCGAGGTTTGATACCTGAATCTGCAAAAGCTACATATATAAGCCCCCTTCCTCTGAGAATTAGATATGCATCAAGTTCTCCGCCACTTGTTCACAATTCCAGTCTTCTAGTTCCAGGTTCCCATCCCCTTAGTCCCAGTGGTCAAGTACAACTTACAAGTCTACCTTTCCCCTCCTCGGTACAAAGGACAATTTCGAGAATCATGTCGGCTAACTACAATTGGCAGGCTGTCCACCCGCTCTACGGGGTACCCATTTCCGTCGTGCAAGCCACCGAGCAGCCAGTAATTCGCTGCGACGTTCGTCAAAGGCATACCCTCCCTTCCAGATCCTGGGCGGTTCGTATTTCTACATGGATCAACACTGACTATTTCTTATGGTCTTTGTGCGCTGGTCTCGCCGACTATCGCTCTGACGAGGAGTGGACGAATACCTTCGACACCCACTATCGGAAAACTTGGGATGAAATTCAGGCTCGAGTTCAGGAGATTGATGGGCAATATAGATTCGGTGTACCCATTCCGATGCCCCCAGTCATGAAGGCCGTAGTCATCCACCACTCCGAGAGTGGCCCTGCCGAGACATTCACAGTTCGCCCGGAGGCTCGCCCATCCCATCTTGTCCCTCAGATAGCTAGCATGTCTCGGTATGCTGTATGGGGGCTTTTGCGGTTTGTCAGTGAACGTCAGTCCTCTATGCCTGATCAATTTGACGTAGTTCTAGATATGTCGCGGTCAGCGCCGTCCAACCCTGTAGATACACAGATGGACCAGAGTGTGGCTAGGAAAGGCGTACCTCAAGGCGACTCGAAGGATGATGTGATAGACGCATACTACCACTTTGGAAACTGAGATCAAATATGAGGTGGGTGCTGTCTTCTGGTGTTTCTGCTTTCTTTTATATAAAAAAGTTCTGGGTCTCCCGGGGGAAAGAAATCACAGTTTATTCTCATCATCAGCTCGCCAGACGTGATATAGTAACGTAGGAGGACCTTAGCAAGCGCGGGAATACCTCGATATACAGTGGTAGGGGCTCAATAGGCCTTATGTGATTTGGAAGGCAGGGGTCTTATTCGGATTATTCTGGAGTCACTATCGGTGTGGGATTTCCATTTCTATAAAGGTGCGTGCATATCCCACCAACTCACTCCCAGCTGTGCCATCGGCCAATGAAGCCAGACTTTGAGTGATGTGTTCAGGTAATCATATATCTCACGGATCAATCTCTCAGGGCACCCATAAATCCAGTACACAGGTTCTCTGCATTTGAGAATTACACGAGCATATCCGAAGATGATAAACGAATACGGGTCCTTTCTAGAGAGCAGGTCACCAAACTGCTGTGTCTGGTAGAAGTTCGGCTTGGACGTGGCTTGAAAACGCCTGCAGGTGCTTCTCAATGTTGGCGGAGTGGCCGTCTTGATTATCAATATTCTGGGACTTAGATATTGGACTCGGACCCAGTACGTGACACCCAGAGCCATGGACCTCCGGAGCAATGTCCTGACGGTAAGAACCCCGCCGAGCCGAAAGTCAAATTAAGCTTCTTCGAAAGTATCAAGGCTTTTCTTTGGGGAGAGTAACGGAGGCCTCAGCATTGCACCTGTGGTACAATTGTACGGTTCCAGAGCTGGGAAACGCAAGTGGATATCCGGCTTAGGATGGCACAATTCTAGTGTTTGTCAAAAATATGGTGGAACTGCAGGCCAATTTCTGTTTATTTACTTGAGAACCTCTTAGGATATTGAAATCCGACCTCAGATAAAAGTTCAAATCATCCATCGTCCGCATGCCCTACTCGGAAGGTTGTGAATCGTGTTAGAGAATGGGGAGCAATTTTGGATCTTGCAAGGACGTGATGGCAACTTGCGTGCAAACTCTATGTTATAGACGATGTAGATTCGCCCGTAGTAGTCAGCGAAGCTTTCAGCACTGACGGCTTCCGTTCCGTCACCCGCACCGAATAAAAGACGATCGGCGTCTTCTTCTATTGATGCGGTGTCGTTGCGACCAATCTGGCTAGTTGCTTCACTAGGCTAATGGCCTTGTGCTAGGAACATTGCAGCATGTAGAAGGTCGAGATCGGCAGCGGGCAGTTGAATTTGGAATGTGGTTCTGAGCCCCAGATGAGCGGAACTGACGGGGATTGACAGCACCGGCATTGATGGCACTAGCGGACCTTGAAGTAAGCGCGACAATAGTTGTTTCTAGTACTCAACGACATACTTCTTCGCATCCTGTCAAATTTCTTCGTTTCATTGGTTGCGTTATTGGGTTTATCGCTACCTTGAACCATTGTTATGATCTCGCCATGTTGATGAGGGTTGGTGCCGCCGTGATGAGACAGACCAGCTTGGTTCCGATGTCGACACTGAGATCATAGCTACACCGGAATTCTGGGAGACGTTAATCGGTAGAAACTTCGCCGTCCCTGTAGACGAAGGCGAAGCTGTTGATTCGTCCTCTACCGGTGCGCCAACCAGATCGCTACTCTATGAGGATCCAGAAGAGCTTCGATCATTTGAGCAATCAACGCCGAGTTATTTTCACTTAGATAAAAAAAGTACCGAAGGTGACCGAGAATTCGTTTGACGCGTCGCAGGATTGTTCTGGTCCTGAGGCTGCAAGAATTGAGGAGGTTGCAAATGGTGACGCAGGTACGCTTGTTCGACGACTATTTGTGGCTGTTATATTAACGATAGCAGCAAAAATGAATGGAAACGATTCCTCAGACAAAACAGCCTCAGCTTGGGATCCTTCCATATCTACTACCATCGGCGATGAACTAGACTAGCCGCGATCTACGATCGCATGGACCACTGTCGGAACGCCGATTATCAACACGCTAAAGCTTTTCATGATGAGATGCAGTCCCCTCGGTGAGTCAGACACCTTACCATGTAGGATCAATCCGTTTGCTGATATTTAGATGTTTCAGAATAGACGATGCCAAGTAATTCAAACAGGACCAAACAGCAACAAGAACCGAGCGCAGACGGCCATGTGACCATGCGATTGTATTTTCCAGAGTTCCAGAAGAGGGCTGCGCGGCTAGAAGTATTTATAGTCGACCAAGTTGCCATCCGAAATACCTTGTTTAGGCCAGTTTCAACTTCCAACCTAGAAAATTTCAAGCAGGACGATATCCTCCTCGGACGAGGCGTTGTGGTCATCCCCTTGAAAGGACCAGACCTAAAATGCTTCCTCACCTTTTCTCCTGAGAAGAATCAGGTCTATCACAGTACTAATGCGCCTAGGTGTGGAAAGTGGCCACACGGCGTTGCCATCATTGAATCGGCCGTCCCAGAGCGGCAAAGGAATTCGTCGGACGAGTTCTCTATCGAACTTTATAAGACATGGGCCCCGTCAAACTCAGAGTATGAAGGCCCAGAAGAATTTTTTGGAAGAGTTGTTGTGAGCGCTCACTCAGGTGGGGTAGATCCAAAACGCTTCCTCACCTTCTCAACTGAGCAGTCTTCAGCCGATCGCAAACTTCGTTCGCCTGCGACGGGTTATCAAAAGAATACTGCAAATTTGCTAAGCTTAGAAGCACACGTCGATCTACGTCCAGAAGGCGAAGGCACAGAGGCAATGTTTCTCAAGCTGAACAACATGGAGTTGAACGGCGTGCCTGGACCTTCGATGACTAGCGGCGCTATTACTCAGGAAATAACAGACGAAACTGATACTTCCGTTGGGACGAGCCTACCACATTGCTCCCATGATGCCGAATCAGTGAAGCGCAAATTATCACACGACGGTATGCGTTCTGAGCTCAGACGATCAGGGCGATTGACCAGAAGAGCTAGGACTTGACGGTGATGGTTCCTTTCTTCGGGCGAGATCTGGTATTCGGCTTATGGCCGTTGCGAGAGGCAAGATATCGATCAGGACTACTCTTCCCAATCTACGTATTATTGACAATCCTCACGATCATGACATGCCATTCGAAACCAACAGGAACGTTTCTAGGCTGTCCCACATACCTATCCATAACTTATCCATGTAGTTCGGAGGGATGCCTTTCTGCTCCTAACTCGCATGGCCCATAACATGCTTCCTGGGTCCTTATTACCTGGCTCGAAAGATACCCAATTAACTTGTCCTGGGTATTGCCAGTGGCCTTGGATTGGCGTCGCACTCGAAGGCTGTAGAACGCTAAGAGCGACAAAGCCAGTACCAAAGGCACACCCAGGCCCACACCTAGTCCTACTCCAATGCCAACTACTGACTTATACGAGGCGCTTTTGTCCGAGGTTGACACAGAAGTATGTGTTGAGGAAAGTGATGAGGATATAGTGGGCGGGAAATTGGTCGAAGAGCTGGCCGAGTTGGTCGTAGAGCCAGATGATGTGTCGGTTGATGAGATAGATGAGACGCCATTCTGGGCCGCAGTCACATCGACACCAGAGTCTCCCTCCCACATCCACGTTTCTACACTCTGCTCACAGGCAGTCTTGCCATCGACTGCAGTACTGCAAGTAAAATTGCCTCTCACGGTGCCAGAGCATGTCAGGAGATTAGCCCATTGGTCTGTGATAGGTATAAAGAACAGGGAAGTACGTCGTTAGCCTTCGATAGAATTGGCCGTAAGTTGCCAGGACGTATCATACGTACTGGTATAACATGCCCGGGGGCAATCGGCGATCGGCCATGACGAATCCGTGCAGGCACCGCGGTATGCAATGTTGTATCTCGCCGCATAACAGAGGCCATTCGAGAGACAGGCCTCGCCTTTGAGGCAGCAGACCTTGCTATCGGGACAGGAAACGTAGCTTCCGGCATCGCCACCGTTAGGCCAGTAACATTCTGCCGTCGTCGAAGGGATGAGAACTGCCAGAAAGAGAGCTGCTCGTATTGCCAGGTGAGTTTGAGAGACCCAGAAAGTTGACATTGATGCAAAAATTTTACCAGCCGGGCTTATTTGAGAAATGGGTCAGAAATACATTCATATAATGGAGTAGCCCCAGCTTCCCCTCTTTCTCTGTCCAGCTTTCCTCTCCAGATAATCGATCAACTTCCTGTAAACGGACAAGATAAGAGAGAACATGGCTCCTTCCTGCAGGCTAACCGTCGCTAATTGGTGGGGCTTTGGGGCTGGCACAAATTACCCGCCGGGGCGTGCCAACACCTGCATTAGTCCGGCGCGTAATCTTCAATAGGCATGGCGAGTGTGGGAACCCTGTTGGTACACGGTCAGGCCACTTCCATCTGGCCTAGTGGCCCCCAACAGCCTCAATTGGCCCCCAAACTGCGCCCACACCAGCCCTATACCGGCCGCAAGCCACGTCAGGGATGCGATCGAATGATCTGAGATCAAGTTTCATATCATTGACTATTACAGTCGGAGAACGTCGATGGTTATTACCAGGGTGAATGAGGCAGTGTGATTGCTAGGGCCAGGGCGGGGTTATGCTCCCCTCCCCTATCCCTATCCTCACTGGCTTGGGGCGATTATCCTCAAATGTGATCATTGTACAGTACGAGCTTACATACGTTCATTATGTACCCTCGTTGCGCAACGGAGGCTAACAATTAAAGGGTATAGATATCTAGTTTAAACTCCCCCGCTAGTAACAGACTAAAGCTAGATTTTCCGGTTCTAGGAGGTCTATATAAAAGGTAGCCTCGTTAGTAGGGTATTCTATAGTCGGCGTACCACTTTTAAGTATCTTCGTCTAGAAAGTCCTTTATATCTCCTAAAAGGTTATCCTATACTTGCTTATCTATAATAACTATAGAGAGCGTTCGAATTGGCCTTAACCTAGTCTTCTTCTAGTCCCTTCGCGCGTGTCCTTCCACACTATCATATTTTTGGCAACTAATGCCTAATGTTTGTATTTTGTTGAGAATTCTGACGAAATTCTCTTCGCGACATCAGCCTCGGCTGTGAAATCCACGGCTGAGGCTGATGTATGCAGCCTAGGTCGTCGAACCAAATTAAGACAAAATCTAGATTCTATATTGTATAAAAATTATACTGAAATATCTTCGATTTGCTTACCCTCCCTTGTATTTCTTGGTTTTAATCCATTTATGCAGTTCCGACGAGAAAGCTTAGGGCTATTTAGAAAGTCTGTCTCTAGTACGACATCAGTTTCCTCGACCGCCTGCACGATAAATAGCTACAATAGTCTGAATAGTAAAACTAGACCCGATGTAAACAATGGGTTTTAGGAATAGAATAACGATATTATCTCACAGTAGGAATCGGTAGTGCTAAGAGATTTTCAATTCTTATCCAGTGGCAGTGCTCGGCAGAGGGAACAAAACTTCGAATTTCATCTTCTACAATATGTTTATATGAGGACATTGCGATCCTCTCGGCTGATGGGGCTCATTTCATGTTGTATGCTTGCCAAACGATGAAACGCGGTGTTGAGTACATGACTAGTGCGAATTGTCGATCCAACACAAGCATACAATCGTTACTTAATGCCCAATTTTGAAGCTTCCGTCGTCTCTATCAATCATTCCAAGGTTCCTATTAAGATGGGCGTGTGGTGGGTGCCTCGGGCCATCACCCTTGTAGTGCAGACACTAGGCGGATGATCCATTCCGAAATAAGTGCCACCAAGAAGAACTACACGTATTGTTGATCCCAAATAATAACGTGCTGTAGTCCTACCATAGGAGATCTTCTTTTTCAGGGTATATGAGTGGAGATTTTAGACAGAGTATGACGTGCTGCGGATGGAATTGAACCCCAACTATCTGCAGGTAGCAAGTACGCAGTCCGACGGAAATTTTCCCAAGAATAGCTCGGCTTGCGATTCCATGGATTGAGTGATCTCGCAATAGATATTCCAGATGTCTATAACAATATCGACGTAGATATATGAGCGCCGCTGAGGCTACCAAATGACTTCACCTTTGGTTGGAAGATTGACTAGTTCAATAATTGGCAATTATTTGTGTAATTTGTCTAGCACTGCTCTCCTACCCCGAGTATTTTTTGAGCTTGGAATAGACCCAATGGACGATGCACTCTGTCCTTTGTTTTCGTTGGAATTATTGTTGTGTTGGACGGCTGATCTTTGTCCCCTTTGTGAAACAAGCAACGGATAAAAGAGCCAAACGATGCATTTATTCGTCGATGTCACGACAAAAGCAGCAAATGGAAGCCCCGGATAATCATAACACAGCTTGTCTTAGGTCTTTGTGGCATCTCTTAGAGCCCATTAAGCCATTATCAGCATGGAGGAGCCAAAACATATTCTGGAATCATCTATATAAGGGGACTCCGCTCTTGCTAGAACTATTTTGCTAATAGACTGTTCTTTCATTGCATCTAAACGACACTGTCATCATCGCAGAACATTCAAAAGTCGACAATAACCCTTTGCCACCAAGTCCAACGTCAGATTCCACCATGTCTCAGCAACCAAGCCCCACTCAACCCTTGGGCATCTTCAGGCTGGGTAATTTGCCCCAGGAGTTAGTCTCGTCCATTGCAAATGCGGTGGCTATCCGGGACCGCTGTAGGCTTCATCAAACCTGCAAGTCTATGTACTCGCTCCTCGCGGATGGCATCATGAAGGAGAGGCAAGTGACTGCCCGAGTCCTAGCTCCCAAGCAAGAATACGAGAGGCGTTTGTGGAAATGGAGTTCTCCTTATACAATTGCTGGAATCGACATGCCAGATATGTCTGCTTGGCGATATCGCGTCAGATTTTTGAGAAAGCCAAACAAAAGCGAGATCTTTGCTTGTGCCATTGAGCGCGGGGATTACGAGAACGTAAGGAAGTACTTGCGTTCGGGTGTTGACCCTAATGTATACAGCCCTACTGGTGGATTCATGCTGCATGTGGCGGTTGCTGCCCGTCGAGCTGGGATGGTAACTTTGCTTCTGGAGTATGGTGCTGATCCTTCCTACGTGCACTTCGACTATGACTCCGATCGCTTTTCCGCTTTCTCCCTTGGCCGTGAATCCTATTTTTTCTACACTCTCTCCCGTGGCGGTGATTTGGCGCTGATTCTCGCGTTTGCCAGCAGCGGTAAGGTCGATGGCTTTGCCAATTATGTTACTCGTCATGGTAGCTATGCAACCATATTGGCTTGTATAAACGCAGGCATGGATTTCAATCTAACTTCTTCTAAGGAGGAGACCGTGGCACATGCTCTGGCCGATCGCAATGATCCAGTGTTGTTCCGGGAGATGGCACCTCATCTTACAAGCGAAACTATGACGAGGGTCTCAGAAATACACATGACGCCCCTGCATGTCGCATTGAAGCGACCGACCCCGGATGTCGCCATGGAACTTATTGAGGCTGGTGCCGATACCAATTTCCTCGACAAATCAATAGATACGACTCTGTTCACTGCTCTCGAAAACGGCCATTTTGAAGCTGCGCGCTTGATGCTTGAGAGAAAGACCAACCCTCCCCTGGACAAATATATAGGAGGGCGCGAGATTCTGGCAGCAATCTCAGCTTGCGACGTTGGCATTATCCGTACGCTCATCCACCGTGGCGCGAGCAAAGAACAAGATGGGAACGAGTACACTTCGCCGCTTATCTGCGCAGTCAGGACGGGAAGCTTGGAGATCGTGCAGTTAGTCTACGAGGAAGGACTGAAGCAGCCCTCCTTGAGATATAACCCCGGGAAACTGTTTTCACCTTCGGCATATGCCTCAGCTCTTGCCCTTGGAAAACCCGATATCACGGATTACCTGGAGAGTTGCATGGACCGCGACGGCAGCGACCCTAACATACCATGCATACCGGGGAGTGGTACCCATGCTAACATGGCACGCAAGATCATGGAGGTTATGTCAGATCTTCATCATTTGGATCAGTGTATATTTGGTGATGAAGGCATGTCCAAGACCCACCTCGTCAATCAAATCGCGTTACGTATTCTTCCCTTGGCAGGGGCAGATTTTGATTCTGGTCGAATCTGCGATCTCGTCCGAAAAGCTCAATATATATGTCCCGACGAACAAGTAAGGTATCCTTCGATGTACGCTCTTGAGGGGGCCATAAAAGATCTTGAGTTGCCAGGGGAAGAAGAAGAAGCAGGGGAAGGAGAATGTGCTGGTCCTGACAACGCAGGCTTATTATGGAAGGCCTTGCCACGTCTTTTGAGCGTTATCAGGAAAGAGGTTGATTCTAAAAGAAGAACCTTTTCCTGGAGACCTTGGAGGAGGTTTTTATTTGTCATATAACGATACAAGCAAAGAGTCAGATGCAGGCTGATTCAAAGATACTTGAAGGGCTACAATTGCCCCTTGGCATGAATGACAGGGCACGTCAGCTCAATAAAACTTTGAGACGTCTTTGTGGCCTGGCAAGAGAAAACATCTGTAACGATGAGATCGACCGGCTCATTCTGGTCTTCTTGCGTCTTCTTCGATGCTAGGGTTTTCTATATTCGGTGGAGATGAGGCGAAGTGCTTGCATTGGCATTGTTTTTCCCTTTTTTTTGGCTCGTACTTTTCGAACTGCTGTTTTTATTCTATTGGATTTTGTTTACTTGTTTGTTTTATATCGTGTTACTGGGTTTTCTACAAGATTAAAAGTGATTATAGAGAAAAGATTGTCATTACAACAGAATGAGGGAATTAAATCACTATAACTACATATAACCTTTGCAATTCAACAAGACTGGGAACATTCTAGACAGCCAGGCTTGAAGCCAGTAGCTATTCATACCTTGGCCACAGAGAAATGTCTGCCAGTACTATACTGGGACCTGTGAGAAACATACATAGTGATGCACACACTCTACCTGTGAAGCATGTTTACTACATGTGGTCACACGCGCAGCTAAGTGCCATATTAAAAAGAAACCAAATTAATTTACAAACATACGCAACAGGAGCAGGTGGTCAACGAATATTTATCCCAAGCGTAGAGTAATTTCATTGAGTCGGTCAGTCTAAGCACAGCGCCGGGGACGTATCCCCTCAAATCGAAGCCATAGCAAATGCACGGACAATTAAAACGGGGGCAGCGGCAGAAGAGGCTATGAGAGAGAAAACAAGCAGAGCTAATAGGCACATTGGAACAAATAAGAGCAAGAGAAAGATAAAGGCCAAGAAAGCGACGAGCCCAGGGGCTGACGATGTCAGACGCACCGAAAGACGGCGATGTATGTATACTTTCAGATCATGTCGGCATGGGCTGGCGTCGTCACCTACATGGCGGGTATGTATGCAGGGTAATGTATGTGTTGCTCGTGAAGGCGTCTCAAGTGGCGGGGATTAACCATAGATTTCAATTTCAGGGTATTTTCTGTCCTTCTAATGTGTTCTTACGGGCCAATACCAATGTATGCACCCTCAGAACTGTTCCTTGGCGGTGGAGTAAAGGCCCGCCTGGATTCACGTGCTGCTGTTCCGCGTGCTTTCCACAGCTGCGCTCATAAGAATAAAAGGGGAGATGGGAAAGGAATCGAGCGACAAGTGGGTATCATAATGGGGCTGTTTTGGAATGGCTCGAGATTAATGGAGATCGAAAGGCGCCGGACGATGGAAGAGAAAGAAAAGGTTCTTGAGCAAAATTGTCATTCCAAATTTAGTCGGGGTTGGTAAGCTAGGAATCACGCAATTAGCAAGTGTTGGACCAGGATTCAATGTGCGCAAGGTTCAACTTACCCGAAGAACAGGACGCGAGTAGTCTTCGTTGTCTTGCAGCGAAACACTGCTGTCCCGAGGACCATTCGGGTAGAGAACCGTGTTGGTCTTCATTCGTCGATCGGTGAATGTTGTACCCGAACGTGCGGGAACAGGGCCACCAGCAACGCCTTCTCCATTGCCCCGTGGGAAGAGGCCTCCCATGAAGCTCGATCCCCTGCTGGTTCTGTCCTCGGTCATACTTGGGATAGGGCTGGCGGCACGAGCGCGTTTGCGATAGAAGAAGATCAAGAAGATGAGAGCACCAATCAAGGCGATTCCTCCGAGAACACCAATCACAATGCCTGCGATGGAACCTCCGCTCAACTTCGTTCCGACAGCACTAGTGTTAGCCGATGCGGAATCAGCACCAGCAGTTGAACTTGGTCCAGCAACGGTGATTGTCTTGACTTGGCCACCAGAGTTGGTCTCCAATGAGACAGAGGATGAGGTAGTGGTCGTTTTATCATCCGACGAAGTGGACTAGTATCAAAAGTTAGCCAAGTATGTCATTTGATCAAACTGGTCATGCTGTAGGTACAGTTTGTGAAGCCGAGATGGATGAATCCGAGGCAGTCACAGTGACAGTCGTAGGCTGAACGCTAGTACTCTCCTATCCCCGGTATTAGAGCCACAAGCCAAGAAAGAGTAGTACACCCAATCATGCTACATAGGCTGGCAGGAAAGTTTATCGGTCCAAAAGTAGAAAACCAAACAAAGAACCAGAACGTTGTCCAAAAACAAAGAAGGGTGGCTTACCGAGGTTGAGGTTGTTGAAGTTGACGTTGTTGACGAAGTGGTTGTTGATGAACCACCAGCTGTGCTAGTCACATCATTGCCGACAATGCTCACGTAGGCGAACACTCCTTTGGATGCACTTCCACAACTGTCGGCGGGATAACCCGGACACGAAGTATCACAGTCAGAGGTGTCAGATTGCGATCCCTTAGAAGGAGCAACATTTGAGCACCAGCATGTCTTCCCTTGTAGGATACCTAGGGCATAATTGGCGCAAGTAGTTTGACACGCTCCATTTGATTGAAATGTGTTGGAAACTGTGAAGAGTCAGCGATATGACTTAATCTACAAAAGTTTGTGATCACTTACCTGCTTTAAAGGAAGACCCCGTGTTATCTGAAGCACAGTACGCCAACTCGGCCGACGCGAATGGCCGAGCCAGGAGAGCAAAAACTGAGACCACCACCGCGACCTTCATAGTGGGTGTGCTCGATCGATAATTTCTTATCCAACCCGATCGCCCGTCGATGTTTGTATCTTTATTTTCCACCCAGATCCCGCCGTGAGGGTAACGACGGTAAAAAGTTCGTAGGCGCAGAGGAAAGATCGAGATTGGATGTGTGGGCCGACCGATGTGAATTGTCGATCACCTATGGACCAGAGTCGGATAGTGTCTGAACGAAGAATATATTATCTCGATGCCGGTCTATCGGAAGGGTCCCAATTGTTATTTGTTGATCCCCCACTAAACACTGAAAAAGTCGTAGGCTGTCCCGTATCAAAGACACATTGTCCCGATGGATGTCTCCGAGGGCTAAAGGGCTCAACAAAATAGCAAGAAAAGAAAGAAAGGAAATGAAACGGAAGAACGTAAAGTCGAGTGAACACAGGAGAGAGGGAGAGAGAGAAGAGGAGAAGGGGGATCTCCACAGTCACGGGCTATGCCCATGCTATCTTGCTATCCTACATCCTCACCGGAGTATGTCGAGCCTCCCGACATACCCGGTGGATACTGATTTTCCTATTTTCCTATCGATTTAAAATTATTAATTGAGATCTCCAGAGATGTCAATTGTAGTTTATTTACTCCGTACTCCGTACAGTTCTCGATCTTGGGTTTTTTTCCCCTTCTTCTTCTTACTCTGTACATTATGTATGTAGACATGGGCCCTTTATAGCCTATCTTGTTATCTCTGCGAGGTACATATATACAAAAGTAAGAGCCTATAAAAAGCCATCTTATAATCTTATAAGACATAACACCTGGGATAACAAGATATAACAGCGGATAACAAGTATAACACAGTATTTTATTGACTTTTTCCCTAATGCGCTTTTCTCCACTGGGATGGCCTGACTGGCAGACCAAAGATAGCTGCACCAAGGAAGCATTCCACCCTTCATACCTTTTTCTTTTCCTTTTCTATCTCTATTGCTCTGTGCTTTTTAACGATATGTACAGGTACAATATTGTAGGAGTGCACTTCTATTTATGTATCGTTTTCTTTATATCCGAAACAGTTGCCCAAGAGATCGCCGGTGCATTATGACCGGGGTTCTAGCGCCCTAATTGCGGACATACGTAATTGAGTGGAGAGAAAACTTCCCAGAACACTAAGAATGTTCCAGCTTTGGACTTGGCTTTTGTATATTAATTTGGATTATTTATAAGTGTATAAAGACAGGAACCTTCGAGACCAGATCAAACTTTGTGGCGAAAAAAAGTCCTCCACTCCACTCGTGTTCAGCTTAGCCTCAATGCAGTTATGTATACATACAACATAGGAACTGGACCGAGTTGTCATTACCCAGAGCCTACCAAGGTTATATCGTTATGAAATGGCCACCTGTCAACTTGCAAATACCCTTGTACATTGTGCCTAGGCCCTGAGGTAACACATGGAATTCTATCACCCTGGGAATATTATAACATACAACATACACCGAAGGCTCGAGCTCGCCACGCCACCCTCCCCTGCCCAGGCGCCACAAACGACGATCGACTCGAGAGATCGCTGTGATTTGCCGGGTCGAAGCGAGTTGGCGATGATGAAACAACGGGGTTTACCGGCTTTCAAGGTGCCAATGCCATGTTTTCTTTTTAGAACGTTCTGAACTGATGATTTGTGCATCATAATCTGGTCTGGTACAACATATTGACACACGGAATAGTGCAACATTGTATACGGAGGACGTAGGCATGGTTTCCCCTTTTCGAAGGTTATTTCGTCTCTTATTTCCTTTCTCGACTCATCGAAATATGAGCTCATCTTATAAGTGGAGAATCTCCACTCATAAAATCGGAAAACCGATACGATACTAATGGCCCTCGATCTTGAAATTTCACAGATTATATTACTATATTACAATAACAGCAAGGATTCAAGACTTCGTGTTGCACATATATAATATAACTGGCTCAATTTAACGTTTAAAACAGTGCACACTTTGATGTTCTCCGAGTACTCCGTCCAGAACTTTAATAAGCGATGCAATCAATAGTCTTTTAAATACCGAGAATCATTGGAAGACGGAGTACGAAGACATTTTGCAATATTAATATGAATACAAATGTGCTTACGACCGATCCTTACACAATGCCAAGGTAAAGTGATGATGTTGTCGCCGATAGTATGAGACAAATCCACTGCAATGCGCGGGAAGGGGGACTAGCCCAGTACGACGGTAATCTCCCGGAGGGGCCCTTCAGGTGCGTAGTTAGGGTTACCCGGTCAGGGTCTTCCCTCTCGGCTTTGCTTCTTGCAAGGTCTCGATTCAAGATGTGGCGAAATTAAGGGAGCGCCGATTTAATTATTGTTATCGTGCCTGGTGGCTTGCAGGTGGCGTCCTTGCTCTGAAACAAGCCTACAGTGGCAACCGCTGTTGCAGCCTGCATGATCCGCGAACCAGATGTCAGAGTTGAAGTTTACATTTGTGTTTACTTTTACGACGTTTATTTCTACGATATTGTTGAGGTCAAGTCAGTTTCGTGGCCATTCGAAATTCAATCAATATGATTTCATATTAAAGGGGGTTTCATCTGCGACATAGGAACATGCGCAGGAAATCAACTAGTCTGTGCTGTTGTACATGAAATGTGTTGGACTTGGACCCATCGTTTAACTGTCCTCTCTGAAGTCAACTGCTAGATGGCCAGTTCCGGAGATCACATCAACCATGTCTGAATCCTCCAAACTTTCCGAATCCGCCGAACCCGCCGAACCCGCCGACTTCTCAAAACTCTTCGAAGTCTCGCTAACAGCACGCGAACGAATGGTATCGGACTCTGGCAGAGGGCCAATCATCGATGCATCGATGTCCTCTATGAAGTCCGATTCGGAATCTTCATCAGGTGAAAGGGAAGATTTAACCCAAGCCAGAATGTCATCGTCTGGAGGGTTGGAAGACAGAGGGTGGTCCGGTTGGGTAGTCTTGTCTGATCTGGCGTCGTCTTCATCCTCATTGTCGTCATCGAAGAAACTGGCCGCAGCGCATAAGGCTGTCAGTCGAGTGAAATGCCACTGCATGTCCAGCAAGTCGAAACTCGGAAGGGGCCGACTGATGGGGTCGTCGGTTGTCATTCTGAAGCGGTAGCCGGACTCAATGGCACGATATGTTGGCTCTCCTCGCTTTCCTACCACGATGATCAGTCGATCCACGCTGTTGACGTTCTTGGTAGAGGGAGGCTCCTTGGCCACATCAACCGTGTCAAAAAGCTTGTGGTCTGGCTTTGGCTGCCAATAGAACTCAATTTCCATTTCGGTCATATCATCAGAAATCCAGATGGGACGCAGGGCGAACAAACCACTTGACCATGCAGTCCGAAGGTCTCTCCGAAGGCAGATCAGATTTGAGCAATCACTGACAGGAATGTCGGGCTTGGTTGGGTCGTTGAAAACAGCCTTTTTCCATCGCGAAGTCGTGCTCGTTCCCCAGAAAACATCCGCGAACCTCCAAATGTTAGGAGTCTCCGGTTCATTTTGCAAGAAGGCGCTGACTGCACTAGCTGGGAAGATTGGAGTAGTTTGGTAGATCTTGCGGGTGCCTGTGATGACACACTTGTATCCATCCCGTTCTCTGGCGGCATAGATTGCAACTGGGGAAGCACGTCGTCGCGGGCTGAAAGTAGGAGACCAGTATGCTGCTTCTAGCTGTTGAGAGGGAGATGGTGTCACCGACCATTTGAATGGAAGAGCACAAATGAGTTCAGCAAATGTGTCCATGATTTTCAGTGAAAAGCGGGCAAGCTGTACCATGTACTCAAGCTTCTCAAGGTCGCACAACTGCAAAACGGCCCACAATGGGGAAGGGATCTCTTGTTCAAAAACGGCTTTCTTGAATTGGCGAATGAGAATCCTCCGTTGGGGCGACTGGATGTTAAAACGCTCGTCGCTTGAGCGAACAACAGTGGAGGAACGTCCTAGTTCCGAAGAACCAGACGGGACTGTACTAGCGGATGCGTTTGACATATTGATCACGTGAAGCGGATTTTGGATCAAAAGGACGGTGAGTGCTGCGGAAATCCGGGTTTCCGAGACACACGCGGTTGGCGTGTGAAGGAGCGAACGTTCATTTTCATCTGTAAAGCTATCTTATGCGTTCAGAAGGAGCCCGCGCGTTTCGTTCAAGTTGGGGAAGGAACCAGTGGAAGATTTCATTCAAACTGAGGATATACCACTTGGAATACATACATCAGAGCGTCGACGGCACTTTCCAAGTTCAGCGTAAAAGGTTATCATAAATCAAGGGCCATAAACATCACATTCAATAGGCAGCATTACCGCCGAGGAATCCATTCTCGATCTCGAATATCTTGCATGCGCTTCTCTATCATCCGTGCCCTTGGAGGCATTCCCACACGAGGTCTAATTCGGGGTGCGATATCAGGCACAGAGGCCCGCTCCCGCTGGATGTCACGGATGCGTCGACGACGAGCACTTCTAATCTCGTCAGACAATTCGATAAGCTCATCTATATCATCCTGTGGCCGAGACGAGTCAGAATACAAGGAAGCCGTCTGTCCGGATGATACATACCGACTTGAGGTATGAGAAGATGTAGTAGCACGTCCGCGTCTCTTCATACTCGAATCCCATCTGTTCAATAGCTTCCCTCACTACCAATCTCTTCGCTATTTCGGTCCACCGATCATTTCGCATCTGCTCTGGGCCTGTGACCTGTTGGGCAATCCGTCCAATTTCCGCTTCATCCACTGGCGCATGTCGAGGTTTGACCTCAACAACGTCCAGAGCTCCGGTCATCTCAATGGCTTCATCCGGGGATGGAGCATGCACCACAGACCAGTCGTCGGTGCCTCGTGGGGCCTTGCTTACTAGCCTGGTGCTCTCAATCATTATATCCTTTTCCACGTCATGGGTGGAAGGGGCATCCCTTATTTCGCGACTGTAAGCTAATTCGCTCTCGTCTTCTAGCGGCTTGGCTCGACGACGAGTTGCGGTTATTGTTTCCCGCTCCCACGGGTCGTTGAAATCAAGAGCTGGCCCGCTAGTTGGAGATATTGAGTCTTCCGGGGCGAGAGAGTCTTCACTGTCACTATGTTTGAGGACTATGCTTTCATCTGACTTTCGTCCGCCTCGCCTTTTTCTAGATCAGATATTAGCGTGCCGCAAAGAAGAGGATTGATTAACTCACCGATGGTGAATATCAATTTCATCAAAACTACCTCTCCGGGGCCGCGTTTCCGGACTGCGCATACGAGGTGTATGAGCGTCTTTATAGCCTGCGCTTGGTTAGCAGAATGTTCTTGCTGGGCTACCAACATCCGTCTTACCATGGTTAATGTGCCTATCGTGGGTAAACACGTCTGGGGGGATCGGGGGTACATGTATGGAATCTAAAGAAGGCGATGGCTGACGAGATGGGAACTTGTCCTTGGTTTTCCGAGTACTGATCTCTTCCTTACCTTGTTCAAGGTCTCGGGAGCGTGACTTGGAGTCAAGCTGTGAGCGCACGCTAAGCTCTTCATCCAGTAGAATCTGTTCCCGATCCTCTCGTCGAAGACCTCTTAATTCGCGTTCGAGATCTTCCGAAGGTACACTTCGTCGTCTTTCACGTCCGCGCATGACTATTTCCTCATCGACACAGTCGATCGATCGTGGTCCTTTGTCCTTCCGCCGGATGGCCACATCGTCCTGTTGAGATTCTCTATCTGGAAGATCGATCGGGCTTCGGTGTCGCTCTGCGGGTGCATTGTCAAGGAGGACCTCTTCCACCTCGACCCTTTGGGGAGGCGGGGGCCGTGGCCGTGGTCGATGGTATGGCTCTTCCTTGAATTCCAATCTCCTTTCACGCGATCGAATATCGAGTTCGCTGTCCCATCCGCGACGTAAAGGAGGCTCTTCCCTTTTCCATCGGATTGCCATTTCCTCTTCCTCGAATTCGCGCTCTGGGTGGTCTCTTCTTCCTCCATGTTTCCCCCGCCCCTCAACTAAGAGGTCGTCTTTGAATTCCCTTTCTGGACGTCGCCTGCGGTGGCGCTTTTCTCTCTCCTCAAAGAGAAGGTCGTCCTCAGACCTTCGTTCTGGGTGACGCCTGCTCCCCCTGTGTATTTCTCTGTCTTCAATGATCAACTCATCCTCTTCAGATTCCCGAGGATGACGCCTACTTCCTCGGCGTCTTTCCCGTTCGAGGATGAGTTCATCATCCTCCTCGAATTCTGGCTCTAAAGGACGCCTCCTGCCACTGCCTCTTTCCCTTGCTCTTTCCTCAAACAGAAGATCCTCTTCGGATGCTCGCTCCGGACGGTACCTCCTATCTCGACGCCTTTCTCTTTCGTCAATAAAAAGATCCTCTTCCACTTCTCGCTCTCGTTCAGGACGATGCCTTCTATCTCCACGCCTTTCTCTCTCCACGGAAATCAAACCATCGTCAACGTCTCGCGGATGACGTCGACTGCCCCGGCGTCTCTCTCGTTTCTCAAAAATAAGATCCTCCTCGTCTACTTCACGAGGACGAGCTCTACGCCGGGACCCAGACGGCCGCATGTAGGTATCATCATGGTCTAAAGGCATATATCGCTCGGGCGAGACCATATCTAACTCCTCTCTTGACCGCATGAGAACCACATCATCCCGTGCTCGCGGCGGCGCAAAGCTTTCTTCCATAAAGTCTCGCCTGGGCCGTTCTCGGATGTGCATACGCTTCATATCCTCAACTAGGGGCTCTGACCTTCGCCGAAGATATTCAAGGTCTTCCTCATACTCGCGATGTCGTCGGTGCGGCCTGTGGTCTCGCTCGCGCTCTCCTTCCATTTCGTAGAATTCATCTTGGTCGTCGTAGTCGCGGGGTGGTGCTCGGCGGGACATTGTGGGACTGTGCGAGCGATCACCGCATTGGATTTGGCGGCCGATCGGCCGTCGCTATGCTCGGAAATATAGCTCGGTCGCGGTGAGAAGAATCTGAGATTCAGAGCTTTGGCGCAAAAACCCGTCAAACGTTCGGTTCAAGGCAACAGTCCAGTTCGGTGGTTGGCGACTGGTGGGGCTTGCGAGGAAGGGAGGTGGGCTGTGCTCTACTTTGTAGTCAAGATCATCCCAGTTGGGCAGCTAATCATAGTACGGCAAACAGGACAAATAGGTAGACAGAGATTCGACCAAGAGTACAGGCCCATACAAGATGAGGAAATGGAAACGTAGACCGTGTGACTTGAAGCGCTGGCGAAAAGCAAAGTGATCGACCCCGCGCCTGATGTCACTTCTCTTAGAAGATAGAAGATCTAGGAGATGAACGACCATTTCCCTCAAGAACTTCCCGTTTGTTTACTCCCCTACGCCTAAAGGTCTACCCCAGAATCTTAGTTAATCCTGCCACTGGAACCTTGGTTCTCTTCTCAAAAACTGCCGTTTTGGGGATGAGAAGTGTATTCGGGTGGGGGCTGTAATGCTTGGCGTCGTCAGAGTCCTTATAGCAACCCAAAGCCGCATATCCGAACCCTTTGTTGAACATTCGAGCCTAATGTGCATTGTTGGATGCTTCTGCCCAGGGTCTCCCCAGGAAGTTGACCGCACCCCTCCGGCTAGTGCACACTGACTTTAAGATTGGATGCACTCATAAGCACTCAAAACCCACCTTGGCAGATGTCAATCTAGCTCTTCATTTGACGGTAACCAACACTACAAAATCATCAAGCAATCGATATTAGTTCACCCAATCAGGCAACTGTACGATTTTGTTCAAGGCATTGGGTATCTCGTAGCTATAAGCCAAGTGAAAGCAGATTATATATAGGGCTCGTTTGTCACTGGAAAGCAAGTCGCATCTGCCCCTTTTCGGGCTTATCACGACTCCCTCCACCTCGGCCACCTCTTCCACGAGCAGTTGTACTGCGCGCACTACTTTTCGTAGGCGGCGGCGGCTGTGAAGCTTTAGCTTCCTCTCTGTGCTGGCTTGCAAGGTCCTTGGCAAAGTGCCAATCATCATGTTCTTCCTTTTCATAATCGAACATCGACTTAGAGCACCGTGGACATACAAATCGGGGAATTCCGCTCAATTCAGGGTCCATTTCAACAGGGTCTTCGGGGCCGGTGGCCTCATCTGTGGCAGTATCTTCAAGATGTGATGGATGCCCAAAGAAATTTTGTATCTTACCCCCATCTCCGTCAAGCTTTCGTCTTTTCCCAGTTGAGGCTTGTTCACCGGCGGAATTATCGGCCTCTCGAAGTCTTGAAGAATGACTCAGAGCTTTCGCTTGATCACCGCGAATCAAGAAGCCCTCGATAGCCTTGTTGTTGGTCACGCCGTCTTCAAAGCTTGACACGCTCAATGACAGGTTGGAACAGGGCCATGCTTTTCCGTCAGCCATAATTTGACGAAGTAAAGTATTAGCCAGGTCGTAGAGAAGGTTCTCATCAATTGTATTAGAGCCTGGGATTGGGATTTGGCGAGAACGAGATTGCGCAGTTCGATAGTGCATCGTGATCACTTTCGGACGACGTCTATTTTCAAGCACGCCGTCCTCCACAAGCCGGCCATATATATCAGCTGCGAAGATACGAAGCCATTTCTCAGCTTGATCAAGCGAGTTGATGCTCGGTCTAAAAGACTTCGCGGATAGCATAGATTTAATTTGTGTTCGGGGATTGACCTCGCTGCGGTCTTCACCGCGGATGATCCCGTAAAGCCAGGATGCCGTATGGTCAGCCAGTTTAGTGCGCAACTGCTCAAGCGGTATATTAAGAAGCTCGCTGACTTTCTCCGTCCCAAAGGCGGCAGTTATTTGATCGCCGAGTTTACCACCCAGCATTCTGATCTGAGTGAATTTATAACCACCTAGGAAATTCTGCACCGCCCGGTTCCGCACAACAGTTTGTAGGTTGGGCTTATTGCAAGCACTTCCTAGTTTCGCGATCATTTTATTGCGACCAAGCCCAGCGGAACAGGTGTAGCTGAGCTTCTCCCAAACTGTGTTCCGCACTGATCGTACAATCTCGGATCCTATCAGCATCACAATGTCATCCCAGTCTGCATCATCTTCCTCCGTTTCATGGTGATCCAAATCCACCAAGCAGTCGGTGTCCCACTGCAAGGCTGTCGTCGGCGGTGTAGGCAGTTCTGCGTCCCGGTTCTCGTCTTGTGTTTCCATCCGAAGTTCTGGGTATCTTTGAAGAAGCGCCCTGTATATCAATGGAGACAAATCAATGAATACTTCATCAATACTGGCTTTCTCCAAAACGGCCGAGAGTTCTTGCTTCGGATTCTTGTTTTCGACTTCTGTGTTATCGGCACTCCATGTGGCCAGAGCCTCCTTCATCGTCTGCAGGATCTTTCGCGATTGTGCTCGGTACGGGTCCAGCGACACCTTGTCCGTGCTGATGTTTCTGAATGAATCATCCCGATATGCCCACCGCCCTCCTTCCCCCTCTCGAAAAGTCGCAACATGCTGTAAGACGAGGTCTGGACAAAGTTTCCTAGCCTCCGCAACATTGATCAACCGATTGATTCCGAAGGGTCGAGCGGCGTAATTGATGGCAATCAAAGAGTCCCATTGCCGCACTGCTAATGGTGTCTCCCGCGGAGTCCCCAGACGGACCATCTCACATTGCGCATAGAAGGCATCGAGATCGATATGCGCAATCACGCGTAGAGGGGTTGCTGTGGATCCATGTCGCAACAATTGCAATTGTCGGCAGGTGAAACGGGAGACCTTCAAGGGATCGGACGACTCGGTGGGTTCGCACATGCTCGCAAACGCGTCATGACGGTGAACAACAGACCATTGGGGTTGTCGGTCAGAGCTTGGAACCTGATGCTCTCAACCCTGGGACGAGAACCCAAAATAGACTAGTGCAGGCACGTGTTAGCTTCAGCCTGAGGTTCGTGTTCCTCATCTCTTCAATTCAACCTTTGAATTTCCGTTACATTTTACATATCAAGAGTTTTTAATGTTCTTGTACAGTGACTAGACAAGTCTGGAGACAGCCACAATCTATTTTTCTATATTCCCCAGAGTTAGACCAGGGATGTTCAAATGACCCATCACTTAGTGCCTGCTTATTTTTTCTTCAACCAACCCCTGCACAGTCAGATGTTGTGTTCTCACGCAGGATTTTCCGATGTTGTAACTCGCCCACTGCAGCGGTCTCGAACCTGAAAAAGAAAAAACGAGACAGGGTGATCTCCGATCTGTGCGATCCAGCTGACACATGCGGGCTGTGAGTGGACCAGAGGCTCGGAGCCTTCGCGCAGGTGCCCAAAGCCACGCATTCCTGCCCAACGGTCATCTCGTGTGGACATCGGTTGCCAGCTTTCCAGGTGGCAAGTTCGCAGGTCGCCACCGGTCTTTTCTGTCAACAGATTGGCCCTTGGCAGTCATGTTCGTTTTGCAGATGGTGTGTGAGGGATCAATCACAATCGGTCCTACGATTTGCCCCTTCGACGTTACCCTCTTTCACCATACATATGAACATCTGACGGTTTTGGGTGACCTCGTTCCTCTCAACAGCTCTGCTTGACCGCTGCTGAAGATCCACCGGTGGAGTCATGTAGAGTTTCGATATTAATCCAGTCCAGGGGCACAGACTCAGGAGCAATCCGAGCTGGTTGAATATGGGGGATCAGCCCTTATTTTTTCGTCCCGACTAAAATCTAGTAGGAACAAAGAGCAACTTTTTAAGGTCTAGTTTTAGGGTACAAAGTACATCTCTAAGTATACACTCTGTACTCCGTAACTACAGCTGGCTACATTACATTTGCTTACTTTTCCAACATTGGAAGTGTGGTCAGGAGGGGAGTATATCCATAGTTATATTGACATATGAGTACATATGTTCTTCTATAGTCATGATACGAAATGATACAATATGATACAAAATGAAAAATTCTCAAGCGGCTACAGGCATAGGGTTGCACATCAGTCTAATCCACATTTGACCGTGCATGCTTTTGCCTTGATCTCAGTGGGGAGTCGTGGCACCAGCCCAAGACGGCCCAACCCAACCGCCCTCTTTGATGTCCACTTTACCTTCCCCCCTCTTCTTCTCTTCTCTCTCATCTTTCTTTTCCTTTCTCCATATTCCTCTGGCTTCTCTTGCCAGCACTTCTACTCCTCCTTTTCCCCTTGGCAAATATCTAGTTCATCCCGAACAGATCACAGACAGCCCACAGGACCCCTCACCCGTGTTTCTCTTTCTCCTAATCCTGACAACTCATCCTCCCTTGAACACCTTTTCAACCTCTTCTCGCTATTCAATCACCATTTTGAGGCCTTCTCAATTTCCCAGGATAATTGCCCCAGTGGACAACCAGCGAGGATTTCTTCCCAGGATTACCCGGACTTTTCCCACTAAGGACTTTTACTATTCGCGACCAGGATCAATTTCTTTCTGGCCACTCCCAAGGATCGTATCTCGTTTTCTGCTTGCCCTGGAATCGAGGAAACAAATCGTTCAAGTCGTTGATTTGTCGGCTTTGGAACCTGCTCGCCTGATAGAATCTGTACATCCTACAATAAAAACGGACTCGATACCATCCATCAACTTTCCCAGGACTCGCAAGCCATCTACCATACTCCGGACTTCTTCTTTTCTGGCCATTTGGATCCGAGGATTTTTAAATTTTTAAACCGGATATTTTCCTCCCTCGGAATACATTATGACAGGCCGCTATGATGCACGCCCGGAGCGTCAGAATGAATATTTCATCCCCGGTGAAGGAATCAGCCGAGAAGTTATTCAAGCAGATATTTGCCGCTACCTTGGAAATGATGCCCTCGTGAGACCTGGCAACCACAATGTGCGTCTTCCGTTCTTGACCCGATGACTCAAACAGGCCGTTGTGACTGACAACGAACAGGGCCGCCCAGGATTTTTTATCCGTGCCTATCGGAATCTCACATCTGTAAGTGACTATGGACATGCGACAACAAGCGGGATAAGTCAAGATGGCATTCTAACCACACATTGGATACAGGAGATGATTACTGATCTGAAGGCTGACTCCGCTCGTTGGGAGGCGGACGTCTCACGCCGGGCTGACCTAGGCTACCCGCGTGGGAATTACATTCAAGATACGAATGTATCCCATCCACCTAACACCACTCCAGCGACCTATGCCCCTGCGGCCGTTCATGAGGTTCGCCAGTCACAAGGCCCATCCCCTACGCCCTTTACTGCAGCGCCCGCTCAGTCATACATGGATCCCTACTCCCAGAGTTCCTACAGTGGATCCCAGAATGCCCCCTACACAAACCCTTCCTCATACACGTCCACCGCTCACTCGCCATATGCATCAGGTACAGCTCCGTACCCTCCACCCCAGGTTTCCTACTCTGGTTCCAACCAGCCAATTGTGACGTCTACGGACATGCACCCCCAATCATACACGTATGCCCCCACGGGCTATGGTTACGACAATGGCCGAAGCAATGCTCCCCGATACTCCGGACCTGGATATGATGCCGAACAGGAGTACTCTACTGTAACTTCCGGGATGTCCTATCCTACCACTACTGCCCCGGATCCCCGGATAGGAATGGAGCCCAGATACACTCCAGAGTATGAGCGCAGGCCACAAGCCACCAGAGACAACCCTCACCGTCGGCGGTAGACAAGAATGACCGCCCGAAGGGTTTTCCTGCATGCATGATTTCTTCTCTATCTCTTCATCCACTTGGTGCTTTCTTCCTGGAATATCTCCAAAATGCTCCTAGGAATAATTTTGATGTCTGTGAAAATCCTCTGGACAATCTTTTCGCCTTTCTTTCCTGTCTCGGCCACAATTCTCAAATTCCCAATTTGTCTCCAGTCCAGGAACTTCAGACCAAGCCAGGGATGTTCAATGCTTCACATCCCACTTCAAATGGCCAATCAGGGGGACTTTCCACTTCCCATTGGACATGAATTCCACTGCTTTTTTACCCATGGACTTCCACTGGAATTGGGCCCAATTGCTCTGCAGCAGGAGCTTGGACTTCCCGTGGACATCCGTCTTTATTTTGATTTCTCTCCCATGCTTTTGTGCGACTGGCCAGCCAGGAGTAGGAGTGATCTGCTTGATTGAGTTTACGAAAAGGTGGCCCGGACTCGCGCGTTTTGTTTGTTTCTCTGGTCTCACGGATTCCGGGAATACTCACCCCACAATAATGTGATCTTTTTCGTCGGTTTAACGGTGTACAGGATTTGTCTGTTCTTAGCAAGTTCTTCTTTTTGTTTCGTCTCCCTTGAAAGGAGGGGAGTCATCGTGTTCTACTTCTTTTTTTTTTTTTTTACTTTGGTTTGCGAGAGCGTTGTGCTTCGATAAACTAAGGCTGGTGACCTACATGTAGATATGAGCATTTGCGGCGTTGGTCCGTCTTTGGTGATTGACGTTTTGATGTGCAAGGTCTGGACTCCATGATTCTAATGAATCTCTTACTCTGCATAATTTCTTACCTTGGATGAATCAAGATATCATATCATTTCTATATTACTGACTTTTTGTCCGACCTAAGGCTGCAGCTTCGGAGTATAATGCAAATTCTATGATTGATCGGGTATTATATGTAGTAATAAATATGACGAGTAGCCTGTCTCTATTGTGGGAAAGTCATGTCGGACCATTGGTGCGCGAAAAAATGCAATTATTCTTAACATAGCCAAGATACTTGAAACATAGTAAAGCGAGCTGATGTCGATTATATTGCACAAAACGTAGTACATACACTATAGCGCCGGGCTCGACATTCGGCATATGCGAAACAAATATTGGTATCAAAGCATTTTGATGGCCAGGAGAAATTGCCCCGGAACAAGCCTTTTCGGTTGCCCACACTGATGCGACGAGACTTGTTCATCAGTCCAGTGGCACAGCCAACCCATCTCCTGCCATCCGCTGGATTTATTCCTCCCAGGCTCGGACAATACGCGAAATTCTCTCTAACTTCGGATAACTTGACATTTTCGTAGTTCCGAACCCGTTTATTCGTCATCGTAGCCCTTAGGGATCACCCGCGGACCCTGCGGAACTGTACGTATTGAAAACAATGGTCAGGTTCAAATTACTCAGATATAGTTTTGATGCTCATGCACCGATTTGTAGGAATTGAATGGGTTCATACTGGGATATGTCAGAGGAACGGGCTCAGGGTCGACGTCACCGAGGGCGCGGCGGATGGGGGGAATAGTGGCCAGCGAAACAGGACCCATGAAGCCGATGCACAGAGAAGCGAGGATAGCTGGCTTCTCGTGCGCAGCCCAGCGGATGTAGCGGAAGGGGGTCGACCAGAACTGAGGGGTAGACATGGCTGTAGGAAGAGGCCGTTGATGACGGTCGGGGTTTTCGCAATAAGTGGGAGGTCAATGCCCGAGTAATAGAATAAAACTGTGCAAGCGCGCACGAATAAACAGATACACCGATCCCACTTAGTGGTTGTTGAGTGGCAGAGATCAGAGAAGCAAATTTGGAGCTGGAGGGACGAGGTGAAGTCGAAGTTCGGAGATGCGGACCCGGCGCTCTCAGGTCTTGGCACTCGCCCATTAAACACGTCGCCCTTTCTGGCTATCTATACAACTTGGATCTTCAACCACCTTCCCTTACTTACTTCTTTTTGATCCTTCCGCTCCGCTGTGCGGAATCTGTTCAAAATGAGGTGGTGTCTTGCGTTGCTTATCTGTTGTTCCTTGGCTGTGGTAAATGCGCTGAGTAGCTCCGGCAGTCGCCTGTTGGCCATTCTGGAAGACACAGAACAGAAGGACCTGTACTCCACGTTGTGGGCAGACCTAGAGGGTAATTTACTATGCCTCAGTCTAGCGATTACTTGCTAACTCTCGGATTCTAGCACGAGGATACGATGTCTCAATCGAATCTTCCAAGAGTGAACAGCTTGCCCTGTTCAAGCATGGCGAAAGAGCTTACGATCACCTCCTGATCCTTCCTCCCAAGTCAAAAGGTGGGCAAACCCGATTTAATTGGTCCAATGTGTAGTCAATTGACCCAAAAATACAGGCCTCGGCCCCTCCTTGACCCCCAAACACATCCTCGACTTCATGAACAAGGATGGCAACATCCTCCTCGCCCTTTCTGGCAAGACTGCCACCTCCAGCGCCATCAGCTCCCTTCTCCTTGAACTCGATATTCACCTCTCCACTGACCGCTCACAAGTCGTTGTCGACCACTTTAACTATGACACCCTTTCGGCCGCTGAGAAACATGACGTCCTTGTTCTCCAGCGCCCTGGACCCCTCCGTTCCGACGTCAAGGCCTTCTTTGATGGTGAAGGTGTTCTTGCCCTCCCCCGAGTTGCTCCCCAGGCTCTCGGTAGTGACAGCGCCCTCCTCTCTCCGATTCTCAAGGCCCCCGCCACTGCCTACAGCTACAACCCCAAGGAGGGCATGCCCGCGCCGGAGGATATCCTGGCTACCGGTTCACAACTGAACATCGTTTCGGCTATGCAGGCACGCAACTCTGCCCGCTTCACTGTTCTCGGATCAGTGGAGTCGTTGGAGGACAAGTGGTTCTCAGCCTCCGTCAAGACGCCCAGCGGCAAGAAGACTTCCACTGTGAACCGCGAGTTCGCCAAGCAGTTGACTGCTTGGGCTTTTAAGGAGACTGGTGTCCTGAAGGTTGACAAGGTCGAGCATCGCCTTGCCACTGAGGGCTCAGAGTTGAACCCCTCTATCTACCGGATCAAGAATGAGACTGTATGTGAAACGTCAATGTATTTGCCTTCTCTTCCAAACTAACCGTGAACCTTTATCTGCCTGCAGATCTACAGCATCGAGGTTTCCGAGTACGTCTATGACAAGTGGGTTCCCTTCGAAGTTCCCGGCGACGACGCGCTCCAGCTAGAGTTCACCATGCTTTCGCCCTTCCACCGTCTCGCCCTCCAACCCACCGACCGTACCGATACCAGCACTGTGTTCAGCACTCGGTTCGTGACCCCCGATCAGCACGGTATCTTCTCCTTCCGCGTCAACTACAAGCGTCCCTTCTTGACCTCCATTGAGGAGAAGCATGAGGTCACCAACCGCCACTTTGCGCACGACGAGTACCCTCGCAGCTGGGCTATTACTGGTGGTTGGGTATGGATCGCCGGTCTTTGGTCGGTGATTGGAGGATTTTTGGCTTTCGTCATTGTCTGGCTCTACTCTGCCCCTGTGACCGACAAGCTTAAGAAGACTCAGTAGATCTATATTTATCTCTGTATGCGTTGGACTCTTTGTCCATGATTTTCAATTTTCTTGCATGATCTTGATCTTTAAATGAACACATAGGTCCCAAAGATGACCAATTCTCAATGATATGATATTCCCCTGTGCCCTCCTTCCGATTGGTTTGATTATACCAGGCGAAATCTAGATAATAGGTTAGCCCGCTAATACATGTACACTTGGGTGATTTGTTCCGTGGCAAACTGAAACTGAAATTGAGCAGTGTAGTACATCCGGATTGGTATTCGCTGTTAACCCCCTCTCAGACGAAAGTAAGCATATCTATGGGGTTTGAGTTCGGGTTGACATGTTTCATCCGTACGCAGGTAGTCGGCAGCCTACAGCATCGTGTGGTCGGTATCATTGTGCAAGATCAAGCTGACCAAGAAAAGGGCGACTACGTTCACGCCGACGGCACCAGCGCCGTTGTGTGGCAAGACCTGACCGTTGAGCAGCAAGGAAAATGGAATCGCACGACAATGCACACCTCGCGCGCGATCTTCTCAGGCGAAACACTACTTATGAGCCGTGGCGCGATATCCCCTGCTCCTACATCATCTGCGAGCAGGATCGGGCCCTGCCGTCGGCTATCCAGGAGTCCTTTGCCTCAAAAATGGGCGGGCCTGACACTACCCACTGCCTGCCGAGCTCGCATTCGCCGTTCTCGAGTATGCCTGATCGCCTGATGGGTGTCCTGGGAGAGATAGTGAAGGTATAATATGTATTATCGGATTTGGGTATGAAGAATCTCAGTCGATCTTGAGAGAAGTGAGTATCAGAGAACAAATGTATGTTTTAAGCGTAACCGGACTCCGGGCCATGCCAGCATGTAATCAGCAAATCCAAATACCCTTTTCACAGGCCCCTTGTCTTCTCTGGATCCATCTGCACTTCGTTTCCGCTGATTTCCTTGACCGTCTGGTATGCCGGTTGTCCAGCATATAGCTGTCCCCCAGACGAGTTACCAGATTTCCCGTCCATGTCCTTGGATACCGAGATGGGCTGGTTGCCACGGAAGCGCTTGCGCATATCGATCATACCACGCCTGTGCCGAGAGAAATGGCAATAATTAGTGAGCATGTTCCTTTTGTCCACAATGGTCGCCCTAGACTCGAGGCTCAGTTTCCGACTCACTTGCACTCGCTGAATCCTTTCCGCAGCTGCTGACATTTCGTGGGCAACTCCTCGGCGAGAGGAGAGCTGAGACATTCACGGGGTGAATGACGCTGGACCATGATACAGTCTGACTCCTGGAGACATTGGGCTAGTGCCTCCCCTAGATAATCAATATGTCGTCAGTTTGCGTTATAGCAATGGTGGGTTGCGGTAGAAGGTCCAGCTGGGTCAGGAACATGACCCTCCCTTAAACAGTTGTGCGACTCAAGAGGTGTAACGTACGGATATCATTGCATGAACTGGGCATGTTGACGCGATCTTGTGGACGAATGCGCAACCACAAACAGCAACAGACCAAAAGAACGAGGCCGTCACGGCAAATTCGGGCTGTCAGTTATCTCGACACTGATTGGTGGATGCGGAGAATCCCCGAATGAGATAAGCATCGCTATCACATGTTGGCAATGACGTCGGGGGTTATTCATCGCTTGTTTTGCGCTTTTAAACGTTTGCAGCCTCTCTGTGTCTTGCGTAGAATCTTCAGGTGAACCTGCACATATGCATAGCAATTGTTGTCCATTATGTCGCGATTTCCGTTCATCGGGAGACTGTTCTGGTAAGGAACCCCAAGCCTCCACAAAGAACGCAGCAACTGATGTTCACGTCTCTAGGTATGAGTACCTAGCTCTCTTCGGGTCTTTGATTCTTGTTCTGCTTGAGACAATCATTCACTTGATTACTTGGTGCCTACGTCAGTGAGAATCACCGAACAATAGATGATGCCAATATTAACCCCTAATCAGCAAGCCCTATCATCAAATTTTGCTATGGTCAATCCAAGGCACTTTTCAACCTTTTAATCCACAATGAACCCCGCCCCAAGCGCACAAAAGAAGAAACATTTGCCTGCTCTGTTGCAGACGCATCCGATTTCACCGAGATATGTGCCCTCTTTGGGTATCAAGCCGAGGAGCACATTGTACAAACGAGCGATGGTTACCTTCTTGGACTTCATCGGCTGGCGTATCGAAAAGGGGAAGAAAGCATGCGCGTTAATCAAGGTCCCAGTGGGATTCGGAAAAAGGTCGTCTACCTCCACCACGGCCTGCTCATGTCAAGTGAGGTGTGGGTAGCCTTGACAGACGAGCAGCGGTGCCTTCCCTTTCAGCTAGTGGAAAGGGGATACGATGTATGGCTGGGAAACAACCGTGGAAATAAGTACTCCAAGAAGTCGATCCGATTCTCGCCTGGTTCCAATGAATTTTGGGATTTCTCTATCGATCAGTTCGCCTTTTATGATATCCCCAACAGCATCGAGTACATCCTCGAGGTGACAAATCAGCCGTCATTGTCTTACATCGGATTCTCCCAGGGGACAGCGCAGGCATTCGCTACACTTGCTATTCATCCATTGCTCAACCAGAAGATTGACGTGTTCGTGGCACTTGCACCGGCCATGGCTCCTTCGGGTCTCCGCAACCGCATTGTTGATTCACTAATGAAAGCTTCTCCGGACTTTTTGTTCCTGTTATTTGGTCGACGCAGCATCCTGTCCTCGACGACCATGTGGCAAACGATACTGTACCCACCAATCTTTGTGCGCATCATCGACAACGCCCTCCAAGCCCTCTTTAACTGGAAGTGTCGCAACATCAAACAAACCCAAAAGCTTGCTGCCTATTTGCATCTATATTCGTTTACCAGCACTAAATCTGTCGTGCATTGGTTCCAAATCATTCGGAATAAGAACTTCCAGTTCTACGATGACGAAGTCTATGCCCCCTTCAGTGTAGCTGCCAGCGAACGCTTTTACAAACCGGTCAAATACCCTACTCGCAACATCAAAACTCCCATTGTCCTCCTGTACGGCGACAGCGATAGTCTCGTTGATATTGGAGTGATGCTGAAAGGGTTGCCACATGACACTGTCGCCCAGGCGATTCCAACCTACGAGCATCTAGACTTTCTGTGGGCCTCCGACGTTAACCGCCAAGTCTTCGGTTATGTGTTCAATGCGCTCGAGACCTATAGCCGGGGTGGCCCGTTGGCTGCCAACAGTACGGGGTCTGAGAACCCCGAATTTTTAACCGACGGCCGTGTTTCCAATACATCAGTTGTCAGGAAAGCCCACATCTTCCCCAATGATGTAGCCTACGGTGCTACTCCCTGAACATCGTTACTTTTAAATGTACAACATACAAATTTTCCTGTGGACTTTTGAGCGGGGTTATGGCGTGGCGGGTCAATCGCCACATCCGTCCACGGGTGTATTGAGGGGATTATGGGATGCATTTGTATGGTACCCATTCATGAAATGATGTGTCTTGTACGGATTGCCACCTCTCCAGGGCTTGGCACGATAAATGCCGGCAGAGTTTTCGAGGAACCCGTTGCCCAAATCCACCGATGTGGCGCCAAGAGGGGAAGTTCTGGAATCTGTGCCTGATTATGCACTCCGTACCTACGTACTACAACTCCGTAGAGTACCTGACTAGAGTACCATGTGTAATCAAACTTATGTATGTGACCCAACTCGTATCCACAGCCTAGACTTCTCGGCACTATACGGAGTACAAAATAGGCAGTAGGGCAAAGTGATAATCTATTCTCCTTCCAAACTCGTTTCAACCTCAGAATAAGCTTTGGTTAATTCGATTTTGGTCTGGAGAACTCGAGGAGATATTTTATATTGATCTTATATTGTAGACAGGCACCAAGAATGATATTCAGGGGCATGGTTCGGATGTCAGACAGGTGGCGCAATTCCACACGCCCAATAATAAATAATAATAAATAATACAGGCACCATTGAAAAGTTTTCGTCCGAGTTCTTTGTGGATTATGATTCGATCTAGACCGGGCGCCTATCCCCACAGTAGAAATTACCGCTGGCGAACAAGTCACAACGAACAGCGCAGAAATTCGAAAAACAATGAAAAACTTAATTCTTGGTCCAGGAACTACCGCTACCCATGGAAAGTCGTCGACGAGTCCACTCGGGTTGGTCGGACCAGATCTCTGTTCCTGTCCCTGACAATGGTTACCAATGGGATCATTATAATACCCCCATCTAGTCAGGCACCGACCACATGGATACACATGGTCAACCCAATTTTATGGTTCAATGGGTTCGACGGCCTATCAAACGCCTGCCACACCAAAATCTGACACACCCAATGCCCTATGCCTACGTACTCCACTCCAAAGAATAAAATGGCGCTATACCCTCCTGCTTCTCCTCTTTCTTTCTCTCCTTTGACATCACGATCTTTCGAATCACACTCATTTAGATTCTTACCTTGGGGCTGAGCCTCATTACAACACTCTCCTTAACAGTCTGTAGATCAGACTAAAGTCCCTCATTCAAAGGACATCACTGTCTCCACCACCTTCCTTCAATATCGGATACATTCAGCCAATATGCGCTTCAACGTTCTCAGCCTCTCGGCCCTTCTGGCAGTGACTGCCTCTGCGCGCCCCGTCGCCGTTCCCGACGTCACATACGTCGAGGAGACCGTCTGGGAGACCGTCTATGAAACCGTCTACAAGACCGCCGCTCCCGTCAGCGTGCCCACCAAGCTCCCCATCCAGGAGGTCGCCCTTCCTTCCAGCACCTCGACTCCCGCTGTCCCAACCCTGAGCATCCCCAGCACCAGCGTCCCCACCATCGTGCCAACTACCACCAGCGCTCCATCAAGCACTACCAGCGCCCCGTCCAGCACTAGCAGCAGCCCCGCCGCCACCGGCAGCGGTGTCTCCATCGTCAACAACCTCCCGGACACCGTCTACCTGTGGGTAGTGACCGAGACCGCCGGTGAAATGCAAACCCTCCCATCCGGCGAGACCTTCCACGACACCTGGCTCACCAACTCCAACGGCGGCGGTATCTCCATCAAGATGTCCACCACCGAGGTCTGCGACAGCGTGCTGCAATTCGAGTACACCCAGTCCGGTGACGTCCTCTTTTGGGATATGTCGTCCATCAACATGCTCAAGACCTCGCCGTTCGTCAGCGCCGGATTCGCTGTCACCATCAGCGACGAGTCGTGCCCCACCTCTACCTGCCGCCCTGGTGATGCCCACTGCACCCAGTCCTACCAGCACCCCGATGATGTCAATACCTTGGCTTGCGGTATCGATAACGCTTACACCCTCACTTTGGGTTAGAGTGTTGTCTGGGCTTTGATTCTAGGTGTTTAGTTGGATATACCTTTTGGTTATGGGGGGAGTTTTCATGATGAACAAATTGCAAAGTACAAATTACGGAGCATAAATCAGATTTCTTTTTAGATACACCGTTGTTTATAGATTCAAAACGAAAATTAAAAAATTCTCAAAACGTGTCAGAGGATGCCCATATCATGGTATTTTAGAAGTTGAGATTTGCAGACTCTAGGCTTACCGCACACCTTTCATAGCCCATTCGATACATTCACATGTCACAACATGCGAAAGATTATTGGGCCTACAATGTTTTACAATGAATGGGCGCCTAACAATGAATCCAGAGTCATTGACCTTGAAAAGAGGGGCAATCGCCCCACGGTGACGGATACGCACATGCACACAGGTGGTGTCCAACACTTTGCATATAATCAAGGCCACATCAACCTTATAAGATAAAGCAGATGATAGAAATATGTATCCAGCAGAATATGATTACAGTAGAGTCTCAAGTTGGCCACAAAATGAGACCCTTCTAGGGCTAAACTAGGGCTGATCAGCAATCTAATCTCCAGTCTTCAATCCAAAAATAACTCAAGCGAGAGACATCCTTGGCATGCTGAAGGCGACTGTGTATATGAAATACATCTAGTACACAGGCAGCTTGAAAGCAGGGAAAGAGTAAGTCCAACTCTCAATGGAAGCCTTATCACCGACACACTCGAAGGTGCTGTTGTTCTTCCAGAGGGGACGAGTAGGCCACTGGCAAAGCATCTGCGTCTCACCCTTATAAGTGCCGGACGAGACAGTCGCATTCAAACGAGAAGGCCTAACATCATTCTCCACCCAGTCGATCATAGTCTGCATGTTATTCTGGGGGTACGGGCCCGGCTGGAGGGTATTTGCGCCGCAGTGTGCGGCACCGGGGATGAGATAGAACTGGTACCAATCGGCGAGTTCCTTGAGACTCTCCTGCGAAGACAGGTGCGGGTACATGATCGAGCGGACGGACTGCCAGTAATGCACCGAAGACGCGGCGGGAATACTAGGGTCGGATTCACCGTGGTAGTGCAGCAGTTTTCCGCCGGAGGATTGGAACAGGGTCAGATCCGGCAGGGTGGTTTGCAGACTGTCCATGTAGCGGACCATGCCGGTGTTCATCCAGTCGACGAGGGTGTCGTAGGTGACGTTGTCAAGGTCGGAGAGGTTGTCGAGATCAAGGAGCTGGATGAACTTGGTCACGTATTCGCCACCGATCGAGGGGATGTTGATCTCCCACTTGCTGGTCGCGTTGTTCCACCGCGTGTCGCCGTCGCTGAGCTGGGAGCCGATTTGCCAGGATAGGTAAGCGCGCTCGCCTTTCGAGTTGTGTAGGCCGTTGTAGATGGCTTGCGCGACTTGCACACCCTTGGCGGTGACTTTGCCGCTCTGTTCGGGAGTGGTAGAGGTGCTGCTGCCGTCGGCGCGCTTGCTGAAACCGAAACCTAGGGAGGCGCTGGTTGCTGCTGCGCAGTAGTATTCCTCGCCGATGATGGAGGTCAGATTGAAGTTGAGCTTGCAGAGATCGGTGCGGGAGATGACACCGTCAGTTCGGCCATCGAGGGGATCACAGGCGGCGATGGTGGCGTTGACTATCTTCGCCAGCTCGCAGGGAGGGGGGTAGTAGTCGAGGGTCTGCTCGGTTGTAGCTGGGAAGACGTGGTGGACTTGCTGTTGGGCGAAACGGAAGGCCGGGGCTCCGGTGATCGCTCCATCGTACTCCTCTCCGTAGCGCTGGATTTGGCTCATACCCTCACGGCCGCCATCAGAGCAGCCTTCATAGTAGGTATAGACCTTGGCGGAAGAAGACATGCCATAGAAGCCCTGGGTAAGAACCTTTCCGATCTTGGTCATTTCGCCCAGAGCTTGGTATCCGAACATGTAGGTTGCGTCCCAGTTGATGGTTCCGTTGCCGTAGAGGACCACCTCGTCGTAGCTGTTGTTGAAGGCATCATAGCCGGCGCTGGTGGCACCACTAACAGCACCGTACTCGAGACCACCGGTTGCCTCGCTGGACAGAGAGAAGCCACCACCGCCAGCGACATAGAAGCGCTTCTTGAAGTCCGAGGGCTTGGGGAAGGCATACTTGATGACGACGGAGTCTCCCTTGCCAGTGTGCTCGTAGGTGACGGTCACATTGCAGTAGGTGTAGGTCTCGGTGCTCCCCATAGCAGCACTGGCATTGTAGACAGCACTGGCAGTCACAGCGGAGGGGATCATGTTGATGCCCAGTAGAGCGCCGTTGGAAGGCAGAGCAGACCGCACATTCGAGACGGTACAGACATCAGCAAGGGAAGCAGCTCTTGCCGATGCTGCCAGGGCTGCAGCAGACGCGCCCCAGGAGAGACGCATGTTGAAGTATATCAAACGGATAGGTATAAAATGTAACAAATGAGTGTCAAGAACAAAATATAACGAGTGTAAAGACTTAGAGGGTCGACAGGAACGTTGCAGGCAAACTATACTTATATGAATTGAAGTACTCTATATATATTGGTTCAAGTTTCTGGCAACTGAAGCGCAGATTACGCATTAACCCGCTGCGTTGCCTGCAATCAAACCATGAAACGATACCTGGAATCACGGATCACACTCTGTCCGCGTCGATCCTATACTCAATCGTCATCATCTGACACCCATCGCAAGGCACAGCTCAGGCTAGGTTCGAAATAAGTAGAATATGAAGAGAAGCGGGTCGGTCTTCATAGCCTAACGTGTATCTAATTCAACTCAACCTTCGGAATTAAGGGAATGGGGTCGGTCTTCATAGCCTAATGCATGTCTAGTTCATCAGCCTCGGAATTAGGGAGTAAGTCTTTTCCTGAAAAAGACTTGTTGTTGACGAGCAATGGACACTAGTTTATTTTGAGTTTGATATGGCCGGGTAAGGTTTATTCCCTTCTACTTAAAATCTTAACTCGTAAAACCCATCCATGTTCCCATCCTCCGGCGACGTCATTCCCAGAGACGTACTCCGTACGCGTGGCCATTGTCAAAATCCACAGGTCTGATCTAGGGCGTCGTATCAGGTTCATGGTCTGCGGTTAAACTTCAGCCTAGGCAAATATAATCAATCTCCATAGGAGGAAGCTATAATTGACTTGCAGAATGTGAATATTCGACCGAGAAAGGCTAGACTGCTGGATTATTCAATACATTTCCACTAGTCCCTTGGCTTTGGCACTTCTTCGGAAACGTTGACATCCGTCCCATTATATCTACATAACCCACATCAATAGCCACCTGGGCATACCACTATCTAAGTTAAGGGGGTAGGGCTTTGTAGTAACCCTCCATAAGTCATCGGGGCATTATCAGATCAAGAATTCTTGAAACAAGGTATCCACTACCGGCGCAGTTTAGTTCGTGAAACTCCATGGCTCCATAAATGGAACTACCGTTGATTAACTTATTTACTTGGTACTTGGGGCAGACGAAAGTATAGCACTTCAAGACGTGAAGGAAGAACATACCAGACATGCATGCACTTTCACTCCTACAGACACATAGGTGTTACAGGAATTCAACATGTGCGACTATCAATCAGTCATACCCATACCAACCTCCTCACATCAAAGTTCCCCTTTCCAGTTTTCCAAGGAAGCACATATCCCCGCTGGTTACTCACAACTCTAATTCCCTTCTTCTTAAACTCGGTCGTATAGTGTGTATGTCCAAATACCCAAATCTCAACCCCATCCCAAGGTTGCGACAAAAGGTCCGTTCCAAACGCACAACTCCAGGGATTCTTAGCATGCTGCGGACTCGAAGTACGCTGCAGGGATGGTGCATGATGCGTGACCACCAGGATAGACCGCTTTTCTTTAGAAGCCTGCCGGAGAGTTTGGATCTCGCCCCTTAACCAGGTCAAGTCAGAGTCGTGGGCCTTGTTATTTTGCTCGACAGACCACTCTTTGATCTTTTGGAAATCGGAGATTTTGTAATTGACTACATCAGCTGATTCCTGGGGGATTTGGGACCAGAGTGTGCAGCCTAGGATTGTCACGCGGGAGTCAGGTATGTCGTATCGTCGTTGGTGAAGTATTACAAGCCTGTCATTCATACAAGGTTCGTTTTCGAGCTGCTTTGCTTTTTCGAGGCCTGAGTTGAAGGTCGTCTCGTAGAATTCGTGGTTACCAAGGCCCAAGAACACGATCTCAAATTTGGATGTTTGGTTTTGTAGGAAGTCACGGTAGTTGTTGTAATCTTCCAGGCGGCCGATGTCGCCTGCTAGGATGAGATATTTAGAGCAAACAGGGATTTCAAAGGAATATTGTTTATTGATCTCCAGGTGTAGGTCAGACAAGATCTGGAATGAGTTAGAAGGGGGTCTTTTGAAAAAGGAATGGATCGTATGTAGTGCCATTATGAGCAATAATAAGACGAAATTAACCAAGTAGATATGGATATAGTAGATATGTGTACTGGAATTGGCTATCGAGAGATCAGGAACAAACATTGGAAGTTTAGGTTGATCATGTGATATCCCAAATAGATCAGTCCCATTCTCAACCCGATCTACACCATATAAGCACCACCAGAGACCTGCCATGTCTGCCCAGTCAGCCACTGAGACTCAGGGCTAGCAATCAAAGACGCAACCCCAGAAACATCCTCAACTTCTCCAGGCCGACCCAGCGGAGACCACTTGCTCAAAGCCTCATCAATCTGCTGAGGACTCATCTTATCACCACCAGGGATATACTTAGCCGACATCTCAGCATACATATCGGTCTTGACACCGCCAGCAGCAATACAGTTGACAGTGATATTCCGTGGACCAAAATCCATCGCAAGACACTTGGTGATACCCTGCACAGCCGCTTTAGAAGCAGCATAGACAGCATGACGAGGGACTCCCTAAGAAGCTGTGAGCTCCCATGCACATGTACAATCCAACAAAGCACCCAAACCCCTACGGTCCATATCCTCTCACCTTAGCAGCTGAAATCGACGATGTCAACATGACACGCCCATAATCCTCCATAAAACGATAAGCCTGTTGAGCGACGAAATATTGTCCCTTGATATTCACCGCAAAGACAGCATCGATATCGCTGCCCCGAACCTCAGAGAGATCCCCGAAATGCTCGATGCCCGAGTTACTGACTGCGATGTCGAGCCGGCCGAACTCGCGGTGTAGAGTCTCGAACATGGTTTTCACCTCTTCTTCCTGCGAGACGTCGGCTTTGAGGGCGAGGGCGCGCACGCCTAGGGCACGGATCTGCTCGACGACGGACTCGGCTGCCGTAGCATTGGAGACGTAGTTTATGGCCACGTCTGCTCCGCGCTGAGCGAATTTGAGGGCTATTGCGGCGCCGATGCCGCGGCTGGAGCCTGTGACTATTGTTTTCTATTAGTGTGTCGGCTTCGACGGTTGGAGTGGTGATGTCGACGTTACTTATTGCAACTTTGCCGGCTAGATCTTTGTTTGTAGACATAGTCGGGAGGTGAGGACTAGGTGGGAAAGTACCTCTGCATATAAACAGCGAGTGCCGTCTCTTATACCTTACATTGTTCTGTGATCTCAAAGATCGGTGAGCATCTGCATGCGTCTCGGGTCCAACGCGTACAGACCGAATTTGGCTTTTTGGAAACAGATGATATCTTCGAATTGTAAAAGTCTTGGGATAGATAATGTTACAAAGTACAGTACATGGTTCAATCGATCCGAATTGTTCCTAACTTGCAGGTACATACTCATCAAATACAAGGGGTGGTCTTGCACAAAATGAATCTTGTCGATGCAGTCAAGACAACGCACCCAGGGAAATCAATCGCTTAGAACAACAATACAGCGCCGTCCTCCGGAATTCCATCCCCGATTTCAAAAACAAAACATTCACGGGAAAAAAACGCCTTTCCTAGATGGCACAGAAGTGGGAGGGGGAAAAAGTATTTTCGGATTACACATGACAAGAAAGCACAAGCGACATGAAGCGAAGTCGCAGGCGCAATATGAAGCGTGGAGTGGTTCTACTGACGTTGTCAGGCTCCACAAGGTTAAACAATTCACTCTCCAAAGCCGTAGTCAGCACCCATTGAAGTGCTGGGGCTATCCCGGTTGGGATTGTTGAAGGTGAGCTTCAGCTTCGGCTGGCCCGGGGTGCCAGCAGTAAGCGGAGTGTCAGCGCCCGAGGCAAACTCGGTCGAGCCATCACCGGCGAACCGATCTTCAAAGTTGGCGAGCTCAGGATGGTCCTCGGTCAGTCGTCGCAATTCCACCAAGCACTTGGTCTGTTGTATCATCATTAGTATGAGAATTCATGATCCATAAGAAGTTAAACTTACCTCAATATCATTGGCATCCTGGAATAGCACACTGCCATCCTCGTTGTAAGTGCGGGCATTCTGGCAGAGCAAGTGGATGTCGTTGCGGAATTCCCTCAAGCTCTGGTAATCGGCCCGCTTGATCTTCTTCTGAATCGCTTCCATAGCAATGGGATTTTGAATGATCATGTAGTAGTCCGGATAATAAGAACGCGGCGGGGGCTTCATGAATGGCTCGATGATCGAACGAACCATGGGGCCCTCTTCACTATCAGAGCCTTCCGGTGGCACCTCAGCCTCCATGTCCATCAACGACTGGACCACAGTATCGAGAATGCGAGTCAAGTTGGCACGGTCAGTCGGGTTGAGAGTATCCGGAACCTTAGGCTGGCGGCCTCTCTTGCGCTTAGGTTGTGGGGTTTCTTCAGCAACTTCCTCGGCCTTGCGCTTGGGAGGAGGACCACGACGGCGCTTCTGCTTTTGAGGAGTCTCGTCATCATCAATGATCGATGGCTCAGGTGAAGATTCATCTTCATCACCCCCAGCCTTCTTGGACTTGCGACGCTCAACACGAGCTTCCTTGCGCGCGATCGCTGCTTCAATAGTATCGTCATCGGCGTCAACTGCCATCAACCACTGCTCTTCGGTGAGACCATCATCGTACTTGGTCACCTTGCGTTCACGAGCACCGCGGCCAGTGACCTCAATCTCGACTTCTTCGGTGACAGGGTTATCCTCCTGCATATAAATTTCGGGCAATTCTTGTTCGGACATCAGTCGAGGGTAGCGGTGGCCAGGACCATATTGGTCGTTGGCAATTCGCTGCCTGTCGATCTCCTGGAAAACGGGGATTTCTTCTTCGGATCGTGCCATGATTTCATTGAGTTCGTCATCATCCATTTCGTCGTGATCACCGATCTGTTCCGCAGCCTCTGCCGTGTCCAGGAGAGTTCGAAGAAGTGCATCTCGCTCCTCATTAGTGGACTTGTTATCGAACTTTCCGGCCTGGATAACCTTGCCATCCATGTCCAACTTGAACTGTGCGCGCTCGAGAATCTTCTCTTCGACCGAGTTAGAACTGATAAGCCGCAAAATGCGGACCTCGTTCTTCTGACCAATACGATGGGCACGATCCTGGGCTTGCAAATCCTGGTGAGGGTTCCAATCCGAATCGTAGATAATAACGGTGTCTGCAGTCTGCAGATTGAGACCAAGACCACCTGCACGGGTGGAAAGCAAAAAGCAGAAGTATTCAGAATCAGGAGCGTTGAACTGCCTCAAGAGGTCCGATCGGTCGTCGGACTTGGTGGATCCATCCAGACGGAGGTACTTCATTCCACGAAGGCGAAGGAAATCCTCCATGATGTTCATGATCTGAGTCATCTGGAAGAACATCAAGACTCTGTGGCCCGTGGCACGGAACTTGGGAAGAATACGATCAAGCAGCTCAAACTTTCCTGCCGTGCGCCAAAGAAGATCGTTGGACATACGAGTGGGGTTCATCTGGTCTTCAACAGGCTCAAAGACGAAAGGATGGTTGCAGAGCTTTCGCAATTGCATAAGCATGTTGCTGAGACCACGCATTCCAGTCTTGCCGCCCTTACCATCAGTGACAGCCATCTTGTTGTGGGTAACAAGTTGCTTGTACAACTTGGCCTGCAAGGCAGAGAATCGGCACTTGATGACGCGCTCCTGCTTATCAGGCAAATCTTTCTCGACATCCTTCTTCAAACGTCTGAGAAGGAATGGCCGAAGAACCTTATGGAGACGACGAATAACGAGAAGCTGCTCTTCTTCGCTCAGATCCATACGGTCTTGGCCACCAGTATTTGCGAAAGGCGTGTTAAACCATTCGTCAAACGACTTGACAGACTTGAAAATGTTGGGAAGAACGAAGTTGAGAAGAGCCCATAGCTCGGGCAAATTGTTTTGCAGGGGAGTACCGGTCAAGATGATACGGTACCGACTGGTGTAGTAGGTGGACAGTGTGCTGCTGAGCTTGGACTGTGTGTTCTTCATGCGGTGACCTTCGTCGACAATCATGTGTGTCCACTTGATCTTGCTGAGAATTGGACGATCCTTGATGATGTACTCGTAGGTGGTGAGAAGAACCTGGAAGTTGCCCCAGCGGATCTGCTGCTGTTGCTGCTTTCTCGCATTGGGCGGGCCCTTGTAGACTACCTTGCTCACGCTGGGCGCCCACTTATCAAACTCGTTGTTCCAATTAGTGAGCGTGGACAGTGGAACAATGACCAAGAAGGGCCCATTGTTCTTCTTCTTTTCAATGATGTGGGTAATCAAACTGATCGTCTGGATCGTCTTTCCAAGACCCATCTCATCAGCCAAAATACCGTTCAGGTTATTGTTGTACAGTGAAATCATCCATTGCAGGCCCTTAATCTGATACTCCTTGAGAGTGCCTCCCACAAGAATGTCAGGCTGCGAGGTGACTTCTTCATTGATGCGATGAGCGACAGCGTAGTAGTCGACCTTCTTCTTTCCGGTGGCTGTACTGTCATCCTCGTTTTCGCTGTCCGCGATCTCTTGGTCAGACTCCTCGTCGTAATCATGCGTCTCGCCATAACGATTCGCCAGACTGCGCTGTTGTTCCTTGACGGATGCGGCAAGCTGCTTAAGGAAGTTGTCGGTCTGCTTGAGGAGATGAGAGATACGAGAATCCTTGGCCTGTCCCAAAAGCTTCAGGTATGTCTCCTCATCGTTAGCCTTCAAAGCCTGCAGACGCTGCTTGGCGGTTCGCTCGACGCGCCTCTGCTCTTCGCGTTCCATGTGTTGGTGGTGTGAGATCATCATACGACCCAGCTTCTGCGAGCGCGTACGTTGCTGGGCGGAAGCATTAGCAAGATCAGCGCTGTGGTTGAGGATGGCCTGCAGCTGATCGTATTGCTTCTTCTTCTCTCGAGATTCGCGAGCATCACGTTGCTGCTTCTCGAGCTTCTCGGTGATACGAGCCTCACGTAGGGACTGCTTCTTCATGCGGCGGTGACTCGAGCGATTGGCTGTCATGCCGAGGTTGCTGTAGTGGAACATCTCGCTCTGGAGCTGCTTGCGGTATTGTCGTTGTTTGGGCAAAAGATTAAGTGATTTATACTCAATCAGGGCCTTCAGCTTGAGGGAGTCATCGTAGGTTGGTGCATCACTCTTGCTGGTATCCCATACACCGAGGTTGGCGGGAAGTTGGGCAAGCTCTGCTTTGCGGGCAGTGATTTTATTATACAGTATGGTCTCACGATCCTCGCGCATCTGCTCCAAGTCGATGCCAGGTGGCAAGAGAGCGGGAATGCGCACACGATTTGTACGGTTGGCGTGGTCAGTGTAGCTAATAGTCTTGGAAAGCGAGTCGTATGGAGACTGGAAGTTGTCATACCACTCCCTGGTCATGACTTCCGCATCTGAGCTTTCTGGAGGCTGGCTACCAGCGCCGTCAGTGGCAGCTTCAATGACCTTTTCGGCTGCGGTAACATTGTCCGTGGGAGTAGGTGGTTGAGACTTCTTCTGGTTTTGGAAAAGCTGCTCTTGGACACGCGGGGGAATTGCGAGGTTCTTCGATAGCATCTTGAAAGCTAAGATTTGGTTTCGAAGGGTAGCCAGTTGCTCCGGTGAAAAGCTACCGCTGCCAACAGTCGCATTCTTTTGGTTCAGAGCAACTGCTGAGGTATTCGTGGCATTAGCTGCGGCAGTCGAAGAAGTCGAAGGGGTGCGACCTGCGAGAATATATGTCAGCCCTGTAGAAGAGCTTGGGTTTGGAATGGACGAGGAGAGTCAAGGAGAGTCAATCGCAAAGCTTACCATGAGAGCCATTGGCAGCTTCAGGAGTAGCGCCGTTCATCTGTTGCTGTTGGCGCTGTTGCTGGGCCTGCTGCTGGGCCTGCTGCTGGGCCATGCGCTGTTGCTTTTGGAAAGCCTGCTGGCGTTGAATGGCAGCAAGTAGGTTGTGGGCCTTGAGGAATTCCGGGTCATCAGGGCGAACACCTTGTTCTTGCATTTGCTTGTATTTCTGCGACAAAGTTAGAGACGACAGCAAGGGCGGGTAAAACACAGGCAGATGCGTTAAAGGACTGAAGAATTGAGATATGCGAGTTGCGTTGTTGTAATGCGACAAACTTACCTGGAGTATCTCCTGGACATTTTGCTGCGTGAGGTTAGGCGGCAAGCTCACGTTGCCAGGCGCCATGTTTGGCGCTGGGTGTAATGAAGCCATCGTGACGCGTGTATTTTTTTAATTCATGAGCAAGCGATATAGCTTGGGGTGGGCAACGTCAAGGTCGATGCGGAGTTGTGGCAAGTCACGGTCTCCACCTGGTTTCAATTGCCAAGTCGCGAGGGCAAGAGAAAGGGAGGTCGCGGTCGAAATAAATGGGCAGCGACAATCTGGGGTGAGCCTGATTATCGTGAATGCGATCGGTGAGCGACTGTATGGGATGCTTGGCGATGGAAAGCGTGATGTTTGGGGCCGTGGTCGGAGCTTCCGATGCGATGGGGGGAGCGGGTACTTTCAGGGACAAGGGAGTCAAAGAAAGCGAGTAAAGAGGCGAGTTCCCAGGGTAAGGCAAGGTGAGAGGGGAACTCCAAAGTTGAAGGCGCGTTGGGATGGCGCGTTCAAAAAGTGGATGGATGAAAATGGAGATGGGGAGGGAACGGAGTTGCGCGACAGGCTCGGGGAAATCTGGGTGCTCAGAGCAAAGGACTGACAACAGCCTGGCAAGGAGTTTTTCGCAAAGGACGTTAGTCAGCAGGCACGTGATTCCGTGCTGAATTGTGGCCTGGGGCAAGCGCAGCTCTGGTACCGTACCTGTTTGGGATAAGGCTACTATCAGGTGTCGTGCTGAGAGAAGAGTGATTTTTAAGGTCTTTGTAGCCTTTGGACATCTGGTTTATTCAGCTTCATTGAATATATTGAATGGTCTTCCATACAATACAAATGACAATACATTGTAAAGCTAGACACACCTGGGTCCACCCTTGCTGTCTAACGGGTATCGACACGATCGAAGATTATACCTACATGTGGATCATTTATCAGCCATCTATTCTGTGATGCTAGCGCCAGCAACTAAAAATCCATCTAACATTGACCATCCTTTTTGTTGATTGCCCCTGCCTTAGAAAAGCTATTCCCTCATATTGCCTCCGAGAGATGATGACGTGTGAAAATACATGGCTTGAGCCTTTTGCCTAATTCCAGCTTTTGCCAAGATGATTTTCATAAGGTACTTAGCCACCTAGTCGAGCTATAAATATAGCGAAATCCCCTATAGATAGTCAATTACTAAAACTTTGAAAGAGTTTTGCGGCTCACTATCTTTTTTCTTCTCTTTATGCTTCGTCCTAGCGTATAAGCATCCCTTTCCAATCCTAGATTATGGGTATAAAGCGCTAGACTTGCGATTTAGTAAGGGAACGGCGCCGCGCGAGACGTGAAGAAACTGGATTCTAACCGGAAGCCCACCGAGAGGATGATGCCACACGTTGTAAGTATAAACGTACCGATGAGTCTAAAGCCCTTCACCGGTAGTATGTTGAGCTCTGGATCGAGTGAGTGGCCTCGTAACGCTTTTCCCTAATTTCTTTGTTTATTGACTTCTTAGATTTCTGGTTGACGCACCGAACCATTGGGTACCAAAAGATCCGCGGAAGCTCTGGCACGTTGTATACAATGTGCCAGAATCTGTGATTGGCTAGGTAGTCAAGTTAGCTAAGGAGCGCGGAGCCGGCTTTCTTCAAATCACAGAAGATATCATCACGCCCAATCCATACGATAATCTGCCTAGCGACTCCTACATGCTAAGCATGATGAAGGAATTGAAAGGTGGTTCTCCGTTGAACACCGATGCGTCATCCTGGAGATCTGGAAACGTTGTAGGAGAGATGCTTGCACTGGTAGTCAAGGCCTTTGACTATACCTTTGCTCAATTGTCCTGGGAGGTGGCCTCAAATCCTTTTGGATACAAGGAGTATTCGGCCGACACTGTCGTTGCAAGCGTCCTAGAGTCGATGACTCGAATCACGTTTGGTGGTCTCAAACCAGGAGCTAGCCACGTGCTCCATATGGCTGCCGTGGGAGGAGGTGGCCATATGAGATCTTCTTCGCACACGATCACGGTCGACACCCAATCTTTGCCCAGTGGGAAGACTATCACCAACTGGAAGTCAGTTCCCAGTGAGAGGTCGACTATAATCAAGGCTGATATTCTCGTTCCTTACGCCTTCATCCGAATCTATATCTAGGACCAAGTGGGATGCGATTTCGATAGCGATCCGGGTTGGTGTGTCAACTTCCATGTACGCAACTTTAATTAGATTACATACTAGAAGAATTATGAGCTGGTGCCACCTAGATATGGCGAGGCTTGTCATAATTATTATACTTGGAAACAATACAGAATCTGGTTAGGTTACACATGCAAAGCAAAGAAAGTTCCCCAGTCTTGATCAATAATTCTCCTCTTCATCGCGGCGCCGTTTACGACTAGTCGAGGTAGTGGCACTGGGACGAGTCGCGGGCTTTCGTCCTCGAGGCGTAGATGGCATAGGTGTACCATCTTTAATACTCTTAAGATTTCTCTCCACTTGAGCCCGTGTTTTGTTGACCACAAAATTGATTGCATTTCGTAATAGCCGCGACACATCGTTCCACTCCTTGTAGGTCAGGCTCTCGGCGGCAATAGACTTGATTAAATGCGAGTAATAGAAAACATCATTAGACTTCTCCACAGTCCAATGTGCAGAGATTGTGACGACATGTGCGGTGACTGTTGCTGAGAGAACTCGAACCACGCCGTCAAAAGACTTTTGCGTGTACTCTTTACCCTGGGCTAGGGAGGACAGATCACGGAGGTGGCGTAGCATATGAGCAGCATTATTTTGGTTTTGCATACGCCCGTCATTGGCTCCTGGGTCTCCCTTCACCTCTATCGTAAAACATGGGAAGATAATGTCAGGGGCGCAGCCGATGGGGGATGCCATGGTCCCTAGCTTATGCAGGACTACTATGTAGTCACGGAAGCTAGCTCGCCAGAGGCCGATAGTGAGGTCCGGACATGGTGAGGGGATTTTGGTAATCTCCTCGCCTTGAGAGAGGGGAGGCAAGACACATTCGGCCACGAACTGGGCTTGATTGATAGCATATGTTTGCAGATTGCGAACGATCCCGATTTGATCAACAAGGTTTGGGACGATAACGGCTTGGATGGTAGCTTCGTTGTTTGGGCCAACTAAAAGTTGGTTGAAACCATCGGCAGTGTCTTTATCAAGGGCGTTGAGCGCTGGTGATTTGCGCTCTAGGGCTTTCCTGATGCTGTCAAATTTCGGTGGTACATTTTCCGCTTCGATGATGCCTCTGATTTGTAGTTCTGTAGTGTAGTCTGGGGACTTGTAGGTGATCGTCCTTGTGTTTGAGTATCCAGACCTGGTAGAACCACCAGGTGACCTTGGTTGGGGAGGTAGAGCGAAAGAGACGGTCGGTCGATCTGGTGTGGTGGGATCCGATGGCGGTCTTCTCGATGCTCTTCTGGGTGAGGATTGTTCTGATAAGGCTGGATAGGTTGGTATGTCTGGTATTACAATGCTGTCGAGAAAGCGAGTGAGAACAAAGTTCTCTTCAGCCTCGCTGGTACCTGACGGGTACGTTCCTCTCATGGAGGGAGCGACGAAACAGCGAGAAAGAGTGTGGGAGAGAAAGAGTGTGAGGAGCAAAGCGGCGTGACATGAGTTTACCGGGGAAAAGTATGTTCTATGTCATGATGACCATATTGTTTTGTTGCTCTTGCTCTACCATAGATTGGCACCTCATCTTCGGTCAGTCAAGAGTGCTAGATGAACAACTGCATTTAGATGGGGCTAGCGTGGTGCATTTTATTGAGGTGAGCTGCTGACTTAGCTTTGCTCAGGTGATGGTCAGTGAGCATGTCCTTGAGCTTATGTAATAATCAGGTCGTGCTCAGTGGACACTAAAGTGGAAAGTGAAAGCCATGTCGCGAGGCCGAAAATCCGGTGTATATGTACCTAATTACGCATTCAAACCTTGCAAATGCAAATAAAGACCTGAATGGATCTACCTATTCGCTAGGAGACGCACGTATCCACATTTCTCATCATCCTACTAATTCTGCATTGAGACTAATAGTAGCCGGGGAATCCTCCAGACCTCCATGGAACCAACCAACCTGGCAGAGCAAACCAGTAAGCACAACTAAGGAAAGGACAGAACAATCCCATGTAAGACTCAAGGGACTAGTGAGTGATAAGAATAGGTACCACTGCCACAATCGACCATAAGCTCCCAAACTCCAAAACCCCATGCTCAAGATCAAGAACAGACGTAAGATGTACTTTCAGAACGTTCCCTTACGCATTCGGTGCCGCAAGAAGGGACCGCTTCATCGGTGGAGGTGGAGGTGGCTTCTTCGCACGAGATGGTGGAGGTGGGGGAGGAGCTTTCTTCGATCCAATGGTGTTCAAGTTGGTTGCACTGGGTCTCCGGGATGGCACGCTGCCGTGAGATGTTGCTGGGGAGATATCCCTGCCCCCGCCAAACATCCGCTCGGGGCTAGAACGACCATACGAGCTGACCTCTTCGGAGTCGGCGTAAGGATCGGCAGAGATTCGACTATTCCCAACTTGAGTGCTGCTTCGACGTCCAAAGCCGCCTAGGTTCTCGCTGGTAGTTCGCTGCTGGATCCACTGTGATGCAACTGGCGATTGTTCTTGTCGCAGTTGAGCCGGTCCTTCGAATGTGGGAACCCTGTTGAGAACGGGACGTGAGACCCCACTGGTTCCATATGTCTCTCGGGGGGGTGACTCGGAGTACGGCGTGATAGATCTAGTCGATCGGATGGGCGGTCGAGTCCCCGTCGCATTCATTAACTCTTCCTGCAATGGCTCATACCGTTCCTGGTACGAATGGGCAGTGTTGGAACGAGAACGGGTCGGACGACGGGAAGGGGCCTGTACTTGGCTGTACCCATTTCAGTGTTAGTATCCCACACGAGATGCAGCGACCAAAATCAATGCTTACCCAGCCCATTCATTCTTGAGCTGCAGCAGGGCTTCACGGGACCGTTCATGGTATTCAAGCTGAGCATCCAAAAACACCCCCATGTCCATCACATTGTCGGCTTCGGCTTCTTTGATGTCCTGCATGCGACGCAGCACGTCATCGCTAGCTTCCTCGTACTTCACTTTCTGCGAGCGTAGTTCTTCCTCCACGCGGAAGTCCTCCTTCTTGGCCTTCTCCATCTTAGAGAGAGACGTATCGTATGCCAGCCGGCGGCTATCGAGCTTCTTGCGAGCATGCTATGAGGCAGGTCAGTACGGGATCTTCAAGCTTCAATTTATCGCGAGTTCGAATGACATACCTGCAAGTCTTTCATCTGAGTCAGGGATCGTTCCAGGGACTCAAGCCAGCTTGAAGTCGCCTGCGCGATGTAGTTTTCTTGGATGCGGGCAATGCGCTCCTCGGTGCGCCCAAACACTGATCGAATCGTTAGCGATGCGATTCCTCCCCCGCATTCCCGATCTCCTCTTTCAAGACTTACTGATCAGACACTGTCCGTATTCTGAGTTCCCATCGAAGTCTTCGCCGTGGGCCACCATGCTGCTTCCCAAATGGGCAATCGGAAGGGTCTTCTCTTTGTCGTCTCCCTCATTGCGCTTCGAGATAGCCTTGACATATGAGGTCATGGATTTATGAATGCGGTCAACGCCTAGAGAGAGCTTGAATCAGTATGGATAAACTGCAGACGCGGAGCGGGGTCATTTCCTACCTTCATGTCGCACGCCCATCTCCGTCTCCATTGCCTTGAAATCATCAGAGAGACAGGTCTTGGCCTCTCCGCCCATGCGTTCTCCAGCCCATTGTTTGAATCTGCCGATCCTCTTGTTCACGTGCATATTGGGAGTTGGGGGTTGGGAGTTAGGAGTTGGGATGATAATGGTATGTGGAAGAATAATCGAAACCAGCGATTGTGTAGAGTGTGAGATAAAAACAAGTCAAGGGAATGTTCGACTAGAATGCTCTAGGATACATATGTAAAGAGGAAAAAGGAAAGACAGGAAAAAGGAGGTTGGGAATAGATTAAATCACCCCTCACGCAATTATGATAAAATGGGAAAGGGAAAATAGGAAATCGGCTACATGTGCATCTCACAAAGTTACAAAGAAATACGCGTTTTTATGCATGCAGTAAATTGCCGATCTTGTCAATCAGTGGGGAAGGCATTTCTCAATCTTCTTGTATTATTACCATAGAAAGAGAAGAAGAGACATTTGAAACCAGTATTCATAAGAGTTATTCTACTCGTATTTCGCACAAAGTCGCACTCTGTACTCCGTATTCCCAGCAGAGTACTAAAATAACCTGAGACCAGGGGAACCCCAGGTTCAAAGTGACACGCGTTAGTGGGCCAGTGGTGGAGAGCCACTAAATCCCATTGGAAGCTTCGGTTTTTCATGTTAATTCAATTAATTCAATTAATTACTATAATTATTTCTTGCCACCCTGGGAATTATCAGAATTGTGAGTATATATAAACATATGGCATTATCCTATTAGCGTTGTGTTCCGTATAATACTTGCATATGGCTTGGGAAAAGGGTTTCAAATCTGTTTCAGTTGATCCATAACCACTCTGGGCTATAGGCTCTGGACTCTGGACCATTTACGAGTACGGAGTAGACCTACTGTTGTAAGATCCATTGACTATCAGTGGGTTGCATCGCCGCAATGCCAATGTCAATCAAATCTAAAGCGCCACAAATCATGAAATTGAAACATTCTATTCATTCGGTTCGTATTGAACTATATTATTGGTAGAAATATATATGCTTGTTCTCCAGTCCAAATAAATATCCATATCATAAATCATGTGGTTCCATCAAAAACATCACACAAAATCATTCGAGGGTCAATCGACAAACCAGGCACCCACGTCTGTTCCGATTCAGAAGCTAGCAGAGCATCGAACTCGTTCCAGCCATTCATAAATGGGAGTTCGCTCCTAGCCGCCGACAGACCAGCCCCTTTCTCACTATTCCCGTCTAGATCCAAGATCTCACCACTCCTATCCTCAGAGACCGAGCGCGGTGTTTCAACTCCAGAAAAAGCATCAGATGGTGACGATTCCGGCGAGTGCAGGTTGCTTTGCACAAGGCTCTCTACATATTGACCGGGCGTAACGCCCACATGTTTCTTAAACACACGATGGAAATGACTGGGTGTCAAGCCAGCCTCCGTCGCCAGATCTCTCAATTTTGGTTTCGGCCCCGCCGTCAGAATGTTCCGGATTGACTCGCAGGCTTTATCAATCATGGCGGTTTGAGGGTTGCTCTGAACCGCCGTCTGACCCGAATGCGGCCGGCAGCGCTTGCAGGGTCGGAAGCCCGCTTTCTCTGCTTGCAGAGCGGTGTCATAGAATTGGACGTTGGCACGGCGGGCTAGTCGTGCTGGGCATGAGGGGCGACAGTAGATTTTCGTGGTAAGGACGGCGTAGACGAAGCTGTTGGCTGTTATGTCGCGGGTTGCGATGGCTTGCCACCGTTCTGTGTCGATGAAGTTCGGGCTGAGTCGGGGGATCTCTTGGGGCTTGGATATATCTGACATATTCACAAGGTATTCAGATCGTAGATATCTTCGAGGGATTGTATCCATTGCGGTATCAAACTCCAGAGGGGAACCTCGGGAAACCTGATGTTTGATCTCAAACTGACCAATCAGCGTCCACGATAACTCCCCAATACCCAATGCACAACGTTGTACATACATCAGCCATCACCTGCGGTGTATATAGTATGTACATGTAGGATGAAATGATTTCCTTAGTAAGGTTTTGTAGGCTGCTTCTCTGATTTCTTTCAAGTCTTCGGTTCCTGGCCCCAGGTTGAATATATATAGTACAGCCCTAACCTAACTACACATCTCCCCTCCAACCAAGAGGTGAGAGAACAACAGATTTTATAGAACATGCATTTATCCCTAAGCTATGATAGCCCTAGTGTTCCAAATGACGAAGTCCGGACATATTGGTTCCTTCGCGCGTAGTCCCCGAGTCGGAGCTCCTAGCAAAGTTGATGTCAGTATCTCCTCTTTCTTAAAATATCGTACTAAGGGTTCACTAAAGTTCAAGGGATTCAAAGTATCTACAAACCTCATGAGAGTATTCTTTAAATGTAAACATAGCGCAAATGCTTTGATAACAGTTTATTGTAGCGACTGTCCCGAAATCCTTTTCATGGTACCTATACAAAGCGACCAGGAATTAGAATAGACCCTTCCCGCGCATCCTCCAACTTACAATGGTTTGTATCCCTGGGTGCCTGGAAATCTTGCCGCGTCAAAGGGAGGGTTCTCAAACTTCGGGGTAGATGAGTTGGTCGAACTTCCAAATGGAGAGGACGAGCCAAACCCTTTACTATTCGAACTATACCCTGCATTGACAGTCGAGCCAGACACATTCCCGGTATACAATGGTGTGCCGGGCGACGAACTCCACAGACTGGACGTGGCGGTGGCTGCATTATTAGGTATAACCCCGCCATTTTCTGTACCCAGACTGGAATAGGATAGAGAACTCTGATTTGTACTAAAGGGCCCTCTATTTTGATTTGAAGAAAGGACTGGAAAAGGAGACGCGACTGGCCCTGGTTGAAACAATAAGCATTTACATATCGATATGGTATCTGGAATTGCTACCTACCAGGGGCAGCAGTTGAAACTTGTGGGAACAGACCAGGGCGAGGAATATTGGGCGCCCCCTGAGCTGTCTGGGCCGTGCCTATACGGCTTGGAGTCTTGGTTATGGGGGGTGACAGTCCCGCTATAATATTCCGATTAGCCTGTGATTCCATGAACCGGTACATGGAATGTAGATACCCAAGATAGGACGAGCACGCAGCGAAGAGTCCGCTATACTGAAGGCATTGAGAGTCTGTCTTCCCTTTCGGAGCTTCTCGAGCTCTTCATTTAGACGTTCCCGATCCTTCTGAATGTTCGATGGCTCTGCTGCAATTTCTTGAATCTGCTGATCATCCATGTCAAGTACAGTCTTGCCAGTGAATATATGCTCCAGAGGGTAAAGAAGGCAATTTTCGATAGCCAAGATGGCAACATTATCGACAAACGTCACGATCGCAGTCTGAAAATGCGACCCGTTAGATCAGCCAACATTTCATTTTGAATAAGGATGTCTATCTCACCTCGTAGTAGGCCTGCATCTGATCAATAATCTCGGCCGCTGCAAACTGATCGCTGGATGACTGTAGCTGAGATGTTGCTTGCTCCAGATCTCGAACATCAAAAATGTTTCGAGTATCCTCCCCCGTTGAGGGGTAAGATCCAGACAAATGGAGGTTCCTTTTTAACGCAGAAACCTGGCGGTTCTTTCTGGGCTCTTCGATCTTGGAGAGGAATGATGTTCCCACGGGAAGCGGATGGCCCCTTTTGAAGTACGAAGTCAATTCGCTGAGCTTTGCTAACAAAGACTCCTTCATCTTCTCCATTTCCGGTCCAATGAGGTGTCGCATGAGCAAGGGGCGTGTGTGATCGTCCGTGAGACTCTTCAGTACCAGCTGGATAAAGTACTCGACCGAGTGCCAGGTGTTCAACAGGTGAGATTTAGCAACTGTTTCCCAGGGCTCGCACTGATCCCGGAACAAAGTCCCTACAAGCAACTGGTTTGCACTGCCTGGTAGCTCTATTCCTCGACTGTGCCGGGCCTGTTCTTTGATCTCGGCCACAAGAGACTCCTGGGAGATGTACTGCGGTGTCCAATCATCCATGTAAGGCTTGGATCTCTCTTGCTCGACGTCCTGAACAAGAGCTGGCTGCCCAGGGAATTGAATGATTCGCCGTTTCCCACGAATGCTCATCGCTTCAGAAAAGTACTCATTAAGCTCACGAATGATGGCCCGCAGTCGGCGGAAAGGAAAGTCTTCTGTGGTCGCCGTATGGTCTTTGAATCCACCAAAAAACTCATCGACGTAGGATCCATTCAAGGCCTGGTTTGTGATCCGCGCAAATCTGCTGCTAATATCCACAAGAAAACGACGTTGCTCCTGAAGACTTGTGCGCGGCGCGCCCATTTTTGCCAGTGTCTGCTCGTTACGAGAAATCCTTTCTTGTATGTCCGCAATAAGACCAGGAAGATTGCGACGGACATGACCAAGTAGAATCTTGCTCAGACGATTCCTCAGACTTTCAATCCCAACTTGGTCTCCAGGGAGGGAAGCCCATCGTCCCTTTTCAAAGAACTCCTTTTCTTGAATATCTCGCGCATCATCGGAAATGCCGCGCGTCTCAAACGAGCGGTTGCGCAATACATGCCATCCCAGTTGCAGCTTGACATTTTCGTTCCTGATGAACTGTAAATAAGTGTCTTCTTCATCTGAGCCCACTTCGGGGATATCGGGCTGCGTGACGATACCCAGGACCCTCTCATATTTGGGATCAAAAGACTGCGCGATGTTCAAGACCTTCTGGATATGGTAATCGGCCCTTGCACTGATGACAGCCAGAATGATGCTTCGAGAGCTTTTCATGTATTTTTCCGTCAGCCTTTGAACTATCTCCATTCCCTGCTCGTTTTGGTCGCTGCTGCTGGAGTAGTAGAGCCCCGGAAGGTCGACCAGAGTCAGGTTTGGCTTTTCAGGGCCCGAGATCTCGACTTTAAGAACGTCGTCGCTAAATCCTGTGCTCGAAGGATCGGTGCTGGAAAGTCCCATGCATTCCTTCGCGTTTTCGATCAGCGTGGGAAGGTCTTCACTGGAGGAAAATTTCTCGGAGGTGAACGCGCGGAGCTTCTGCTGTTCCTGCTCATCCTTCCTGGAATCTCCGGGCTCAATGGACACTTTGATTCTGTCGTGGGGGCTTCGGCGAATGACGATTTCAGTCGCAAACCGAGTGCAGATATTGCTCTTAGATGGAAAGCGCACTCTGGATATTGCCTCCAGTACGGAGCTTTTTCCACTAGACTGATTACCACAGACGATGATTTGAGGTAGCTCCACGAGGCCTCCAACCCCAATAGCGCGCAGCTCGTCAATCTTTTCCAGCAGCTCTGACTGTTCAGACTGTAGCTGGTTCATCGCCTGTTCATCAAGCGGTGATGACATGGTGAGAATGTTCTAATGGTTCTTCCAGTAGTCTATATATGGGTGTTGAGTTGGTTCTGGGGGAGAGGAAGACGAAATTTACAATCTCAGGGGGAGGGGAAATTAGATACATGATCGGATCTCATTCTTCGCCCCGCATTTATCTGCGTGTATATCGTCTGTACGATATAGTCTGACTTCTTTAATTGATCTAATTGATCACACCGGAGCTATGATTTTCTTTTCTGGTAAACAGGTCGTAGATAATAGAGGCAAATTATAGCACTTGAGGCGTCCCGGCCCGCTTTCGGTTGCACAGCGTTGTGCAGTATCACCACATATCAGTGAGCAGACATAGTATTGAGGTAGTGTTTACAACATTTCTTACCTAGTTTGGACTGGCAATTATCTATGCCCTAATTCATAGTCCTTGTCTTTCTAGCTCGACTGCATTATTAAGAGATGTGTTGCGTTGTTATATGTACATATACCTAGTTTCAGTCAACACTGAAGGAACCAGATACATGCATACATAACGTCCTTGTACTATCTTGGGACTGCTGTCGATAACTGCTGTCGATACTATTCGTGGGGCGAAGAAAGCATCGGTTTCACTGCTGCACAGCATCGATAACAGGCCATGATCATAACGATCATACAGCGCGACGCATATCTATGCCGATTAATCACGGCAGACATCTACTAGGGTGATGGACAGGAACGAGTAAAATTTAAAGGTGTATCATTCCACAGCCCGAAGGACTTTTTGATTTCGTTTCTGCCCTGTAGAGGCCAACCCCGGACCTCTTCCCATCACCCTTTCATTTGGTCGACAAGAAAAAGGGTAGTCACCACAACCTTAATTCGCTAAGGGCGCATGAGACGCTCATCCGCAGGCGCCTAAGTACATTTGTCTCATAGCAGAATTCCATTTTCAACCCGTCACAAGAATAACTCCAAGAAAAAGCACGCTTAATCCTTGGTCTTCTGGGTACCGCGGAGCAGACCGGTTCTGCGGGCGGCAATGAGACCAGCCTTTTGACCCTGGGTGGCGTAGCGGGAGATGGTCGAGGCCTTACCGATGTGCTGGTGGTTACCACCACCGTGGGGCTGTAGAGAGACATGTTAGATATTGCGGTCTTGGATGTCATCGAGTCTGTGTATAGACTGAAACTTACGTGATCGACGGGGTTCATGGCAACACCACGAGTCTTGGGCCAAGAGTTGCGCTTGACAGCGAACTTGTGCTTGGCACGACCGGCCTTGAGCAAAGGCTTGTCGGTACGGCCACCACCGGCAACGATACCAACCATACCGCGGGCAGTGTTCTTGATGACCTTCTTGGCACCGGAGGGGAGCTTGACACGGGTCTTGCCATCCTCGGGGTTGTGGCCAATAACGGTAACGTAGTTACCGGAGGTACGGCCAAGCGCACCACGGTCACCGGACTTCTCCTCGACGTTGGTGATGACGGTACCCTCGGGCATGGAGGCGAGGGGAAGGACGTTGCCGACGGTCAGGGCAGCGTTCTTACCGGCGTAGATGAACTGGCCGGTGTACATGCCCTCGTTGGCGATGAAAGTCTCGGTGACCATCTTGTACCGGTAGGGGTGGCGGAACTGGACCTTGGCGAGGGGAGCACCACGGCCGGCATCGTGGATGATCTCCTTGACGACACCACGGGTGTAACCGTGAGCCTCAGCGAAGTCGAGGGTCCGGAATTGGGCAGGGGCCTTGTTCAGGCGGGTGTTGGCCGCTGTAAAGTAGAGAAAAAATCGATATCAGCACTCCAATCTCCTTGCGAATCTGTGTGGTTTCCTAATGGTCCTTTTGATTTCGTCCTCGCTGCTCGGGTTGCAGCCTCGAAATTTCGTGCTGGAATGTTTTGCGGTCGCACTCACTGAAAATGGAGCCACGGCCCTTCCTCTGGTTGCGGATGACACGACCCATGGCGACTGTCTAGACGAGGATCCTATGTTAGTATGGAAGCCGGACAGAAGTGTCGTAGGAAGGTGGTAGCGTACCTCGAAGTGAAATAGGCTTGTCGTTGACGAGTTGAGAAATCATCAGACATGGGACTTGTGTGGGCTTTAGGGTGCGGTCGCTAATCTAACCCAATCGGGTATAGCGCATGGTCGCTTACTTGAATTGGCTTGAACTACAGCAACACAGGCGTTTCCAAAATATGCCATTAATCGTTGTGTTTATGTGGTGTTTATAGATAATAACTGCTTGAATGGAGTAATTGAGAATACCTTAACTCAGAAATATCTATACGATGTTTATTTTATGTCTGAAAAGGCTCTTCCAGTGCAAGCCCTGTAGATTTTGGGAGGGCAAGTTATGTCATCACACACACGTGATTGCCAAGACCATGGACTGGATATCGCCAAGACTTCTCATTCTGGACTGTTACTCTCTCCCTCGGACCTCGAAACAGCTGTGTCTGTATATTCCATGCTTCTGTGTATGATTTTGATATGGCAGGACTGTCAATGAATTGAGGTCCAAGAAGGTTTGGGCGACACTGGCCTCAAACGTCACAGATGTCAATATCAAATGGTCCACAAAGCTCGTCGCATACTTCCAGTATGAAAGCAACAGATATGTGAAGTCGTCTCAACCAGTCGCATTCATTTCTCACGGGCTATTACATCTCTTTGGCTCAACCGCCTTTTAAAATACCAAATAGAGCTTCATCAGTCCATCACCAGCTCTCGTGAGATCTATCTCTACAAAGAAGTCTACAAAATACAAGCCGCTTTCATACCAATAACTCATTTGTTTGAATCATGCTCTTCTAGAAGACTGCAATAAGCCTTAGTAAAAAGTAATTTACACACAAAGGGAGCAGTTGTGTCTGGAATCCTTAAATAATCGCCCTTCGGGCGCAAGCTCGGTGCAGACGTGACGCTCGATTGCGCGCAACTTACTTCTTCCTTCACCACCTACCCCATCACTTCTACTATGCCTACAGATTCAGAACTTTCATCATTATCGTCGGCACCTCCGACCGATGACGAAGCTACTATGGCGATTGACCGTCCGACTGGTATCGCAAAGTACTTCAAGAAGGAGTCTGAGACGCCGCCACCGAAGCGGGAACCGTCACCTCCGCACGAATACGTCGTGGCCGACAACCCTGATATTGCGGTGAGTTTACCTCACAGGAAGATTTTGCGCATTGCTTAATCTATGGACGTGTACATGACGCGTCTAGCCAATAATAGGACACGCTTGCTGAGTTATCGCAATCTTTAGTTCATCGTCGCGTTCCGCGCGCGTTTCCATGAAGTGTTCCCCAAAGGGGTGCCACACTACGGCCCGCAGGATATTGAGAAGGGCATTGAGGAGTCTCCCCCTGGAGAATACATCGAAAGACTTCTATGCGCATTGCTTGGGCTTGTTCTGAACCGCAAAAAGGAGGTCGAGTATGGTCGCCACCTGTCGCCCGATACCGTGCGGAGTGCTTAAGGACGCGCGCTTTCTAGCCCACGCTATCGGTTATCAATTTCAGTGCTGATATAATATGTGAAATATACAGACGAAACCACTTCACACGCCCCCTCGAAGAAGCAATCCATACACATCAGTCACAGTGGCCAAAAGAATGGGAGGGCAAAAACCCCCTTCATGGGGGTGGCAGCTTTGCGACCATGTCCCCCGTGGAACGTGTATGTTTTAAGACCTGCCGCGGCACCCGAGTTGCGATTCTGACATGCCTCGTTTTAGCTGCGTTTATTGAAGGCCTTGATACTGTGGTCACTTTCGTCGTCCGAAGCGGTCCAGGCGAAGATCAAAGAATCCTACAAGCAGGCGCGCCACGATGATGATCTCAATCAACCATTGTCTGTCCAACCCTGGGGCCGCGATAGCCTGAAACGTCGGTATTGGCTTATCGAAGGGCACGATGATACGGATTTCCGCCTCTACCGCGAAAGTAACCCGGCCCTTAAACACAACACTTGGTGGAGCATCGCCGGAAGTATTCCCGAGCTGGAGGCCGTCGCGGAGAAACTTGAGGGCGAAAAAGGCACAAACTCTAAGAAACTTAGCGAGAAGATTCGCGCTTCTATTCCCCGATTTGAGGCATCAGAAGAGGTGATTTTATATCTCGAGAGTAAATTGGATTTTGCTAATAAGTTACTAGAAACGGAGACGCCGCGAATATCGTCTCGCACGAAAAGCTGCCTTCGTTCGTCCGGATCCTGGGTTCTCCATGTATGAAGGTCGTACACGCGGCAAGAAACTGAAATACACGTACTCGGACGACGAAGACATCTTTTCTGATGATGAGCCTTCCGCCCGTCGTTCCACTAGAAATGTGGCTCTCACAGACGTCTCCACGGAGTCTAGACGTCCTCGATTCACGGCAAGCGGGAGGCAGATTCGATCTCGCGCCGGGGGCCTCTATGGCGAGGCTCTGTTGACTGGTCAGCGTGACGGAGCTGATGATGGTGAGTTCAATGAAGATGATGATGAAGGAGAAGTAAGCAGACCGCAGAGGGCTCGGACTTCGACCCACCCCAACGGATACTCTGGATACGGCGCCGATGATTTGGAGGATGCATCTGAAATCCATTCAAGCGCGAATGAAAGCGGCAACGAATGGCGAGGTGTTGAAGACGATTTGGAAAACGATTTCGAAGGCGACAATGAAGAGGAAGAAGCAAGCGCAGATGAGTCAACCGGCAATGAGGAGCCAGAAAGCCTTGTCGTGCAACTTCGATATGGCAAGGGAGATGCATCTAGCAATCCGGAGGTCCAGATTGAAAAACCACCTCCTGCGGAAGACGTCGAAATGAAGGACGCCGGAGAAGCTGCAGCAGCTTCCTCCGCCCAAGCACCGTCGGCGACCCTCCCCAATCAATCAAAGTCCGGTACGCAGCAGGCCCCGACCATGATTGCACCTTCACACCCTTCTGCTCCGATAGCCGAAGTGCCGACACATTCTGCAGCAGCCGTAGCTGCACCGTCCATTGCTTCAAACGGCGTGAATCAAATTTGAGCCATCTGGCTGTTAAGTTTGGATTCGCTTCAGCTTCGGCGTTTCCGCTTCAGTCAGACTAGAAAAAGAGGAATGTACATTCTGCGAAATCTTGCTAGATAGATCTTTTTGGGTTGCTATTGTACTTCTATCAGGCCGTGGGTATTTGGCACCAACGGCGTACGAAGTAATGGAATGGAGAAAAAAATCAATTGCTCGTAAGTTTAATCTATGCAGAGTAGAAAACACTTCATACTAAGAGCATATAGTTGAGATCTATACGGATGTGTGCCAACGCAAATGTTGTATTCTGACGCGGTACGCCATGAAATCTGCCCGTTACGCCAGATATGGCGGGGAAAAAAAGGAATAAGATAATCTAGCACATAGTAGATCGAGGATATAAGAAATTCAAATGGGAATCAACAACAGCAGGCGCCTCCAACAGCGCAAACGCCAAAAATGCAAGCAATACAGTGTACACAGAAGCCAGTCACTAGACCCCTGGATTAAAATGCTAATAGGTCGCATCCAGCGCAGAGATGACTTCAGTCAGAGCCGGCATTAGAGAACTGCGCTGTGTAAAACTGCAAAAACTCCTCGAGCGTCAGCGTCTCCAGTTCTGGTCGAGATCAGATGGGAAATCGAAGGTTGGGGAAGCAGATACTCACATCTTCAACCTGCGACGCTATTTTAGGATCCCCGGATGAGCCAATTCGAGGGAGATGCCAATTGTTCACATCGTACCACCATCTGCGAATCCGACTGCCGAGGGTGCGCCCGCCGACTGAGGCGTTGCGGTTCCAGAAGCGCCAGCCCGACAGCGCAAGTGTCCAGACTGTTCCTTGGATCAGAGGGAGAAGTACCTAGAAGCGAAAGGATTGATGCGTTAGCCAGGTATTGCCAAAGATATTATCCTTGACACTCTAAAGGAATCAACTGAATCACGGCAATGTATACCTGATCCCTAGTAGTAATCCACGCCACTCGCCCCCAGGTGTCAGCATCCTTAATGCTGGCCAGATAGCTCTGTTCGAAACGCAGGTCCGGAAGAGGAGGAAGAGTCTGTCGCCGATGGACCGGTCGAATTACTCGGCTTGGATGGACAATGTCGGAGGCAATACTGTTGGTTTCGGAGTCTGGGCCTACCGCGACGGGTTGTTTCTCTGAAGCAGCGGTGGCTGGGTTGATGTCATGAACTGGGTCAGGATTTTGGTTGATGCTTGCAGATTGGATAATCTGCGGGATTTCCATAGCATGGCCGGCCATTTTGGTGGTCTGAAGCAATCGAAGAGTCAAACAGCTTGGGGTGAATAGAAGCAGCTCCCAAGGTGGTTCGGCTGTTACCGTTGGGACCGATACGCAAGTCCGCTCTTTTCTGCCAGCCCCTCCATATCCCCTTCTCTCCCACCTTTTTCGTTTCAATTCCATTCTCATTCTCATTAATCATATCACAATGGCTGCTCCTCAAGGTTACCCTCTTCTCTGTCTGGAGAACCCTCTCCTAGGTATGTGGAGTATCATCTGGACATGTTTATAAAATGCTGACATGCTTGAAATAGACATCCAGGCTCGTGGGTATGGTTAAAACTGGAGTAAAATGATGCTATTCCAGATGCTGATATATTCCTTAGTGATGACACTCTCCTGGAGAAGTATGGTCTGAAGCCAAATGATGCTATCCTCGCTGAGGACAAGCACATGGGTATCTACGAGGACCTGCTTGCCCGCGATGCCAAGCTGATCCCCGGTGGTGCCGCTCAGAACACCGCTCGTGGTGCTCAGGTATGCATCCATCAAAAGGCTCTCGTGATCTCCAATGTTGATATTGACAACGTTCCCAGTACATGCTCCCTGAGCAGTCCGTTCTCTACATCGGTTGCATCGGTAAGGACAAGTACGGTGAGGTCCTCAAGAAGACTTGCGAGGAGGCTGGTGTCCACACCGAGTACCGTGTCGATGAGGCCCAGCCCACCGGTAAGTGTGGTGTTGTCATCACTGGCCACCACCGCAGCATGTGCACCCACCTCGCTGCTGCCAACGAGTACAAGATTGAGCACCTCAAGCAGCCCGAGATTTGGTCTCTGGTCGAGAAGGCCCAGGTCTACTACGTCGGTGGTTACCACCTGACTGTCTGCGTGCCCGCCATCATCGCCCTTGGTGAGGAGGCTGCCGCTAAGAACAAGGTATGTCTTTTGTATTCTAATGCATTGGACCTCATTTCTAATCTATTTATTTTCATCAGACCTTCATGCTCTCTATCTCTGCTCCTTTCATTGCCCAGTTCTTCAAGGACCAGCTGGATAGCGTTCTGCCCTACACCGACTACACTTTCTGTAATGAGACTGAGGCTATTGCCTACTCCGAGGGCCACCAGTGGGGCACCGAGGACATTGCCGAGATCGCCAAGAAGCTCGCTCTGCTCCCCAAGAAGAACACTCAACGTCCCCGTGTTGCTATTGTCACCCAGGGCACTCTCCCAACCATCGTCGCCGTCGGCTCTGCTACCGGTACCGTCGATGTGAAGGAGTTCAAGGTCCGCGAGATCTCCAAGGATGCCATCAACGACACCAACGGTGCCGGGTGAGTGATATTGATCTGAACAACCTCAGATTTATATATGCTAACCTCTGTCTCATATAGTGATGCCTTCGCCGGTGGCTTCTGCGCTGGTATCGTCTCAGGCAAGTCCCTCGATGACAGCATCGACATGGGCCAGTGGCTCGCCAGCAAGAGCATCCAGGAGCTTGGACCTTCGTGAGTTTTCCCGAGGCAACACATTGCAAGAATACTAGCTAACAACTTTTAACCCACAGCTACCCCTTCCCCAAGCAGACCTACTCTCGCTCCTAAGCGTTTATAATGTAGGCTATGGAAAAGACATAGACTACCAAAACACCTTCAACACATCTCCCAGCCTAACTTTGGAAGATTTTGTGCAACAATCCAGTTCAACAACCGGATGAGCACCACCTGACTTTGGATGATTCAACCCTCTATACCCAATTTTTTCCTTTTCTTAAAGCTTCATGACTTCAACGTACTGTCTGAAAAAATCTAACTGGACACATACTTGTCTTGAGAATCCTGTCCTCAAATCATTTTTGGCTATTCTTGTTACGACCACTTGATGAATGAACATATTCAGGCGATCTACCTTTATATTATTCACATGAAGAGCATATCCCATAAACTACTATGAAAAGAAGCACGTAAAATGCAAATTTGAGTTTCAACTGCCTAACCTGCACGATCGGTGTCTGATAGGCCCAAAGCAATCTGCAGGCCCATCCTCATTTTCACCGTATATCCGTGCCGCATGATTCTTACCCACGAAAGAAAAGACGATAAGGCTAAGGTTGATGGGGATAACACAGTTCCGGGCCATGTTGCATGAAAAGAAGAAAAGGCAGAAAACAGAACGAAACAAACGTCTTCTCCAATGGCAGATTGCCCATGTTCATATCCTCGTATTGACCATGTCGCGTGGTGAACGCACGTATCCGCCCAAACAGACCGCGAGGAGAGCCAGGACCGAAGAAGTTCCTGCATTGTAAAGAAAAGCCATAACCGTCCTCGTCACAAGAGGACTAGCGGGACCTGCCACTTGTGAATTGGCTAGCAGTAATACAATCTCGCCTGGTCGTTGTAAGGTGCATACTGTCAGAGTAGGCCTGAACCTATAGACTCAACGCAAACAAAGTTGCATCGCAGTACACAGGGAGTCATGCTCACAGACAAACACAGTACACGCCAGTTTAGTCGGAGGTCGAGTCGCACTGTTAATTCTGACGGTTTGCCCAGCTGGTAGTGTAATATGCATATGCACATAGAAGAACTTAAAAAAAAATGAGAGCTTGGATATTCGAATCAGCCTCCCTGGCCGCAGGGTGGGGTTTGACCGACTGCCCCAAGCTGCGTTGCAGGCTTGCGCCCTCCGATCCCGGAGTTGTAGGGAGTTGCCCCAGCGAGGCTGCTGGCAATGAAAGCTTCATTGGCCCATGAGGGATGTCCCAGGCTGCTGGACGTGGTCTGACTCGGGAGCTCGAATGCACCGAATGTCGTTCGGCCATTATCCCAGCCGCTGGCGGTGGGACGAGCATGAGACATGTTGGATGACGTCCAAGGCATGGGCATTGATCCTACATCCAGTGAGTTCGAAAACTGCGTCTGGGCCATCAGGTGCTGGCGGAGCATGAGCTCATTTGCTATCTGATCTTGCGACGGTGAGCGCTCAGAGGGCATGGCATTCCCAGCGGCCATGTGGTGCAGTGGAGTTCGCTGGCCAGGTTCTGGACCAAGGCCAGGAGGCGTTCGTGGAGGGGCGGTGTCTCTGAGCGGCGTCCAGATGCTGGGGAGGCTGGGGATGGCAGGTCGCGGGGTATATGACTGCGCCGACGGCGCTCTGAGAGGCTCAGCTGCATTCATGACCTGTGGACCAAGCCCAGGTGGAGGGGCAATTGGGGTGCTGAGTGGTGGAGAGTTTTCGTCACGGAACGGATAGACACTGGCATTGGGTGAGACATGCGTAGGTGTCGATATCTCCCCCGAGCTCATGAAAGCAAACTGGTCATTTTGCGGGGTTTCGTACGTGTCAGAGTCAACAAGTCGCTCAACGCCCTCAACGATCTGATGCATGTTGGCAGACATGGATGCTGATGCAGACTGGGAACCGCCAAAGAGACTTTGGGCTTCTGCGGCAGAGTATGGATTTTGAACGACCTGGGGGATATCCTCGCGCTCGATGCTCGCAGCCGAAAGTGCATGCTGGCGGCCATGGGGGCTGGAATAGAATTGCGAAGGCAGATCCTCCTCTTGATAGATAAATGTCTTCTTATCTTCACTATCCACAAGAGCCACCGGGATTTTCTAAACGAAATTAGCAATCTGCTTGCTTGTTTATGATATCTTAAGAGCTTTTCACGTACTCCTCTCACAACCAAGTCGAGTCCATCAATCACGAATTCACGAATCCGATAGAGCATTTCCATATTAGGGTGACTTCTTTCTATCCCAAGATC